CAGCTGCTGTTACACAGCCTGGCTCCGTGGCTCTGCCTTTGGCCATCTGTGGTTTTCTGCTGCTCTCCTCATATCAAGATCTTCTCTCCCAGCATCTTCTAAGCAAAGTCGATGGAAGCTGTGTGTTCGTGTTCTAGGGCTACATTCTGTTGATTGAACAGATTTTTCTTCAGGAACTGCGTTGTTTTAGACACTGTGGGGAGGATCAAAGGAAAATCACAGTTGTTTGTAGGTCATTACCTTCTGTTTTGAGAAGCCAACAGTTAACCTAATATATAACCATATTGAGTACCTATACGCTCCTTTTCACTCTTGATTGCTAATATCACCTGCTTCATGTTGATTACTATTAACTTATATTTTTAGATTTTTTTTTTGTTTGACTTTTTTTTTTTAATGCTCACCCAAGGATATGTTTTTATTGATTCTTAGAGAGAGGGAAAGAGAGAGCGAAAACACTGATCAGTTGTCACCTATGTGCACCCCAAGCGGGGATCAAACCGCAACCTAGGTTTGTGCCCTGAATGGGAATTGAACCCCCAAACTTTTGGTATAGGACAACCCTCCAACCAAACCACCTGGCCAGGGCTGTTTGACCCTTTTTTTCAGAAGCAAGTCCTATGCATAGGATATGTTACAGGGTCGAAAGGATTCATCCAGTTGAAGGGATTCATGAAGGAGAAAAAATCATTGCCCTCCCCTTTTCTGAACATTCCTGGGCAAGAAAAAGAGGTCCTTATTTTAATGAAATCAGACAACTTTTAAAATATCTATGGGTCTTCAAACTCCTCTAGGAGACAAATCATTATTTACACATTATCTTTCTCATCGTTAACATGTTTGTTTTAGGAGGGTTAAATGCATGTTACTGAGCTGTTTCTACGTCCTCCATGTATATGTAATGGCGGAGAAAGTCTACTGTGTAACTTGTATAACGACAGTGTGTGAAATGTTCACGTCATTTTATTCCACTGGCATGAGGGAGGGTAGGCGAGTGGAGAAGAGCAGCACTGCGTTCCCTGCCAAGCTCTGATACTGAGTCAGTCCCTCTCCCTCTGAATGACATCCCAGCAGCCTGGAGGCTTCCTCACTCTCCACCTGACCCGCTCCCTCCTCTTGTTTGGAAATAAGCTGAGAGGTCAGGAAGCTCTTATTAAGAACTGCCTCGCTGCCGAAACCGGTTTGGCTCAGTGGTAGAGAATTGGTCTGTGGACTGAAAGGTCCCGGGTTCGATTCCCATCAGGGGCATGTATGTTGGTTGCGGGCACATCCCTGGTGGGGGGGGTGCAAGAGGCAGCTGGTTGATGTTTCTCTCTCATCGACATTTCTAGCTCTCTCCCTTCCTCTATGTAAAGAATCAATAAAATATATTAAAAAAAAAAAAAAAAAAGAACTGCCTCACAGGACTGATTAGACTCTGGATGACCGGGCAGGGAGAGACCCCAGAGTCGCGGGGACAGTGACGGACAGGGAGGGCCTCTCCGAGGACAGAGACCGAGCTGGATTCCGAGGTTGGTGGGAAGGGGTTTCAAGGTTTGTCTTGAGGGTTTTCTGTCTCATCCATCTCAGCACAAGTCAGGAAATCAGTTCTGAGAGTAAAGGCCAGGAATAGTTTAATAATGTGCTGTTTGGATAGAAAGCTGATGAGCAGACGTTCTGAACTGATGCCAAACCACCAGCCTTCCCCACAGCTCTCTGACCGGCCAGAGCCCCTCCCAGCCCTGCAGATGCCCAGCTTTGCTTTGACAGGCTTGGGTTCCCTACGTTCACTGATTCCAGGGCCCCTTTGTTTTCCCCTGCAGAGATTCTTGGGATATTTTCTATTAAATAAGAAAGCCGTGTTATTATTACTCCTCGCGGCCTTGTTTCCGTTAAATTGCAGGCCTGGCCCGCTGACATGTGGCATCCTGTTGTGTGCTGTCTCAGCACATTGTAGCCAGTGGTTTCCAACACGCTTTGAAGCCTGGCCCTTTGTTTGCTGTCTCTCAAGCCCTCACTGCCGGACGAATGACAGGTGGCATCAGGGAAGCTTCCCCGTGGAAGCCACTGTTTCACCACGGGCCTTGCATCGTCTGTATTGGTAGATCCCGTTTTCCTCTTTTGATTTTCTTTTTAAACTTTTTCTCAATGTTAATTGTAGAGGGCCCCTTGGGAATGCACATGGATGACCTTTAAATGAATGTCAGCTGAGTCCGAGGTGACTGACAGGCTGTCCCAAGGAAACAGCCTCCCCCAAATGTCTGCTATCTTTATCCATGTGCTTGGAATGAGGAACGAATAGGACCTTGACTTACCCAGGTCTTGATATGCTAAATCCCAGGAATGGGGGAATGAATAGGTCCTGGGCACACCCAAAACTTCTTTGACCTTAAACCCCCCTCTGGAAATCTATAATGCACTGTGTTATTTGTGGTGGGGGTTGACTGTCTTTCCATCTGAGTGGCAGCCCCCCACCCGGGTCCCAGCTTGAATCTATTTCTGCCTCTTGGTCTTTTTTTCCCCTTTAATTTCTTAATCCCTAGCTCCTCCACTCAGGAACATGTCGTTTTCTGTGTGGATCACGGAAAACAGAAAAACAGCCCCACATTTTAAAATTAGGATGGCAATTATTAAAAATTTTATTTTAAAATTATATTTTAAAAATTATATTTTTAAAAATTATATTTTTTATTGGTTTTTAAAAATTATATTTTTTATTGGTTTTTACAGAGAGGAAGGGAGAGGGATAGAGAGTTAGAAACATCGATGAGAGAGAATCATCAATCAGCTGCTTCCTGCACACCCCCTATTGGGGATGTGCCTGCAACCAAGGTACATGCCCTTGACCGCAATCGAACCTGGGCCCCTTCAGTCCGCAAGCTGATGCTCTATCCACTGAGCCAAATGGGTCAGGGCTAATTCTTTTATTCAGTATACAAGTTCGGAAAATACAAAATCGCATCAAGGAGAAAATAGCAATGACCTAAAGTTGATGACACAGAATTGATCACTGTTTACATTTTGATTTGTTTACTTTCTTGTGTGTGTCAGTAATTTCTACCGTGAAAAGGTAGCTTTACTGCATTAACAAGTTGAGGACTGCTAGCTCATAGGCTTCTGTCTGTTCCCCTCGGGTGTGGTGTTGGTCAGGCTGCTGGTGCCATGCTGGAGAACAGCCCTCCAACCTCCGTGGCTTATAGCAGAGACATTTATCCCAAACTCTGGTGTGCAGGAGGGCTGCCCTGGGAGCCGGCCTGGCTCCGCTGAGCGAGGCTGGAGTTCAGGCTTCATGTCTGGGGCACACATCACCCTTTTAGGGCCTTGGCTGGGGGATCAGCTGCTACCCGGGGCATGCTCTTCCTGCCGTGCCTCTGAAGACCTTGGCATAACAGCGAGGCATTGCCATCTCAGCCTCGTTCTGTCAATCAAATCAAGTCACTTGGCCAAGCCTCAAGTCGGGAAGGTGAAAAGAATAATCCTCTCTTGGGAGGAGGAGGGCGTGGTGAATAAGTTTGGGTCTGCTAGGGCGGTCAAAAAATAAAAAATAAGAAAAAATAAATACCACAGACTGGGAGCTTGAACAGCAGGAATTCGTTGTGTCATAATTCTGGAAGCCAATCGTCTAAGGTCAAGATGTCAGTGAGGTTGCTCGCTTCTGGGGCCTCTCTGTCTTTGGCTTGTAGACAGCTGTCCTCTTCCTTTGTTTTTATTGGTTCTAATATCCTCTCATTCTAATGGGACATTGGTCATATTGGATTATAGTCCTGATCTCATTTAACCGTACTTTTCTCTTTAAAAACTCTACTTCCATATATAGTCTCATTGTGAGGTTAGGACTTTAATGTATACATTTTGGGGGGATACAGTTCAGCTTATAACACATGGTAAGAGTGGAAAATGAAAGAAGATTGTAGGAAAAAAAAAATATACCCCAGCCACTTAACCTCGAAAGCTCAGCTACCTCATCTTTAAAACGGGGTAAGCATCTCCGTGTTATGGGTTTGTTGGGGATTGAAAGACCCTGGTGGTGCCCACCCTGTGTGGCTCAGTGGTTGAGGGTCAACCCAAGAGGTCACCTTTTTGATTCCTGGTCAGGGCACATGGCTGTAACATGGGCTCCATCCCCAATAGGGGGCATGCAGGAGGCAGCCGATCGATGTTTCTCTCTCGTCAATGTTTCTCTCTCTCTTCCTCTCTCTGTAAAATCAGTAAAAATATATTTTAAAGACCCTGGGGGTGATGTTGGGATGCGTGTGGTTCTCCCTCAATGGAAAGACCACAGTTAGCCCTCTTGGGTCTGTCTCCCTGTTCTTGTCTTTTGTGGGGGGAGTTGGGGGTACACGGGGCTTGTCCAAATGGCCTGCTTTCCACAGCAGCTGCAGGATCAGGAGAATCTTTGTAACCCAGCCCATTGGACTTTTTGGGTATTTTCTTTAATAAAGTTTAAGCTAATGCTAATTAATTAAAGAGAAATTGCTTGTCTGTCCACTTCAGTTTTGTTTTATGCCACTTCATATTGTTGTGTGTGTTGCAATTCATACGTTTTCATCCCATTCCCAATGTGTAAAATTGGTTATCGTGTAAATATCTTTGATGACTAATCTATAATAATAAAAGTATAATATGCTAATTAGACCAGACAGCCGAGCGACCTTCCAGACGGATGAAGCCTGGGCTGTGAGGGCCGAGCCCCTTGCACGAATTTCGTGCACCAGGCCTCTAGTTCAATTACAAATGAGCTGTTGTGGTCGTTGAAAATAAAACTATGGACTTAGGAACACATCCAGGAGCTACGGCTCCAGCATCCTTTCCCACACATGTTTTTGAAGACCTTTTATGCTTTAGCAGGGCTCTGGGCTTCCTGTCGGCACAAGGCGTGGCCCTGCTCTCAAGGGCCTGCCATTGATTGCCTGTGGGGGAAAAATAAGCAAGCCTGGAGGTCAGCGTCGGAGGGGTCCCTCGCCCTGCCTCTGTGTTCAGAGCCAGCTCTTTGTAAATGTCCTTCCGGGTTTCTCTCCTAGACCATTGTGCTGAGGAATGGCTCTGAGACCTTCGACTCCTGGAAGCAGCCCCCGCTGCCTGTGTACAGCCAGTTCTATTTCTTCAATGTCACCAATCCCGAGGAGATCCTCGGAGGGGAGATCCCTCGGTTGGAAGAAGTGGGGCCATACACCTACAGGTGAGTCCTGGCCGCCTCCCTGCTGGACTGGCACCTCGGAGCACCCCCACCAGGGCCCAGTCCTCGGCTTTCTGCGGTGGGGGAGCACCGGCTTTGACCCCATCTGTGTGAGACGGCCTTGTGGCCTGGAGCTGTCCCAGCCCAGCCGGCTGTGTTTAAATGCAGCTGCTGCTTCCTGGGTTGGCAGCAGAGGTTGCTGAGCAGTGCTCCTCCTCACCCCCACCCTTTAAGGTCACCCTGTGATTCTCTTTGGTGACTCCCGGGGCCTTCCCCTATTTCCCTCCCCCGCTCAGAGACCAGTTCCTAAAATGTGGCGTACTGCAGAAAAGCCCACTAGTCTCTTACTCGCCCCTTCCCCGCCCTCCTGGGTCCGGGAGGAAACAATGGCAGTGCGGGTTAGAGATTAGGAGAATTGCTTTAATAGTGGTTTTCTGTTTGTTTGAATATATTTTTTATTGATTTCAGAGAGGAAGGGAGAGGGGGAGAGAGATAGGGACATCAGTGATGAGAGCAAATCATTGATCGTCTGCCTCCTGCACGCCCCACAATGGGGATCGGGCTCACAACCCGGGCACAAGCCTTGACTGGGAATCAAATCGTGATCTCCTGCTTCATGGGTCTACACTCAACCACTGAACCACACCGGCTGGGCTTTAATTTTTTTTTTTCCTCCCCGAAAGTTAGTAGAGGGAGGCCTTAGGTCAGAGCGTTTTTCCTACTGCAGTATCCCTTCTTCCACAAGGCAGTAGCTCTCTTCCCCCACCCACAGTAAACTTTCCTATAAAGTTCCTCCTTAACAAGTTTTAAAACAAAATAGTAGAGGGAAGTAGATGGCAAGCTCTTCTTCTGCAAAATGGTAAAAATTCCTCACAATTCTGTCGTAACCCATTGCACAATAAATGGTTGTGACTGATTCACTTAGTCCGAATGAGTCAGTCGGATTCTCAAGTGCCGGAATTCACAGATGGCAATCTCTGAGTTGCCTGTTTGGGATCCGGCCTCTGCCACTTACCAGCTCTCTCTGCCTGGGTTTCCTTATCTATAAAGTGGAAATAAAACAAGGGCCTCCACCACAGGGTAGTAAGGGTTCCATGGGGTAATGAGTCAGTATTTACAAACTGCTTAGACTAGTGCCAGCCCATAATGGTGTTTGCTATTATTGTTATCTTAGTCTGTGTATTTCAATGCACAGAATTGTAAAGATGAGCTCTGTTGTTATATAAAACATTTTTTTAAAAAGTAGATTTTTATTTCTTTTTTTAAATCCTCACCTGAGGATATGTTTTCATTGATGTTTGAGAGAGAGAGGGAGAGAGAGGGAGGGAGGGAGGGAGGGAGGGAGGGAGGGGGGGAGGGGGGGAGGGAGAGAGAGAAATGGATCTGTTGCCTCTAGCACACACCCGGTCGGGGATCAAACCTGCAACCTAGGTATGTGCCCTGACCAGAATCAAACCCACAACCTTTTGGTCCACGGGAGGATGTTCCAACCAACTGAGCCACTCAGCCAGGGAACAGATCTTTATTTTTAAAAGCATTTTTAGTGTGTTTTTTATGCCTACAGAAACTGTATAGTGAAGGGTTTAAAAAAAAAATTTTAATTCAAGTATAGTTGGCGTACAATATTAATTAGTTTCAGGTGTACAACATAGTGATTTGACATTTATATACCTTATGATCTTTTCATCACACTAAGCCTAGTTACCATCTGTCACCGTGCAAAGTCATGAGAGTATTATTGACTATATTCCCTATATGCTTTACATTACAGACTGTGCCTTATTTATTTTATAGCTGGAATTTTGTGCCTCTTCTAACACTTCACCTTTTTTACCTGTCCCCCACTCCTGCCGCCACTGATCCCATGTGCTACGGCACTGGCCCCACTTGCACCCACTGATAGCACAGAGCTATTGGGGCTGGTGCCAGCGGCAGGTGTGAGTGGTGGCTGCTGCCCCGATCACCCCTCAGGAGCAGGGGGATGTGGAGAAGCCCTCAGGAGCAATCAGGGCCGGCAGTCACCCCTCGCATCTGCTGATGGTGCCGAGTGATCGGGACCAGCACTGGCACCGCAGCGGGTGTGAGTGGTGGCTCCAGCGCCAGATGCAGGTGTGAGCAGGGTTGGCACTGGCAGTGGTTGCGAGCAGCAGCTCCTGAGCTGGCAGTGGAGGTGAGTGCCAGGACCGCAGTGTGCATGAACAAAGAATTTTCAGTAACCACCAGAGGCTTGCCCCAGTGACAGCGACCAGTGCCCCACCTTGGTGTGGTGCCCAGCTTACCTGCTCCACCATCCTGCCATGGCCAACACCCGCCACGTTCCACACTCCTCCTCCTCCCCCTCCCCCCCGGTGGTCAGCGCACATCATAGCAACCATTTGTTCAGTTGTCTGGTTGTGCCACCATTCGGTCTATTTGCATTTTAGCCTTTTATTATATAGGATATTTTAATAGTGATACTATTCAAGAGGTAGCAGGAGCAGTGTTAAAACTGTTTAACTGTTTCCTTCTTGGACACGTGGACCAGTTCTCATTTCATCCTTTGATTACCACATGGATTGAATGTTCTCCTCATGTTTGCCAACTGATGGTGTTTCCACACTCTGAGTTCTTGTCCTTTGCCCGTGTGCCGTTTGGATTCTGGTTGTCCATGCCACTCTGTAAACCTGACACACAACAACGTTAACCCTTTGTTACAGTTGTGGCAACTGTTTTTCTATCCTTTGCCTTTTTTATGTTTAAATTTTACATATAGTGCAATCCATTCCTATATGAACTTTGCTATCATTTCTGAGCTTAAAAAGTCCTATTCCCTTGAAAGGTTTGGTGTTCAAGTTTATTTTCTTGTAGTTCTATTGTTTTGCATTTGATTTCTTGAGGATTTAATTGTCTCCTTGCAATTTAGCAAAGGTAGGAATGTTGTTTAATCTTCTGACCATTAGCCCTTCGATCCTTTACTCATCTCAGACCCAAGCTTTTTTGATATCAAAGAGATGATAGAAAGTTTAGAAATTCTATGGTCATTGTTTCCATTATTAAAATATTTTTAAAACCTGGCTTACTCTTCTCTGATACCACTTCTTTCTCAAAACAGAAATAGCATCTTTAGATAAGTTTCTAAAAAAAAATCTTTGACCCGCTCAGAGGTAAGAAAAGTAGAAAAAGATCCCCCGCCTTGCCCTGCACAGAAGGTGGTGACCAGGTACGTGTGAGCTCCGAAGGGTTGTCCTGAGTGACTTGCGGGCGCTGGCCAGGACGGGACCATTTCCGTCTTCAGGAGCGAAGATGCTTCTTGCTCACCCCCAGCGAATGTGGGCCACCCCGTCCCCGCCCACCTGCGCTTCTCCTCAGCACCTGCTCTGAGCTCTCTGTATTCAGTCCCTCGCTTCGTGGACCAGACAGTGGTAGGAAAGTTAAACCCTGTGCCGCTCAGTGCCAGAACCAGCCCCACTGTGTCCCTGCACAACCCTTCCTCAGGCCTCCCACCCCAGGGCCCCTTCTCTCTCCTCTAGGTGTCCCTCCGGCACCTGGAGGGCGTCTGTGGAACATGGTCCCGGTGTGAGGGGGCTGTCCCAGGTGTGAGGTGGCTGTTCCAGGTGTGAGGGAGCTGTTCCAGGTGTGAGGGGGCTGTCCCAGGTGTGAGGTGGCTGTTCCAGGTGTGAGGGAGCTGTCCCAGATATGAGGGAGCTGTTCCAGGTGTGAGTGGCTGTTCCAGGTGTGAGGGAGCTGTTCCAAATATGAGGGAGCTGTACCAGGTGTGAGGGGGCTGTTTCAGGAGTGAGGGGGCTGTTCTAGATATGAGGGAGCTGTTCCAAGTGTAAGGGGGCTGTTCCAGGTGTGAGGGGGCTGTTCCAGGTGTGAGGGAGCTGTTCTAGATATGAGGGAGCTGTTCCAAGTGTAAGGGGGCTGTTCCAGGTGTGAGGGGGCTGTTCCAGGTGTGAGGGAGCTGTTCTAGATATGAGGGAGCTGTTCTAGATATGAGGGAGCTGTTCCAGGTATGAGGGGGCTGTTCCAGGTGTGAGGGGGCTGTTCCAGGTGTGAGGGGGCTGTTCCAGGTGTGAGGGGGCTGTTCCAGGTGTGAGGTGGCTGTTCCAGGTGTGAGGGGCTGTTCCAGGTGCGAGGCTGTTCCAGGTGTGAGGGAGCTGTTCCAGATGTGAGGGGGCTGTTCCAGGTATGAGGGGCTGTTCCAGGTGTGAGGGAGCTGTTCCAGGTGTGAGGCTGTTCCAGGTGTGAGGGAGCTGTTTCAGGAGTGAGGGGGCTGTTCCAGGTGTGAGGTGGCTGTTCCAGGTGTGAGGGAGCTGTTCTAGATATGAGGGAGCTGTTCCAGGTGTGAGGGGGCTGTTCCAGGTGTGAGGCTGTTCCAGGTGTGAGGCTGTTCCAGGTGTGAGGCTGTTCCAGGTGTGAGGGAGCTGTTCCAGATTTGAGTGGCTCTTCCAGGTGTGAGGGAGCTGTTTCAGGAGTGAGGGGGCTGTTCCAGGTGTGAGGTGGCTGTTCCAGGTGTGAGGGAGCTGTTCTAGATATGAGGGAGCTGTTCCAGGTGTGAGGGGGCTGTTCCAGCTGTGAGGTGGCTGTTCCAGATGTGAGGGAGCTGTTCCAGGTGTGAGGGGGCTGTTCCAGGTGTGAGGGAGCTGTTTCAGGTGTGAGGGAACTGTTCCAGGTGTGAGGCTGTTCCAGGTGTGAAGCTGTTCCAGGTGTGAGGGAGCTGTTCCAGATTTGAGTGGCTGTTCCAGGTGTGAGGGAGCTGTTTCAGGTGTGAGGGAGCTGGTTACATGGAAGTCTCTGTGCTGTTCCAGGTTCTTTGAGAACAGGACCCAGGCCTTAACATCTCTTCATCCATCTCCAGAGCTTAGTGTAAGCTCTCACCCATAACGTGTCTAGCTACTTGCTCCCTAAGCTCTTAGTATGTGCCAGGTAGTGTTCTAATTGTGGGGCAAGCTTATGCCAGTTGAATTCTCACCACAACCCTACAGGGAAGGTACATTCTTATCTCCACTTGCCTACAAGGAGGCCCCTCCACAAGCCTACAAGGAAGGTACGTTATTGCCCCAGGAAACAGAGGCATGGAAGCAATGACTGACTTCTCCTTAGTCACAGAGCTGGTAACGGTGAAGCCAGAGGGAATGCAGAGCTGGGCAGTCAGATCTTAACCCTCACTTTGCCCACTGTGCTCAGTTACATCTGAGTGATTCTCAGCAGAGAGCACCAGGTGGATGAATTACTACAGTGACGGAAGATAAGGATCATATGATAGTACTAGAGGTCCAGTGCATGAATTCATGCACCAGTGGGGTCCCTCGGCCTGGCCCGAGGGATTGGGCCAAAACCAGCTCTCCCACATCCCCCGAGGGGTCCCAGATTGCGAGAGGGTGCAGGCCAGGCTGAGGGACCCCATCGGTGCACAATCAGGGCCAAGGAGGGCCTGTGCATGAATTTGTGCACCTTCTTTAACTTGTTAAAGAACTTTTTTAAAAAATGATTTAAAATGAAATATCTCTAAAATCAACCAGGTCTTTTCTGCCCGATGGCGTATAACCCAACCTTTTCTTAGTGACCAGGGCCACCAGATTAACAAATATTAAGCTGTCCTCTGAGCCTGGGATGTCCTGGGCCTTGAACACCAGGATTTATTGGCATCTGCTCAGTACCAGGGACCATACCACGCACTTTGAAACATGGTTTCTTAATTAATTGTCCAGGCCAAAAGTTCGTTTTGCCTTTAAAAAAAAAAAAAAAAAAAACACCCACAAAAATGCTTTTGTTTCTATTTCTAGAAGCTTGTTTGGTCTTGGCAGACACTGTAAAGGAGTGATTGTTCATTTCTTGCTCTCTGCCCGCTGTTCCCTAGAAGGCTGTCCCACTCTAGTTGATGTGGCTGACCAGCCGGGTAACAGACTTGCTGGTATTGTTGCCGCCCTGACAGAGTGCTTGGTTTTCCCCAGACTGTGCTCCTCAGACACCCTGACTACATGTTGTTCTGGGAGAGAGGCCCCCCCCTCCCCCCCGCCACCTCTCTCCTGGGTTCCCATTGGTTGGCAAACTCATTAGTCAACAGAGCCTAATATCAATAGCACAACGATTGAAATTCCTTTGGAGAGCCAAATTTTTTAAACTTAAACTTCTTGCCGGGACCGGTTTGGCTCAGTGGATAGAGCGTCGTGGGGACTGAAGGGCCCGGGGTTCGATTCCAGACAAGGGCATGTACCTTGGTTGTGGGCATATCCCCAGAAGTGGGTGTGCAAGAGGCAGCTGATCGATGACTCTCTCTCATTGATGTTTCGAACTCTCTATCTCTCTCCCTTCCACTCTGTACAAAAATCAATAAAATATATTTTTTAAAAAAACAAAACTTAAACTTCTTCTAACGCCACTTCTTCAAAATAGACTTGCCTAGGCCGTGGTATTTTGTGGAAGAGCCACACTCAAGGGGCCAAAGAGCCGCATGTGGCTCGCGAGCTGCAGTTTGCCGACCACTGGGTTAGCCCATTCTGCAAAAGCTGAGAGTCGGGCATGCCGGAGGGTGGCGGGCGGCGGAGGGGAAGTCATGTGGTTAGCCGTGAGTGACCCGTCACGCTCCCTTGATGCCTGCCAAGTGGATTCAATATTTTTGTGGTTTGGGAAACTCTGGCTTTGACTTTTTTAAATGTATTGAGAAACCCAGTCAAGTGACAAGGCTTACAGGGATCGGAGCCCCCATGCTCTGGTTCCCTTTAAAACACCAAGTTCTTACGGGGTGAGCTGTAAGGAAAACCTTCTAAAGTCCCCCAGAGCCAGCACACATAAACAAACAGAAATGATGCCGGCTGTAGGGTTGGAAGTATTCAGGCCAGCAGGTTCATGACCCAGGGCTCGGGGGGGGGGGGGGGGGGGGGGGGGAGGGGGAGGCTTTACAAGGTCACCCGTTTTCGTCCTTCGTTAGAAAACTTGGCAGAGTTGATCCCTGGGGTTTTGGCCGGATTGAATCCCAGCTCTTTGCTCCCTAGCCCGGCTTCCTTTGTGTCAAACTGGTGTTCATCGTGGGGTTATTTTTCCTACTTCTAGTTTCTCAGTGGTCAGCTAGGCCGATGAGGGGTCCTGGGCCTGGTTATAAGTGGGTGCCCCCTGAATAGTCCTTCCCTCTTCCCGGTGGCTGCAGGGAGGCTCTGGGGTGGCGAGGAGAGGAGAGGAATGCCCCCTGCAGGCGGCAGCCTTGGCTGAGGGAGGCAGCCATCTGCCTTTGACATGTCCTCTTCTCTGGTTGCTAACCAGCCCCTTTGCGTTAACTTCTCCTTGGAGTCCAGGGAAACCTGGGGTGTGAAGTCAGGGGACCAGGATTCTACACCTTGTTCTGCCACCTCCTGGTTAACACCTCCTGGGCTAGTTACCTCATCTGAATCTCCCTTTTCTCATCTACAGAGAGCCTGGCTTATGCCTTCTCTGGGAGGGGGCTTTGGTTGCAAGCCAGAGAAACTGCCCCTAGCCAATTGACGAAAAGGAGAACTTACATCAAGGCTCTCTAAAGTGGGTTACAGCTTCCACGCTGCAGCTGGGAAGAAAGAGGCAGGGTCCAGGGCAGCGGTAAAGGCCCCAATCTCTGGAGCGCTAGGATCCTCGCTCATGTGCGCCCCCTGGAGGAAGCCAGTATTTCGGCCGTGTTTTCCATCTGGAGGCTCAGGGCTCAGGAGGCGGAGGCCAAAGGGAAAAGAACTGGTTGAGTTGGGGTCCCAACCAATGCCCAGTGCAGGAGAGGAAAGAAAATCAGGGTCTGGCCAGAAAAAAAGGGCAGCGAATGTCTAGTAATCAAAACCCCACTGTAGCTACCCCCTACGTGCAAACGCACACGTGTTTTAACAGGACGACCCCTGTCAGGTTTTGTCTGTGTTCCTCATGAATATATTTTGGGAACAAACCATAACCCAGAGTTCACTGGCTTTGATGACCCCGTCAAGGTGACCCTTGACCATTGCATTTTCTAAATTGTGGGGGTGGGGGGGGTGGGAGGGGAGAAGAGAATGACAGATTTTCGGAAGCTTCTATTCTGGGCCTTATTTCCTCACGTTATAAACCTGGAGCGTTCGCCTCCAGATTTCACAGGATCAGTGCTGGCATGCAGTCTCTGTTGCTGATGGTTCTGTTGGGAATAGTGTATTGGACATATGATAGCTTTGATACTGAAAGAAGGGGGGCATCTTGCGTTTTTAAAGTAGTGATTGTTTTCAAACAAAATCTCTTCCTTTCTTCTAGGGAAATCAGAAACAAAGCGGATATTCAGTTTGGCAATAATGGAACAACCATATCGGCTGTCAGCAACAAAGCCTATGTTTTTGTACAAAACCTATCTGTTGGAGATGCTCAAAGTGACTTAATTAGAACACTAAATATTCCTGCAGTGGTGAGTTAGCATTTTAAGTATCATTATTGTGGATTTTAGAGGAAAGGTAAAAGCTAACGTAAGGCTATTATGGCTTTACAGTTAGGAGCTAAGAAATGCTAAAAAAAAAAAATATATATATATATATATATTCATATATAAGAAGAAAAATATGTTTTCCCTTACCCTTCTTTAAAGTTTATTTTACACAGTTTTCTGAGGTCTTTCAAACAAGGTCTTTTCAAAAAGCGACAGAAGGCAAATTTTAGGGTTTCTTTTCACAATTTCTTGCCATGTGTTCAGGATCAGCACTTGTATAAATAATTTATGCCTCTAGGATTTTTTTTTAAGTAGCTAATAATTTTTTTAAATTGTTTTTATTGATTTCAGAGAGAGGAAGGGAGAGAAAGAGATAGAAGCATCAATGGGAGCGAATCATTGATCAGCTGCCTCCTGCACACACACCCTACTGCAACCCGGGCATGTGCCCTGACCTGGATTCGAACTGTGACCTCTTGGTTTCACAGGTTGATGTTCAACCACTGAGCCATACCTGGCAGGCGAGTAGCTGATAATTTTAAAAATATTTATTTGCCCCTTGTTTTGGTTCAGAAACTAGCAATAGACTTTGCATACCACCTCTTAGATTTCTGCCTACGATTTTTAAGTTCTCAAAATACATATTGACTGTTTTCCCCCATTCCAAATAGTAGAGGAACTGGGCTATTGATCACAGCCTGGAGTGATTTCAATGGGCTCTGATTATACTGGTAATTCCATCTAATAACAATACATGTGACTCCAGAAAACGTTCCTGGTCACCTGCACTCACCCCCTCTGAGGCTCCCACACTCACTTCTAGGTGACCGCTCATGGTGGACCCAGGGCCTACTAAACTTTGCATCCCAGATCTGGCCCTGCCCCGCCCCTCGTGGAGTTTATAAGGAGGGCCCCAGCCTCTGGTCGGAGCAGGAGGGAGATGGCGCCACCTTGTGGCCAAAGATGCCAGTGTCATTACAGGAGCTTTTGTGTGGGGATGGCAGGGTGGCCATGGGGATGTTGAGATCACAGTTAAAAATGTTACCACTGAGAAAGGGTAGTAACGGAGGGGTTTTATTCTTGTACACAGAGCCAGAGAGGGGCTCGTGGGCTAATTTTTCAGCTGTTTCATTTCAGCCTTTACGTTTCCAGCTCCCGTAAGCTGAAGGCTCAGTAGGTAGGAGAGGGGCTGGGTGTGCTGTTTTCTGAACCTGCCTGTGCTCCTCAGACAGCCATGGAGTGGGCGCAGCAAGGCATCATCCAGAGGATCATCCGGGCCCTACTAAAGGCTTACCGGCAGGAGTTCTTTGTGACTCACACGGTCCACGAGTTGCTCTGGGGCTACAAAGATGAGATCTTGTCCCTCATCCACCCTTTCAAACCTGACATCCCTCCCTATTTTGGCTTGTACTATGGGGTAAGTGAATTTTTCTTTTCTTTTCTGAGCCTCTTTGTTCAGCTGAGGGGGTTACCCCAAGCCAAACTTCATCTTCACTTTGAGTTTCTTCTAGGAGACCAAAATTGCCCAGAATTCTAGGTGTCTTGTACAGTATGTAAAAAATAATGTGTTTTAGTCGGGCTGGGGCTGGGGGGTGGGGAGTACAGGCTGGGCGGGGATCTCCCATGACGTGCTGCCAGTGCTGACTGTGAATGAGTGTAGCTGTGAAAGCATAGTGTGTCCCCCAAAATGTATGCACACTTTGAATAATTATTAATTCAAATGATACTTTATTTTTAGATCTAACCCATTGGAGTTAATAATTTTTAAAGTCTGTATGGGTTTCCGGGGACGCCCTGGACAAAGTGTGGCTGAGCCATCAGTTAGGTGCGATCTTTCAACCCATCATGCACTTCCGTGTTCAATGCCGCATCTCATCTGATGGTGTGGGCCTCTACCGGGCCCCTTCGCGGAAAGCCCTCTGCCATCGCTCAGATTCCGTGGATTCCCCACATTCAGAAAAAAACAACACAGAAAAACTTAGAATCAGAGGGCCTAGATTTGCATTTTGACTTCTTTATTTGCTGGGTATGGGACTTTTCTGAGCCTCAGTTTCATCATTACTAACTTGAGATTAGCAGTGACCACACTTCAAAGGTTGGCTTTGTAATGGCTAACAGAGAAGTCCATAAAAGTGCTTTTCAAAGTATGGGTTCATTACAATACACACTTTCAGGAACCATTGTTTGTTTGTTTGTTTGTTTGTGAATCCTCACCTCAGGATATCTTTTCCATTGCTTTTTCAGAGAGAGGAAGATAGGCAGGAAGGGGAGAGAGAGAAAAAGAGAGAAAAAAACATCAATGTGAGACACATTGACTGGTTGCCTCCGGCATGCACCCCGAAGGGGGTTGGGAGGGGGGGGTTCTGCAACCCAGGTATGTGCTCTTGACCAGGAATCGAACCTGCGACCATTCGGTGTGTGGGCCAACCACGCTAACCACTGAACACACACCAGCCATGGCAGGAACTATTATTCTTTTCCCCTTCATGAATGGCTCAAAAAAATGGCTCTGAATTAATGTGAATGACTGGTATCTGTTTTTGTTTTGGAGCCAAATAAAGTCTCTGTAGTGTTGTTGGAGAAAAGAAAAAGAAAGATAATATTCTTGTTTAGGTTTTCATCTGCTCTGGCCAAATACTAACTCTTCAGTAGTCTATGGAGTTCTGTATCTGCCCAATCCTGGCCTCAAACCTTTCCTCAACCCTAGGGTTTCTGCCAACATTTGCCTCTGATGCCTGTTCACCTGCTCACCCTTAGTTAACACCATCAAACACTTTTCCTCCAGAGACTTTAATGTGGAAACAACAAACAGTTAGTGGGGGGAGGTCCGGGAGGGGGTCAGGGTGTGAGAATAAGTAGGATCAGGTGAACTCACAGAGCTCCTGAGAAAGAGGGCAGTGGTTCACTGTCAGATACTCTCGTTTGCTATTGCAAGGCCAATCAGCATACCTGTACCTGCTGATTTTAGGGGACCTCTGTTCTCCTTGATATGAGAGTTCAAGCGCCTCCCACTGAGCGCGTATTCTCTGATGTATGAAATGCTAGTTGCTGAGAAGTATCTTTGAGACGTCAGGCAGCCTAGCCAATTCTACCAGGAGGACGGATGCTGCTGATGGCGTGCTAGTGGTGTGAATGTTGTAGTCACATCCTCAGAACATTTCTCTGCCTCCTGCAGAGATGTGTTCCTTGTACCCGCCTCACATCCCCACCACAGTAACACAAAACCTAGTGGTCCTTGCTGTCCTCAAAGTCAAGTTCTAGTGAGAGACAGGGAAGCACCACATTCAGGGTGTGGTTCCTGGACAGGTAACAGCCGGGGAGAACCCTTTTTACTCTGAAACATTTAATCACGTAACCACTTAGCCACATCTGAGTTAAGTGGAGGAGTTCAGGAAGCAACATACATGCATTTTTAAAATTGGTGGTTCAGCATTTTTTGACACGGGGCATTTGAATTTTCAACCAAGTTACAATGTTCCCACCGCTGCTCTTAAACAAGAGTCCTGCCTCATTTCTTAAAGTCACGTACATTTCATATATGGAACATGACATGGCCATGATGTACGTGGACCATGTTGATATATTAACATGCATGTATGTTAATACATGCATGTTAATATAAAGTTAAGTGAAATAAAGTTAAGTGACAAAAAAGACCCCAAGTAGGCAAAACAAACAAACAAAAACCACAGAAAGGGACTTCACAGAGGGTGTGGTGCTTTCAAAGGTATGCAGCTGAATGACAGGAAAAAAGAGTTCAGCCTCAGTGAATACAGAAATGCCGAAAGAAGCAAGAAACTGTGGTGAGTTTTGTTCTTCCAGTTAGCAAAGTTTATCAAAAGCCATTTGGGGAGCTAAACTGATTTACATTGTAACTTCCACCACTTTCCAGCTGGGTGACCTTGTACAACTTGATAATATGTATCAAACGGCTTAAAAATGTTCCTGTTCATTTATCTAGTAATTTCACTTTTAGCGGTCTGTTTAGAAAACAAAAGTACTGAAAATTTTGTTAGGCATAAATATATTTTTACAACATTATTTATAGTAGCAAAAAAACCTCAAAACTAAATATCCAATAATAGGAGAATGGTTAAGTAAATTATTTCCATATAATGTCATGGAGTCATTAAATTTTAAAGAATTTTGATAACATGGGTAATAAATTTTATGTCTAAGTAAAAAATTTGCATACATATGCAATTGTAGATATGTATAAAATTGTGTAAATATAAATGTACATATTACATTTATTACATATAAATATAGCTTAGTTCTATAAACATATCTTGTGTAGAAAAAAGACTAAAAACAGACCAAATGCTAATTGTAGTTCCCATTAGTTGAGAGGATGATGAATAATTGGGATATTTTTATACATCATTCTGCATTTTCTAGTAAGAATTTATTACTTTGATAGCCAGAATATTCTATTTTGTTTATAATCAGGACAAAACCCCATTTTAAAAAGAAAGCAGGCCACGAGTACTAGGCCTCAGTTTATTAACCCCAACCCCAAAAATATATCTACGACAAAACTTGAAACATAGCTGAGAGCGATGGAAATAGAAGAGTCTGGCTATTTTGCTATTCTTAATACTCTGTACAGTGCCTGCCACATGACAAGCATTTAATAGTAAACGTTTAAGACAATGAAACAATTGTGACATAGTTTTAGGAGTTAGCACCATGAGGGCAGCAGCTTCTGTTGTTGTTTGTTTGTTTGTTTGTTTTGTTGTTTTTTTAAAAAATATATATTTTATTGATTTTCCACAGAGAGGAAGGAAGAGGGACAGAGAGCCAGAAACGTCAATGAGAGAGAAACATTGACCAGCTGCCTCCTGCACACCCCCTGCCGGGGATGTGCCCGCAACCAACGTACATGCCCTTGACCGGAATCGAACCTGGGACCCCTCAGTCCTCAGACCGAGGCTCTATCCACTGAGCCAAACCAGCCTTGGCAGCAGCTTCTGTTTTGTTCACTGATCCAGCTCAAGTGCCTGGAGTACTTTTGCCATTTCAAAGTGTACAATTCAGTGGTCATTAGCATATTCATAAGATTTTGCCATTGTCACTACTTTCTAATTCTAGAACATTTTTATCATCCTCTCCACAAAAACCACATTCCCATTAGCAGTCACTTCCATTTCCCCTTCCTCCTAGCAACCACTTTCTTTCTGTCTTTCTGGAATCCATAGTTTGTTTTTGTTTTTTTGTTTTTTTGAAGTTCAAAGATTGGCATCGTTTCTTGTTTTCTATTTTGCTTTTGTAAAGAAAAATACGGTTTTGTGGGGTTTGTTTTTGAAACAAAACCTAATTAAGCCCCCTCCCCACCCAGTCTGCCTCCTGCCCCTGTGAGGTGCTGGATTGCTTGGTCCTGAGTGAAGGGCAGGCTGGCCTGGGCCACAGAGGAGGGGAGGGGAGGGGACGAGAGGGGAGGGAAGCAGGTTCTCTGTGTGGGAGCTTCCTCAGAGCCAGAGAGGAAGGGGATTTGGGACTCAGTGTGGCTTTATTAGGCAAAAAGTAAAATTAACATCTTGACACACATGTGCGCTATACAGATGGAGCGAAGGGCACCACCTCTGAGTTGGAACCATCTCTGGCAGTTAGACATTCCTATGCAAGTTTGACATTCATATAAATGGAGTCATACAATATAAGATCTTTCCTCTGGCTTCTTTTATTTAGTATAAAGTTTACAAGATCCATCCATGTTGTAGCATGTATCAGCATTTCATTCCTTTTTATGGCCAAGTAATATTCCATTGTATGGATATACCGCACTTTGTTTATCCATTCAGCAGTTAATGGGTATTTGGGTTATTTTTACTTTTTGGCTACTGTGAATTATGCTGCTATGAACAATTGTATACAAATTTTTTACGACCATTGAATATTTACCTTAAAATGTAATTCTTTTGGGTATGTACATAGGAGTGAGATTTCGGGGATCATGTAGTAATTCTGGGTTCAGTAGTTCCTCCCTCTGTTCTCTAGTTCGGGTTCAGTCTCATGTAGCAATTAGGCTCACCTAGCGCAGTTTCATGAAGATTAAGTTTGTTAGTTACTGATCAGTCAGGGTTCGCCAGAGAAAGAGAATCAAAGAGAGATATATATCTATTTTTATATCTATATTTAGAGATATTTATTAATCCTCATTGAAGGATATTTTCCCACTGACTTTTAGAGAGAGTGGAAGGGAGAAGAGAGGGGGAGAGAGAGAAAGAGAGAAAGAGGGGGTGGGTAGGGAGAGAGAGGAAGAGAGAAAGAGGGAGAGAGAGAGAGAGGGAGAGAGAGGTGAGACACACATGGATTGGTTGCCTTCCACACTTGTCCAGACTGGGGCTGGGGATGAAACCAACCCCTCATCTAGGCTAGTGTTTAATCAAACTGGGCACCATAGCCCATCCAAGTTGACACAAAGCTAACCATCACGTTACTTTAAATAATCATATCCACTTATTTTCAGAAAAATGGGACTAATGATGGAGACTATGTTTTTCTAACTGGAGAAGACAATTACCTTAACTTTTCAAAGATTGTGGAATGGAATGGAAAAACGTAAGTCTAATGATTCAACAGTGTAATTATTTTTTCAATTTTTATTTAAACTGAATGTCCACTTCCATATTATTAAAAAAATGTTTTAACACTGTCATTTTGGGGATGAAAAATCCATAAGCATGTAAAATATACTTATTATTTTTATTATTTTTTTAAAACATTTTATTGATTTTTTTTTTTTTTTTTTTTTTTTTTTTTTTTTTTTTTTTTTTTTTACAGAGAGGAAGATAGAGGGAAGGGAGTTAGAAACATTGATGAGAGAGAATAATCAATCAGCTGCCTCTTGCACACCCCTACTTGGGATGTGCCTGCAAACAAGGTACATGCCCTTGACTGGAATTGAACCTGGACCATTCAGTCCTCAGGCTGATGCTCTATCTACTGGGCCAAACCGGTTTTGGCAAATATACTTATTATTTTAAAAATCAAGACTGGGATAATGCACCTGACAAACTGAACGTTGGTGGTGGAAGATCACTCCCACATGGCGGTCATGTGCAGCTGCAGCACCGACACTTCCCAAACCATTGCTTGTTCTGTGGGGGATGGAAGACGTTCTCTTTTAAATTTAATTTAATTTAATGATTGTTTGTGTTATTTCTTTAACTTTTGTTAATTTTTTAAGTCCTCACTTGAGGATATATTTATTGATTTTAGAGAGAGGAATGGGGAGGAATGGAAGGGGGAGAAGGGGAGGGAGAAGGAGAGGGAGAGGGAGAAGAAAAGAGAGAGGGAGAGAGAGAGAGAATAAAACATTGACGGGTTGCCTCCTGTACCCGCCTGAATGGGGATGGAATCCACAACCGAGGTACGTGCCCTGACCAGGGACCAAACCCACCGCCACTTGGTGTACAGGACGATGCTCCTACCAACTTGGGCTGTGTTATTTTTTTAAAAGATGAAACATTTGTGTTCAGGGTGACAGTATTTAAAAAATATGTTTATGTTAATATTTATAACATAAACAAATTACTTCCAAAAAGGAGCTAACGTTACCTATAAAACAAGGTTAATTGCTTAAAGTTAGAGAAATTAGGAACCTTGGATAGAAAACAAGGCTCTTCTTCAGGGACTGAGATAAGAGGGGTCTGTTCTTGAACTTTAAATTTATTTCTAAGCTCCCCAGAAATACACGCAAAGAAACTGGTGTGGAATATAGGAAAACTTTCTATAGTATTTTCATAACTTTTCTGTAAATATCAAACTGTTTTTAATTAAAAGTTAATTTAAATTAAAGATATCACGTACATAAACATACCGTATTTGTAAACACACACACCCACACACACACACACGAACATATAAGACTCTGTGACTTACCGAGGGGGAACTAGATGACTGGGGCACAGGGCTGGAAGGAAAATTTACTTGTAAACAGGATGTAGCTGGTTTTTGTTTTAAACCCATTCTGTATTTTTTTCAGTCTTTTAATAAAATAATTTAATCCTTTTATATGTGTGTTATAATTACTGACACAGATATAATGCTATCTTATTTAATATATTTGGTCTTATTTTTTTCTGGTTTATGTCCATTTTATTCTTAGATTTTTATGATTCATATTGAACAATATTTTTTCTAACAAAACTTAAAGCGACCTATTGTCTTTTTTCTCCTTCCAAATAGGACAGTAACTTTACTAATTTCTTAAAACACACACACACACACACTGTTATTCTTGTCTATTACTTATTTTACCTTCTTAGGAAGACAAATATAATTTAAAAGTTCATTCTTATGGTAAATACATAATTAAATGCCAACATATTTTATTTTCCTATTTTTTTTTTTTTCTTTCTCAAATCTTCCTCTGGGTTTAGTTTTCTTGCTGAAGAGTATCCATTCATACAGTGGTGCCCAACCAGAGGCAGTTTTGGTGAGGTCTGACACATTTTTGGTGTCACAACTGGGAAATGCTACTGGTATCTACTGGTAGAAACCTGGGATGTTGCTAAACATCCTACAGTGTACAGACTTAAAACAGCAATAGGGTTAATAGGTTAAGAAACCCTGCATCCGTAGTTCTTTAAGAAAGGATCTATGGGTGGCAGACTTTCTTAGTCTTCACATATTTTAAAATGTCTAAACTTCACTCTCGGTTTTAAATGACTAGTTAGGTATAGAATTGTAGCTCGACAGTTCAAAATTATGAAGACATTACTCCATTGACTTTGATGTCTATCTCTTTCCTTGGTTTTTTGCACTTTTACTCAACATATCCAGATTTGAATTTATTTGTATTTATCCTGTTTGACCCTTGGGACCTACTTTCAATTCAAGGCCTCTTATCTTTTTTAAATTTTGAAAAACTTCCAGAAATTATCTCTTCACTTACTGCTTCTCTGTAATTTGCTCTGTTTGCTCCCACCCCTCCCCCAAAGGAAAAAACAAACTATTAAACATTTATTGGAGCTTCTCTATTCTCTATATTTTAATCCTCTCATTTTTAATTTTTTCTGAGTGTATATATATATGTGTGTGTATATATATATATATATATATATATATATATATATATATATAAAAGGCTAAGTAACTGACTGTACATACATCCAACTGTACATTGACCGTCTGACCAACCTATACATATGATGCACACTGGCAATTTAAAAATAAATGTTGTCTTGCACATGTGTGATACATATAAAGCTTTTGCTGGTGCCAATTGCACTCGTTTTTTAATTTTATAATATTATATTATATGCACTATTTTGACATGTAATTTTTTTCAGTAATGTAATTATTGCCTTTCAATTAATTTCCTTTCAATGTTCACAAATCTGTGCACCAGGCCACTGGTATTTGTATAAATTGCTTAGGACTATCTTCCAATGTCACTCAAGAGAAGCTCCCCATTAATTTGGAACAGAAACCTGTTCCAAGGGGAGACAGAGTTAATGCTCTGTCATGAATATTAAGAGGTGAACATATCTGTCCAGAGCTTGTCTGTCAGGCTATTAATAATGCTAAAGTAGATCATTGTTGTAAGTAAACGGATATTTCTAAACTTCTATGTAGGATACCCTTTTTCAGGAAAGAAAAAGGGATTTTTGACTTCTGACTCTGACAGAATTGATCTGAGGGTCAGGAGCCTATTTTCCCCACCTTGATTCAATCCCTCACCGATATCACCCTTGTGTCACATGTGAATGAGATTCTGTGGATAGCCAGCTCCTTCTAGTGGAGTCTTGAAAAGTCCTGATCAGCCAAAACCGGTTTGGCTCAGTGGATAGAGCGTTGGTCGGCGGACTGAAAGGTCCCAGGTTCGATTCTGGTCAAGGGCATGTACATTGGTTGTGGGCACATCCCTGGTGTGGGGTGTATAGGAGGCAGCTGGTTGATGTCTCTCTCTCATCAATGTTTCTAGCCTGTAAAAAAATCAATAAAATATATATATTTTTTTAAAAAAGAAAGAAAAGTCCTGGTCATTTAAAGAAAAAAAAACAAAGCCCTAAAATCAAATTTGATCCCCTTGACTTTCTTGTGCTTATCAATCACAGGTCTCTTAGCTGGTGGACAACAGACAAATGCAATATGATTAATGGGACAGACGGTGATACTTTCCACCCACTAATAACGAAAGATGAAGTCCTTTATGTCTTTCCATCTGATTTTTGCAGGTAAGGACTTTAAAAATACCGTTGACTGCAAGACCACCAAAAACGTGAGGAATAAATGTAGCTATATTTACCAGGCATGGATATTCATGTTTAATCCCTGATAAATGATGATGACATATTGAAAGACAGTGTGGAGCAGTGGTTTGCAGCATAGGCTTCAGAACCTGACTGTATTGGTTCAAATACCAGCTCTGCCCCTCACAGCTGTGTGGCCTGGGAAAAGTTACTGAGTGACTCTGCCTCACTCTCCTCATTTGTAAGTAAGGCTAACAATAGTTGCCTACCTTGAGAGTTGTTATGAGGACAAATTAATTACTGTGAGTAAAATACTTAGCCCATGGTTTGTCACACAGTAAATAAAATTAAGTGTTAGCTATTAATGAATATGATATCCAAGCATGAAATTTGACCTGATCTTTTTCCAGTCACAGATAATCTCTACCTAAAAGATAAATAAATCATACTGGTTCTCCATAATTTAGGGTTTATAAGTATTTGCTTAGCTGTAACCTTGCCATTGGTCATAACTATTCTCACTCACCCTGTGATCTCTCCCTCTCTCCCGCCAGCTCCTTCTCTACAAATGAACATGATTAAGTCTTTGTGGGAAGAGGGCGCCCTGCTCCACACCCTGATCCCCATCTCCCACTGGGCTTTGTCCCACCCATCACCCTGGACCCACAGCCTCCAATTCCTCTCCCGCTCACTCTTTCAAGGCTTTTTATGAAACTCCTCTAAGTCGCAAATGACCCGGTCACATTTCATGACACTGTTGATTCAATTTTCTCAAGAACTGCTGTTCTTTGAGTGTTCCATATCTCACATAATTGCACCACCTACGCAATCAGCCCTGCCAGAGGCACTGGGGACACTGTAACTATCCCTCCTCTCTTGCAGTTAGCTGGTCACCAAATGCTATCTGTTCCTCCTCAGAAACAGCTCTTGCATTCATCCTCACCTCTCCACTGCGCTCTGTGCCATGGTTTAGACCAGCAATTTTCCAACTTTTTTTTTATCTCATGACACACATAAACTAACTACTAAAATTCTAGGACACACACAAAATATATTTTTTGCCCATCTGACCAAAAAAAAAAAGGGGGGTATAATTTTGATTCATTCAAACCAGATGGCTATTGTGGTGTTGGCTGTTGTCATTTTTTTTATTTGACAATCTAAGGGAAAAGAGGTCAGTGCCCCTGACTAAACAGTCAGGTATTACATGTTTTATAAATTCTGGCAGCACACTGGCTGAAAATCGCTGGTTTAGACCCATTCCAGCTGGCTACTCCACTTAATAAATAATTGTGGAAGGACCGAAGGAATTAAAAATGCATTGGTGTACAATGAATGAAACAAGGGAACCGACAAGGGCAGTAGGAGGTTTTTGTTTTTTTTAAAGATCCAGCACAGAGGAAACACATTCTTATCTGGAAAAACCACTTTGAAAAACCATTTGACAATGTTTAGTAAAGCCAAAGACATGTTAAGTCCCCAATTCTGCACTTCTGTCCTACCTACATAGATTCCCCAGCTTGAATATGAAAAAAAAAATATATATATATATATATATATTATATGTATGAAATATATATATATGTATATATATATTATATATGAAACCACACACAAAGTGATATAGACAGAACATTCATTGCAACATTGTAGTGGTGAAAAATTGAAGCAATCTAAGTGCTTATAAAAGTGAACATATAAATAAATTCTAGTATATTTTAAATGCTATATGGTATGATGGGATATAGGATTTAAAATATACAAATCAGAGCTATCTAGATTAATGCAAAAAAATCTTAAAAATATAATGTTGAATGAAGAAGCCAATTACAGAAAGAGAACATGGCATTCTGCCTGAGTAATATTTGTTATAAAAGGTATTTATTATAGCATTTTCTCTATTCTGTTTGCCTAAAACATTTCATTTTTCAAAATGCTGTGGGGTGGGGAGCGTGAGTGGAAGGCAATTCCCACGTTATTCACAAGCCCGCCAGGGGTGCATCTCAGCTCTGGTTCAAAGATGAGAAAGTGAGGCCCACAGAGCACTCCCTCTCCAGTGAAGGGCTAGAGGATAGATTAGGACAAAGTGCTGTATGTGAAAGTGTGTTGTCTGTTACAGGTTTCCCCCATATCAGAATATCCCTATGAAACCTTTTGTAAGCTGATTTGGCATAAAGCGAAACACCATTAATTTATATGGAAAATATTTTGAACATTCCAAGACAAAACAATAAATACCGAAGATGCTTACTAATGTCGTTTGATACTAAGCATAACCCCTTTATGAGCTCTCTCAGCCTTTTCTGATACCTTAGGACACATCTTGCTAACAGATGCACAAAATAAAATCGAGGTAAAGCACGGATGCTCACAGATGCAGTTCAGAGCTACGGGCTGGATGCTGAGATGCTGGGTGACTTCTGGGGGAGGAGCTTGGTGGGGTCACTCTCATTGCTTCCGGTACTTGCTGCCTCTGTAACGAATGCCTTCCTGCAAAACAAATGCTATTTCTTTTCTTTTTCTAATATTTTTTTATTGATGTCAGAGAGGAAGGGAGAGGGAGATAGAAACATCAGTGAGAAAGAGAGAAGCATTGATCAGCTCCCTCCTCCACGCCCCCTAATGGGGGAGCTAGAAGAGGGGGTGGGAGCATGTGCCCTGACTGGTTCATAGGTTGACATTCAACCACTGAGTCATGCTTGCCAGGCAAAACAAATGGCTATTTTCACTTTTCACCTTTTCCCATAAAAGCAAACATCCTCTTCCGATTTCTTTGGGTTAGCAAAAACAAGTACCAATGTAGGCCTCTGGTAGAAGTAAAGTTGCATAAAGCAAACCTCTGAAATTCGGGGTTATACCTGTACTCAAATCAAACATGAGGGTGATTAGTATTTCAGGGGACCTCTGAACCTCCATTCACAACTGAGGCAGAAATGTGTTGACCTCCATTGAAATCGATGATGGGCAAAATATGACACTGTTTTCATTGGGGAGAAATGCATATAATAGCATGTGTTCTAGTCAGGTATCCGTCTAAGGGGGCACTTGTCCAGGCCACGCTCTGGCGTTGCCTCTGTCCCCCTTGCTTCCCTTTCTCCGCTTCTGCTTCCCCCACATTGGCACGTGTCCCTGCTGGTCTAGACCACACATTTCTTTCCATGTGAGTTTCCATTCTAAATGTCATCTTTAAAAAAATAAATAAAGTCTTGCTGAAACCGGTTTGGCTCAGTGGATAGAGCATCAGCCTGGAGACTAAAGGGTCCCAGGTTCGATTCTGGTCAAGGGCATGTACCTTGGTTGCAGGCATATCCCCAGTAGGGGGTGTGCAAGAGGCAGCTGATAAATGACTCTCTCATTGATGTTTCTAACTCTCCATTTCTCTCCCTTCCTCTCTGTAAAAAAAAAAAAAAAAAAAAAAAAAAAAAAAAAAAAGTCAATAAAATCTATTTTTTTAAAAACAAAGTCTTTATTAATTTGAGAGGGGGTGAGGAAGGAAAGGGGAAGAAAGAGAAAAGAGAAACATCAATATGAGAGAGAAACATCGATCAATTGTTTCCCACATACACCCCCACTGGGGATTGAACTCTCAACCTGGGCGTGTGCCTTGACTGGGAATTGAACCAGCAACCTTTCCGTGCACTGGATGACACTCAACCAGCTGAGCCACACCAGCCAGGGCCTAAATGTCATCTTCTTAATTTTCCACCACAGATTTCTTTTTATAGCTTTGTCAGGATACTCTCACAGTTGTACCTCTTACAACTTAAGAGGAACACAGCTCATCTCCTGCGTTATCGCACATCGAGGGATGGAGCGCCTTCCCAGCTGCCTTTTGCATCTTCACTTTTCACTTACCCCCTCAGCGCTTAGCTGTGTTGGACCTGAGAACTGCCGCTGACGAACTGATTCAGGCCAGATTGCGCTGACTGCAGCCCACACTGACTTTTGTTCTTCCTAACAGGTCAGTGCATATCACGTTCAGTGACTATGAGAGTGTACAGGGACTGCCCGCCTTTCGGTTCACGGTGCCTGACGAAATATTAGCCAATACCTCCGAGAACGCCGGCTTCTGCATACCCACGGGAAACTGCCTGGGCTCGGGAGTTCTGAATGTCAGCATCTGCAAGAATGGTAAGAGGTGGCATGACTCCGAGTGTCTGGGATGCAGGTGTTCTCCAACAAAGAGCATCGTCAACCCTGCAGGGAGGACAGTTCTGACCTGTCGAGAACAGCGTTTCATAACCTGGCTATAGAATGGTAAAAAAAAGATAAGATAAAATGATTGGCTTCCCTGTAATGGTTTTTACTGGCAGCAGTTTAGACGTCTTAATAATAGCTCATGTCTACTAGCACGGACGAGTCCCAGTCACTGCTTTACGTACTTTATGAATTTACATATAGTTAATACATGAGAAGCATTACCTGATAGCACGTTCAAAGCAGTGTCAAAAGAGGGAGTGGAGAACTCGGTAATGAGAAAGCACTGATCTTGGTAGTCTCAATGACTTCAAAGCGAATTTCTCAGTTTTTCTTCACGTCTGAGCTACTCCGCTCCTTTCCATGAATGAGGCAGCGGTACAACTGACAAAATAATTGTCTTCATCCCGAGGACAGCATGGTAACAATCATATGCTGCATAATTAGTTACGATGCCTTTGCTAGAGAGATATCCAGTGGCCTCTTTTTATAAATGCGGAAACCAGGACTCAGAGAGGGAACTTGGTTTTTATCAGATCCTTCCCTCCCAGCAAGTCCTTGTTGGAACTAGGGTCTTATAAACATCCTGTGCTTCTTCTCTACAGTTCCTCTGGAGAAATGTGGTAAGCCCTTTCTCCCGAATAAAGTCGTCCTTTTCTCCTGAATAAAGGAACATGCTAACTTTTGTCCTCCGGTCCAGTTAGTTTGAAAAGCTCCTTTCGGGATAAGCCTGAAGTCAGCAGTGCCTGATGGGGCAGTGCCTCCCAAACCCGGCCTGGCACCAGGGTTATCTGAGAACCATTAGACATCTCTGTCCACGGCCCAGAATCTGTATTTTAACCTGCCCTCCCGGTGATCCTCTCGAAGGTGATGCCCGCGTGTTTGGGAAGCACCGTGCCAGAGGTCACAGCTCCCCTCGCCTGGAGATAGGACCAAAGGGGGATGTGAACGAGTGTCTGCTCTGACCTGTCCCACTGTCTTACCGGCTGATCAGCGCCCTGTCCACTCAGCCCATGTGCCTCTGGGTCCCGGCATAAGTGTGGATGCATTTTTGTTTCGTTAACAAGAAGTTGATAGCTGAATAAACAGGGATATCCTACTTTGCAACAGTCAAACCGCTTGCTACAATTTTTCCCCTCCTGCCTCTTGGGTATTAATTAGCAAATGTGGGCAAAATGTTACCGCTCCAGGATTGCCCTCCAGTGTTTTGAATCCTAGGGTAGCAATTTGGACAGTGGGATGAGTGTTCTGGAGTTGGGGAGATGTGGGTTTGAGTCCTATTCTGCTTTTTGGCCAATTGGCCCAGTTTTCGAAGAAGAGTTCTAGATCCCAGTTTTCTCATTCATAAAAAAGAGGGTGATTATAACTTCCTTAAGCTTGTGAGAAGGTCAGAGATAAAAGAGGTAAAACACGTTAAGACAGGGTTTGGCCCTTAGCAAACCCTCAGTAGAGTTTTAAAAGTATGTTTTAAAGGTGACCGTAGGTCACAAAGAAGGGAATTATGGCTTTGCGAAATTATTAATAGTAAAGAGCAAAACACTTGTGTATGTGACAGATGATGTATATGTTGAGCTATGGGACTGGTGGATGTGTAAACAGAATGAAATTACTAGCTAATAAGCTAATTTCTTCAAAAAACATATTTACTAGAAGTAATTAGAGGGTCCCTCCCTCCTCCTCAATAGCAAAATCTAGAATAGGTGTTCTTTAATAATTGTTTCCCTCGTTCTTCTTTAAAATGGAAATGACTAGGAAAGCCAAACACACACGCACCCCCTCCCCGCAATCACAGTCTTCATGTGGGCATAACTCGATTTATTAATAGTCTGAGGCTGGGCAGGTGTCAGGACCAAGCACAGTCTTAAAACATTCTGCATCAACAGATGCTGGAGAACAAAGCCAATCTTAGATAAAGGAAAATCAGAAAAGCAGAAAAGCAAAACAAAACAAAAACAAACAAACAAAAAAAAAAGTCATTTACTGGTAGAGAATTGTAGTTGAAACGGGAGTCTTTGAGCTAAAATAAAGCACCCGTTATTCAATTAGAATTCTACCTCTATCACCTGGTAGCTGGATGTCCCTAGCTAAATTTTGTCTCTTCTCTGAACTACACTTTCCTCAAATGCAGAATGAATATTTCTAACTTCATAGGGCTGCTGGGAACATTAATTAAAATAAATGTGTATAAAGCATTTACTTTTATAGGTTGAATGTTTATTAAAGAATAATTTAGCTGGGACTTCCTTGTGGAATAAAGGATTGAAATGTCAGGAAATGGAGTAGAAACCCCGAAGGAGGAGGTGTAGAATAGAACTTTAGCCTGCCCTCTCCAACCCAAGCTCACTTATGTGTAGCCTTTTCCCCTTAGCAACCAGTATTGGTCAGAAACTATATTTATCATAGCGTCTTGGGAACCACATCATTCATTCCTATTTCCTTAAAATGCAGGTGCACCTATTATTTTATCCTTCCCACACTTCTACCAAGCAGATCAGAGTTTTGTGTCTGCCATAGATGGCATGCATCCAAATAAGGACCATCACGAGACGTTTGTGGACATTAATCCTGTGAGTAAATACCTCCTTCTGGTAAAAGACCATACTTTTCATTTTGCCTGTTCAGTGGTCATGGTTTTGTCCTTAGCTCTCTTAAGTCTACTGTCTTCCTTTCATTTACAATCAAATATAGAAAACTCAGCTCAGTGCAGTGTAATGGGTAGCCTCCTATTCTTCCATTTGGAAGGCTGAATTCTGTGGACCTAATGTACAGAAACACCAGCAAACCTGCATTAACAAAACAGCAACAGTGAAAGTTCCCTCGCTGAACAATTGAGATTGGACCCAGGTAACCTGGTCAGTCTTCTGTCACCTGCCATGGACCTCAACATACATACATTTCTCCCATGGGGGCACAGATCAGCAAGATTGGAGACATTCCTCTGTCTACTGCCAAAAATGTTTTGGTTAAAATTTAAATACAGCGTGTCCCCCCAAAATGTATACAAATAACGATTAAAGCCAATGGGTTAAATCTGAAAAAAGAAGCATTGATTGAACTATCAGCTGTTAGAATGTGTACATTTTAGGGGGACACCTTGTGTATATATTAGCTTCAGTCACTTTTGGCAAACCTTTTCCTTTGAGAGCTTATTTTATACTATTCATTTAAAAGGCATCAGGTATGCACTTTAATCCTATATTCATAGAAGAGAAAAAAGAAAACCATAAAAGGATATGTGAATCGTTTCACAGTGTGACTGCCTGCTGCAAAGCCAAACTCGTGAGAAAGGCGCTGATGCTGAAGGAAAGAGGTTTATTCAAGTGCCATGACCTGCGAGCATGGTGGACTCCTGTCTCAAAGACCATCCCTCCTTCCAGCTCAAGCCTGGGTTCTTACCGGGATGGGGAGGGGAGGGCTTTTTTTCTACCCAATTATCTTTCTAGCTTTTGGCGACCTGGGCCCTATTCATGCATCTTTCTAGCTTTTGGGGGCTCTCGGTGTAAGACCCTCCCCTTGTGCCATCCGGGGGAGACTCCTTGGAGCTCCCTGACTGCTATAGCAGGGATGGAGGATGTCCAGCCCATGGGCCGAATAAGACCCATGAAATCATTTGGTCTGGCCCTGCCAAGGCATTAGGGGTGAGTTAATTAAATGTTTGACCAAATATAGCAGGCTAATTTTTAAGTGGATAGTTTTATATGATGTTATAAACATCCAAATGGCTCTTAGCAGGAAAAAAGGTTCCCCACTCCTGGTCTACAGCAACACAGCCTCTCATTGTATGAACTGAATTAAAGGCCAGACATCTTCATTCTTGGGCTTTTGAACACATATGGCACCATAAGAGAAAAGCAAAACATTCGGGGTCCTCCAGGGCAGTGGTTGGCAAACTCATTAGTCAACAGAGCCAAATATCCACAGTACAACGATTGAAATTTCTTTTGAGAGCCAAATTTTTTTAAACTTCAACTTCTTCTAACACCACTTCTTCAAAATAGACTCACCTAGGCCATGGTATTTTGTGGAAGAGCCACACTCAAGGGACCAAAGAGCCACATGTGGCTCAAGAGCCGCAGTTTGCCGATCACTGTTCTAGGGGTTTGCTGTTCAAAGTGGCAGTTATCTTGGGAGCTTATTAGAAATGCCCGTCTTAGGCTCCGCCTCAGACCTCCTGAGTCAGAACCTGCATTTTAACAAGAACTCACGCACATACTAACGTCTGAGAAACATTGGTCTACCAGGCACCTAGAGAAAATCCTTGTCTGTCATTCTGTTCTGGGGGCAGGGTTTCCTCTGACCCACTGTGCCTATCGAACACGGCAGTGGTCACACTGTTATAAGAACCACACGGAAATGGTACGCTATTGGGGGGAAAAGTGTATTTGTGGTTTTAACAATGTTTTCTTTCTACTTCTGTGGTTTGCAGTTGACTGGATTTATCCTGAGAGCAGCCAAGAGGTTCCAAATCAACGTTTATGTCAAAAAAATAGATGGCTTTAGGTAAATTTTGCTTTTTATACAGAAGCATAGGGTCATTTTCCTACTGTGACTTTCTGGTGGGGTTGATGCTGGGAGGGAGACAGCCCACTTCTAAGTCCACTCACCCTTACCCCTCAGGGATGAGGGATGACCAGCTTGGGTCTTGGAATTTCCTTAATTGAACCTAATGCATATAAAGTGCTTTCCACGAATCAAGCATTGTTCTTAGTACTTCACATACATTAAGTCACTTATTTCTCACGATAGCCTTGTATCATCCCCATTTCATAGACGAGGAAAACGAGGCACAGAGAAGTTAAGTAACTTGCTGGATTCTACAGAGCAGGCCCCTGCCACTCCTCTGAACATTTCCCTCGCCTTGACTCTGCCTCTTTCCGTCCCCACCGCTCCCGCCCAGGGCCAGCCACAAGCTCCATTCGGACAGTTAAAATACATAGTCTCTTGTGTCCAGTCTTTCCTCCCAGCACTCCATCTAAAAACCACTACCTAGCTAAGATCCCCAAATACACAATCTCCTGCTCAAACTTTTCAATGGGAATTTTTTTGATATTAGAAAATGCTTATGATTTAATGTTGAATGGAAGAGGATACAAAACTATGTATAATAATCATATATTTATTCTGGTTTTTTTTTTTTTATCTATAAAACTTGTTTGGTTTCCCCTATCAAATTTACTAGATTTAACCCCCAAATCATGGATCTTTCTAGGGCGCAAATGTGGGATGCATGAATGCGTTTGTCACCCGTGTGTATTTCTGAGGCAGTATAATTTAGTAGCTATTTTGATTCTAGTGATTTAAAATCAAAATAATTTTACCATCCTGGCTCTACCATTTACTCTGGTGGTCCTGGACAAATTACTCCGAGCCATAATTCATTTTCTGAAACCTGGGACATGGGGCTACTGAGGGAATTAAATGACATAATGTCCCCCAACACACCGGCGCAGAGCTGGTAAATGCTCAGTCAGTGACTTTCCTGGGCCTCCCGTGAGGATGACACCTGGCAGGCTGGTCACAAAACATCCTAGGACTGGCAGCGCTGTCCTGCCGGCCGCAGCCGCCCCTCTGACTCTTGGGAGAATTGTCACCATTTTGAGGAATTTGCTTTCAGCACCTTGTGTTCTCACAAAAACAGTATACATGAATGTGCAATGCTTGGAATTGCTACACTGACCAATTGGAATCTAACTTCTGAACGATGTGTTTGCAAAGATATCGAACGAGTCTCTTTAAGTTCTGAGTAATTTAATGAAATAAGTGTGCTGGTATTTTCCTCTAAGTGTGTCACTCCAGTCCGGTGTGCCTGCACAATCAGGGTGTCTATAAGAGATCTCCTCTTTTGTCCCCGCAGTCAGACGGGGAACATCAGGACCATGGTCTTCCCGGTGATGCACGTCAACGAGGTGAGTCCGGGGAGAGCCACCGGCAGCTTCACCCGTGGGAGCTCCGGACTCTCCCGTCGGTGCCCACTGTTGTAACCGTGTGTCCTGTGAGATGTGGGGGTGGAGGGGAAAGGTGATTCTTAAAAACCTGTTTGTCCTCTGAAAATTTCTTTATGTGTTTACACGAATGCACTTAATGTCTGAGATTTGAAAATTAACAGAAAGAAATGTCCTTTCTCTCCGAAACCGGTTTGGCTCAGTGGATAGAGCGTCGGCTTGGGGACTGAAAGGTACCGGGTTCGATTCCGGTCAAGGGCGTGTACCTTGGTTGCGGGCACATCCCCAGTGGGGGGTGTGCAAGAGGCAGCTGATCGATGACACTCTCTCATCGATGTTTCTAACTCTCTATCTCTCTCCCTTCCTCTCTGTACAAAATCAATAAAAATATATCTTTAAAAAAAGTCCCTTCTCGAGCACATTAGTTGGGTAAAACGTCCTCCTGGGAAGCTGGCCGTGCAAGAAACACAATGCAGAGGTCCGTGCAGCAATGCCAGACGCTGTTGAAGCAGTAAAGTCGGCACGCAGATAGATGTTCCATTAAACCCTCCTTTGTGTCTCCTCCTCTGAAACCCTGCCAGTTTGTAAAATGTCATCAGTTTACTGTTCGTTAGCTGAGGAGGAGGAGGAAAAGAGGGTACAATTGAAATGATTGGCAACATGAATGACCATTTTGTGTGAGGTGCTTAATGAAATGGTTAGACGCCTCTGGTAGTGGCGCTCCAGTGGTTAGCGTGTCAGCTGGAGCAGCCCTGTCGAGTACCTGGGTTGCGGGTTTGATTCCTGGCCTGGGTCGGGGTGTGTGTGGTAGGCAACCAATGGACATGCCTCTTTCACATCCATCTCTTTTTCTCTCCCTCTCTGCTTCTCCCCATCCCACCTTCCTTTCCACTCTCTCTAAAAAAATCAATGGGAAAATATTATCCAGTGGAGATTAACCAAAAAATAAAATAAGAAATGGTTAAGTAAAATGTGATATTTGCCCATTAATTTCAGTGATACATGGTTGCCTCAGCCTTCATCATAGCATGGAGTTTCTTCTACTTTCTGATAAAAAATTATATAAGAAACAGACCCTGGAGAATCCAAGATGGCTGCACAGGTAAACACCTACCCGCAGCCACATACAATTTCAATAAAAGACAACTAAAATATAAACAGGAAAGTAAACTGATTGGAAATTCTTCAACAAGAAGCAAGGAGAAAAACCAGAAGGAAGAGCGGAGGAGCTGTAAAAGCCTAAGGTACGGAGACACGCAGCGTGCGAAGAGGACAGAGCCAGAGAGGGGGTGGCTGAGTTCCCTAGCGGGAAGGAGATAAAACTCCGACTGTGCTGGGCCCCCGTTCCGACTGCTCTGAACCCCAGTTCTAGGCCAGACCCCAGGGACCCAGGCTCATCCATAGGGAGCTGGGCTGCGAGGCGGAATCCTGGGGGAGCGGCGAAAGGAGGTCCTGGAGGCGCGCACATTGCATGCAGAGAAGGGACGGTTGGCTGTGCCACGGGAATGCCCTGGCGGGAAGGAGACAAAAGCTCCAGACTGCTCTGAACGCCACCTCCAACTCCATTTCCAATTGAACTGAACCCCAGTTCTGGACTCATTGGGGGAGAGCCTAGACTGTTTGGGTAGCAGGCGAAAGTCGAGGGCACCTTTCTCTCAGAGGTGCTTGCAGTGAGTACTGAAGGACCCTGGGGATTACTGAGACGGAACTGCATAGGGCAGGGCTGATGGAAGCCAACACTGTAGGCTCCACCCTGAACACTCCCCTCCCCCCCCCCCCCCCCCCGCCCCATCAGGGAAACTGCGAAAATGCCGAGACAACATAGATCACAAACGAAAGAAATGGAGGACAAAAAGCGACGGAATATAGAGTTCAAATCTACGCTTATAAGGTTTTTCAAGAATTTCCTAGAAAAGGTCGATAAGACCTATGAGGATATGAAAAGGGATCAACTAGAATTAATAAGGAATCAACAAGAAATGTTAAGGAATCAACAAGAAATAAAGAATACATTGTCTGAAATAAAAAATATACAGAGTCCTAAAAACAGAATGGAAGATCGCAAGAATCAAGTCAAAGATCTGGAACATAAAGAGCCAGAAGACACTCCTCCGCAGAAGCAAGAAGGCAAAAGAATCTAGAAAATTGAAGATAATGTAAGAAACCTTTGGGACAACTTCAAGCGAACCAACATCAGAATTATGGGGGTCCCAGAAGATGAGAGAGCAAGATATCGAAAACATACTGAAAGAAATAGTGACAGAAAACTTATTCCACCTGATGAAAGAATTAGACTTAAAAGTCCAGGAAGCGCACAGAACTCCAAACAAAAGGAATCCAAAGAGGACCACACCAAGACACATCATAATTAAAATTCCAAGAGCAAAAGACAAAGAATATTAAAAGCAGCAAGAGCAAAGAAGGTAGTTACCTATAAAGGAGCACCTATACAATTGTCAGCTGATTTCTCAACAGAAACCATGCAGGCCAGACGGGAATGGCAAGAAATATTCAAGGTGATGAACAGTAAGAACCTACAGCCAAAGATAATCTATCCAGCAAAGCTATCACTCAGAATAGAAGACCAGATAAAGAGCTTCACTAATAAAAATAAGCTAAAGGAGTTCATCACCACCAAACTAGAATTATATGAATTGCTGAAGGGGGTTCTTTCGGAAGAGAAAGTAAATAAAGATAAAAATTATGAACAACAAATACGTAACTTTCAACAAATGAATCTAAAAACCAAGGAAATTAAAAAAAATCTGATGAACAATATTAACTGTTGAATATAATAGAATCAGAGGTATGGAAGGGGAGTGAACTGACGATTCTTGGGGAAAAGGGGAGAGGGGGATGTGGGAAGAAACTGAACATAAACTGTGCACCTATAGATGAGGACACTGGGGTGCGGGGAAAGGGCAGAGGGTGGAGTGGGAACCTGGTGGAGGAGAGCAATGCAGGCGGGGGGAGGGAGGTGTGTGTGTGTGTGTGGGAGGAACATTTGTAATAATAAGAATAAAAATTTATAAAACAAACAAACAAACAAACAAAAACAGACCCTGTCTTGGTTCAAATGAAAGGAGTTTCCCTGAAAAAATATTTCTTTTGCAGTATATTGACAGAAATATTATCTCTAATGGTGGGTAGCTCAGTCGATTAGACCAGAGATCCAGTAGGCCAAGGTTTCGGATTCCTTCCCAGGTCAGGCCACATACAAGAAGCAACCAATGAATGCATAAATGAATAGAACAACAAATCTCCTTTTCTATTTCCCTTCCTATACATAAATAAGTAAATAAATAAAATATTATCTCTAAATGTTAGGTGTAAATTAAAGTTTTGTTAATAAAAGCATATTATAAAAGCTCAGAAAACACCTACCATTTAAGACACGGGTGATAATGGTTTTCTGAATCTTATATCACACTGACTGTCGTTCTGCCTCCTCAGTTTCCCTCTCTGCAACCTGGCTTCAAGAGGGGACACTGTGGGTTTTCCCCTTAGTAAATTTCAATCGACAGGCTATTATTGTAAATAGCAGCATTTTAAAAAGTGTTTATTATTTTTTTCTCTTCTCTAAAAATACTCCTTCTTTGTAGAAAAATTCATAACAGATTAAAGCAAGAAAAGGGGGAAAAATTAAAATCACTTTTCATAAAACCTGAGTCAGACGGACATATTGTCTTTAACTTGCTTCATTTTCCTTGTCAATGTGTTGTAAAATATTTTCTGGTAACAACTTTGTAAAAAATATCTGAGTGGTTTATAGTTTGTAAAACTAATATGTGCTCTTTAAAGAAAGCTTAAAAAGCAAGAAAAGAAAAAGGGATAAAGGAAGGAAGGAAGGAAGGAAGGAAGGAAGGAAGGAAGGAAGGAAGGAAGGAAGGAAGGAAGGAAGGAAGGAAGGAAGGAAATGTTAATGAATAAATAACCCCTCTGGTTATACTAATTTATAAATGGATTTTCCTGATCTCTGGTTTGCTAACAGGAGGACATATCCAAATTGCATTTAATGATTTGGAAGAAAGATACAGAAGAAAAAAAAAGTTATACCTTGGATGTTTGTTAATCAAGGCAATACTGTTTTCTTGCTCCCCTAGAGTGTTCTCATTGATAAAGAGATTGCAAGTCGACTGAAGTCTGTGATTAACACTACTTCCATCATCAGCAACATACCCTACATTGTCATGGCGCTGGGCGTGTTCTTTGGTTTGATCTTCACCTGGCTGGCCTGCCGAGGGCAGGGATCCATGGATGAGGTGAGCAGAGGCTGGAGGAACTTCTTACGGGATAACTTCTTTCGGATTAACTTTAAAATTCAACTGGGCTTCGCAGAAGGGCTGCCAGCTGGCTCCTTGGGGGTGGATTCTGAACTTTGATGCCTGGCACAGTGATTTCGTGCTTGTATTACTGCTGGGCAAAATGAGAAGCAAGGAGGGGTGATAGAATGGTACTGCCCAGTTTTGGGGGCTCCTGTGGTGGGAATGGAGTCTCTGGGAGTAAGCTTTATGTGTCTGAAAGTAACCTGGAAGAAAAGGAAGACTATAGCACAGCTAAGCACCTGGCATTTGCTATCAGACTGTGTAGGCCAAATCCTAGTGCTGCCGCTTAGTAGCTGTGTGTCCCTAGAAATTGAACCTCAGTTTCTTCGTTGGTAATATGAGAGAATACTCGGCCTCCAGGAGTTTTTTTCCTGAGGATGAGGTGATTTAATCATAAAGCACTTGGCCCAGTGTAAGTATTTAGTAAGAGCTTAGTAAACATTAGTTCTATGATGAAAGGAAAACAGCTCCAAAGTCACAGGGCAAGGCAATCAGGACCTGCTGGGAAAGAATCTGTGATAGCATCCAAGACCCTCCTCTGAGTCATCATGCCTCATAAGTGATTAGCACAGGGGCTGTAGTTCCTTTCCTGGAGGGATGGAGCAGCCCACACGGATGGGATAAGCACAGCTGGGTGGGTGTCATCAGTGCCAGCAGGCCAACCCAGGGTCTAAATGCCTTCACGGAGCCTTTTCTGTAGGAGCCAGCCTTTCTTCAATTCTCAGCAGCCTCCCTTTTAGCAATAAAGGCTGTGTTTTTCCTCCTTGCTGCCTCAGCTTATTGTCTGAGCCCCACGTGAAGCAGGAAGTGATAGGTTGAAACCACCTGAATAACATTCACAGATTTCCCCATCTTCCATGTTTTTCCATTATGTTTCCTAACCCATGCCCATCGCTGAATTAGGTGTGAGGCCATTCCTTTTTTTCCCAGTTATTTAAAATTTTTTCAATTATAGTTTGCATTCAATATCATTTTGTATGAGTTTCAGTTGTATAGTATAGTGGTTACACAATCATATATTTTAAAGTGTCCCCTCCCCCATATTTCCAGTACCCGCTGGCAGCAATATTGTTGACTGTATTCCCTGTGCTGTACTTTACCTCCCCATATTTTGCCATTTCTACCGGTGATCTCACTTCCAGTCTGACCTTGTCATAAGCACCAATGAAAGCCCATGTAAATGCTACCACTGCTTCTACAATAAACCAGCTCCACGTATTCAACAAGCAAGCAAAGGCCGAGCACCCACCACCACCCCTGAGGCTTCGTTCTCTGGAAGATTTCAAATCAGGAAGGAGGCAAATTCAATTGAGTGTGAGGAGGGTTATAGTCCGAGTCAGCACAGGGAAGGTGACTGGCTGCTCTGGGATCCGGGTGGTGTGATCAGAACAGGCCTCCTCAAGAGGGTTAGGCCTGAATGCTAAGGAAAAGTCAGGCTGAGAGAAGAGAGAGGTGAGGGGGACAACCGACAGCCCTCCAATCAGTCTTTCCTCTTCCCGTCTCCCCTCCTAAACCTATTTTTCACATGAAGAGATGTTCCTGTCTTGGAGGCCTAACTTTGCTGTCCTCTCTTGTCTGAGTTGCAGGGAACTGCAGATGAAAGAGCGCCCCTCATACGAACCTAGCCCTGGCCTGAGCTTGGCGAAGGAATCGTGGAGAGCTGTCCTGATCTGGATCAGATGTGGGGAAACCGTCGCATCCTCACAGGCTCCTTGCCTGTGGAGAGAAGGAAGGCGACCAGAACTGGCAAGTGATGAGAGCATTTGGCTGGAGCTCAAAGAACAGACTGGTGTTAGCCACTGGGCTCTATCAGAGCCGTGGTCCCTGATGAAGGGTTTTGTTTTTCATGTGTAGAGCAAGTATTTAATGAAGTCTTGTATAGTAATTTTATTGATGTTGGGTGCTGGTAGCTCCAGAAATTTGTGACCACTGTTGTGGTTGTAACTTGTTAATGCTACTTGGTCTAACCTTATTCAGTATGTTTCATTCACTAAACTTTGTATTGTATTCCTCCATTCATGTCACCCCAAAACTAGAAATAAATAAGAGTTCGGAGCCCAGGGTAAAATGGTAGCCTTGTTGAGTACATCATTCAAATGCACCCAGTTTCCCCTTTTAAAAAAGTTGTAGATTGCATTTTATGTTCATTGTCAATTCATAATTCCTCCAGGAAAATAATTTGGTCTTCTGACTATTTTCATACCTGATAAGAACCAAGTGGGGAAGTGGGTGGGTGGAGTGAGGCACCTAATGAGTCCATAGTGATAAACACTGAGGATTTTTTAATGTATACTTTTGTGAACTGAAAGAATACAGAGATAATGTTGGTGAGGACAGTGCAGATATTTCATACAAGAGGCCTGGTGCACGAAATTCATGCATGGGGTGGGGAGGTCCTCGGCTCAGCCTGCACCCTCTCCAATCTGGGACCCCCTCTCATAATCCAGGACTGCTGGCTCCCAACTACTCGCCTGCTTGCCTACTTGATTGCTCCTAACTGCTTCTGGCTGCCAGCCTGATTGCCCCTAACTGCCCTCCCCTGCAGGCCTGGTCACCCCTAAACACTCTCCTCTGCAGGTCTGGTCACCCCACAACTGCCCTTCCCTGCAGGCCCAGTCATCCCCAACTTCCCTCTTCTGCTGGCTTGGTCACCCCCAACTGCTCTCCCCTGCAGGCTTGATTGCCCCCAACTTCTCTCCCTTGCAGGCCTGGTCCCTCCCAACTGCCCTCCCCTGCTGGCCATCTTGTGTGTTGGAATGACAGTCAATTTGCATAATACTCTTTTATTAGATAGAATAGAGAAGAACTAACTGCTAGTTCTGAGATTTGTGGATAACTTATTTTTCCATTGAAATGATCTTGATGTGGAAAGGTGCTCCTCGGAGAATATAATCAATAACTTGACACCCCTTCCTCCATCACCCTTGCTAAATAGGACACTGTATTAATTACAATATTATTTGTAAAATTATGAGTTTAGGAAATCCATCCATCTACAGCCTAAGCGGCACATACATTCCAGGAAGTCTGACTACACTAAAGAGACATTTCTTTTGGAACAGTGTTCTTGGTTACTTTGAAACTGTTTTTATAAGTTCTTCTTTTCTCAGGTTTGGTTCCTTTTGTTGTTTTGTGGCTGTCACTTACTGAAGAGAGAAAACGTGCCCTACATTTCCTGTGACAATCATCTTGCTGACAGAATGACACTATTTTAAAATGTTGCACAGGAAGTGTTTTATAAAGGTTCCTTGGGACCAGAGCAAAGTCACCTCTCTTGAGAATGACTTTTTTGGTTTCTGGTGTGACCTAAATCTGAGGACTGGGAACCATCCTATGTCACAGAATTCAAGCTTATTTAAGGGCAATTCTTTTAATTCTCAAAGTTTAATATTAATTTTTGATTGAGAAATCTACACAGTTATCTGGCAAAGTGCACAAAGAATTTCTTAACAACTGAATAATTCTACAGGAGTTGTTTAAAACTGGATTTCATTGTAAGCAAATGAAGGTGAAAAAGCCATGGATTTCATAACTAAAGTCTCTGATCCCTGTTTGGGGTAATAAATCGCTTTAGCTTATTTGCCCTAATTTTCCCTCTGTACACTAAAGCAACATGTAATGTTTCCTTTCTTGAAGGGGCAATTTGTTAAGATCTTAACATCTCTATAAAGGAAGATAGAACCTATAGTTACTCCAAATCAACAAAATGTGAAAAACTAATTTGAAAATATTTTATCTTCAACAATGCCAAATATCTAGATTTTTAAAAAATTTATCAATATTTAACTAGATAACTGGCATATCTTGTTCTTTTTATGCATCCACTTATCCACACTAATAAACCTGATAAGCCAGTGTAAACTCATTAGTTCATCCTATTATCAGGATATAATCATCTGTGAGGAAGAAATTTTTAGTGTGAATGTTAACAGTTAATGATATATACCTTTAGACTGGATCCACAGCCAGGGAGACCAAAACCATATTATTTCCATATGATTCTTCAGTTACTTGGCTTAAAATCACATTTGATATTTGCCTTCTGCGAAGTCGGTGGCAAACCCATAAACTACAGTCAAGATTATAGATTGGTTCAGAGGCATGAATGTGCTACCCACTTGGTTTTAGATGAAATAACAGATTATTCCTCATGCTCACTCTCTTGGAGCCATTTTCCTGGAAAGACCTCCAGAATCTTTGTGATTGTCACAATCACAGAACACCGGTGTCCTGTATTATGATGCTCAACTTAGGGAGAAACCAATCTGAGAGAGGTTACCTCACTTCTCTCAAGGAAAATTGGGAGTTGAACAAAGGGCAGGAAGTAGGATTGGCCACTTTTAGCTCCAGATTTCCCCCCTGGCTTTATTTCCTCACTTCTAGAAAGATCACTAATGGTCTAATGGAGCAAGTACCGGTACTATACTACTAACCCCTATTGGGGCTTTTACTTAAGGGAGGCTAATTTTTTATTTACATTGTGCCGAGATATGAGTTCTGCAAAAGATGACCTTCATATTTGGCCCTCTAGGTGTACTTACTGGAGTTAATTGCTTGTGGCTGACCTGAATGCTTTTCATGTAGCTTGTATAATTGGTTCATTTCATGTGATTCTTGACATGTTTATTTCTACCCTTAATGCAATGAAGTATTTCACTAATAAAAAAAAACATTTACATGGCATTGTACTGGAAATTGTATGTCATGTCATCAGATATACAGTTGTCCATGGACTTTTGTTTGAAAGACACTCTTTGCCCTCTTGTCCAACACAGGCCCGAGTCCCACTCCTCGGGCCACCTCTGATTTCATTTTAACTGAGGTGGACAGTTATAGGCAGCCAGACAAGTGTGCTTTTCCGCCTCAGGGCTTTCTCCAGAGCGATGGAAGCCCCTCAAAAGCTTGGGGAATTAATACACCCCCCGGGACACACTCAACCAAAGGGGACAGGGGTGAGCTGATAAACGTTCCAGTCCTCAGAGGGACAGTCAGTGCTCAGGCTCCTTCTACAAGGTTCAACTACGATTGCCCACCATGGGAACTGCTTCCTGCTATCACTTCTGCATTCCACACCTCACACTCCTCACAGCCTCATTGCTGCTTCCTTCCAAGTAATCTACCTGCACTCACACCCTTATTCAGGCTTGCTCCCAGGTAATTCCGGATTCCACTCTGGTTTTTCTACCTCTGGCCACTTCTTGTGCATACTGGCGCTCAGCTGCCATCTCTTCTCACTTGATACTCCCTCCCTGACAATCCTATGTCACGTGCTCTGTTCACCTTCAGCCTCACGTTTCCAGACCACCTGATGGATATCCTCAGCCAGAATGTCTTCAAGTCCAGCAAGTGAAGAAAGGAACTCTTTTTTTCTTGTCTTCTTCCCAAATTCCCATTGCTGGGGAAGGGCATCACAATTTACCCAGCTGTCCACGCCAGAAACCAGGGACTTTTGCTACACACCTCCTTCCCCTTCCCTCCACATCCAGTCGGTCAAGTGCTTCGTATACTTCTCACCCTAATGTATCAGAGCTCTCAGTGGGACTCCTGCAGTTACCACTATAAGCATCATTTACTTTTCTGCATAAAAGGGATTTATAATGGAAAGTCTCCCTCTACCCATCTCCTAGCCACTCAATTCATCTTCCCAAAAGCCATATTACTCATTTTTAAAAATATACCTTTCCAGCCCTAGCTGGCTTTGGTCATTGTATAGCGCATCAGCCTGCAGACTGAAAGGTCCCAGGTTCGATTCTGGTCAAGGGCACATGCCTGGGTTGCGGGCTTGATTCCCAGTAGGGGGTATGCAGGAGGCAGCCTATCAATGATTCTCTCTCATCATCTATGTTTCTATCTCTCTCTCTCCCTCTCTTCCTCTCTGAAATCAATAAAAATATATATATTTTTAAAAAACTCATCACTAATATATATATTTCCAGGAATATTTTATACCAGTATGTCAGTATGTGTATTGTATATTCTAGCCCTCTTTCCCCCTCCACCTAAATTGCAGCATGCCAATGCAATGTTCTAAATTGTCTTTCCTGTAACTTCAGTTCCAGTTTCTTGTCTGAATAGTTTTCCTTTGTATACATTTAACTATTTAAGCCGGCTGTTTGTTTCCGGTAATTTGTTTGATAAACAATGCTGCCACGCATAACCTTGTATTCCATAATCTTGCCAAATCATTTATAAGATAACGTTTGGAGGTCCAAGGACATTTGTAATTTTAATAGCTACAATGGCTTTTTGTTGTTTTCACTTTTATTAAAGTTATACAGGCACACACTAAGCATCAAGTAATTCTACAAGGTTTGTTACATTAAAAAAAAAAAAAAAAAAAAAAAAAAAAAAAAAAAAAAAAAGCCAAAATCGGTTTGGCTCAGTGGATAGAGCGACGGCCTAAGGACTGAAAGGTCCCAGGTTCGATTCCTGTCAAGGGCATGTACCTTGGTTGCGGGCACATCCCCGGTAGGGGGTGTGCAGGAGGCAGCTGATCGATGTTTCTGATTCTCTATTCCTCTCTCTTCCTCTCTTTAAAATATCAATAAAATATATTTAAAATAAATAAATAAAAAGCTAGAGAGATGTCCTTTTCAGAGGCACCACTTTTAAGCCCCCCCACTTTAAAAAATACTCACTCCCAGGACTCTACAAGACACTCAGCTTCCTGGAGGTTCAGTCTTAGCATTATCCATGGGCTCCCGCTGTGGAGGGTAGAGACTCGGTTCTCTCCTGCCCAGTCTTCCTTACACACCCTCATGTGCGCATCTCTCTCTGCCAAGGGGGCCTCCCCGGGGAGGCGGCAGGCTCTGAGCGCCTGGCAGCATCACACCTCGGTTGTGACGCTCACGCCCCCGGAAGTCACGAAGCGCCCGGAAGCCAGCCGCGCGGGGCGTGCCTCCCCGCCCTCAGGGTCCCACCCCCGACGCCTCCGCGTTCCGGCCCATAGGTTAGCTAGGACCGGAAAGAGGCGGAACTCCGCGAGCCGGAGGAAGTTTCCCCGCCGGACCGAGAAGCGGAGTGCACCGAATGTCGCGGGAGCTGCTTCTCGGTCCCTTGCTCCCGCGACATGGCCTTCAACTTTGGGGCTCCCTCGGGCACCTCGGGCACCGCTGCAGCCACCGCCGCTCCCACGGGTGAGTCATTTCCCCGGACCTTCTCCTGGGGTTGGTCTCGGGTCCGCCTCGGTCCGAGAGACTCTGCGGCTCGGGGTTCCCGGGGTTTCCTGCCGGGGCGGAGACTTCGGGGCTTCGGAAAAGGGCGGGCGGGCGGCGCGGAGCTGGCCGAGCAGGCTCCCCGGGAGGCCGCGGGGGGACGGAGGCCGGCCCCGGCGCCGGCACGCGGAGCGTGGGCCCCGCTGGACCCTGCCCTCCCGGGGCTCGCTTCCGGCCGCCGGGGAGTTGGAGAGGCCGGAGCGGCCCCTCTTCCTTCGGGGAGAACCGCCCTCTTCCCCCCAACTCCGCTCCCGTCCCGGCGGGAACCCTGGCGGGGCTCCGGCGCTGCCCGGCGGCTCCTTCGGTCGCAGCCCCCGGGCGGGGGGACGGCGGGAGCCTCGGCCCAGCCCCTTCGGCCCTCGCGAGGGGGGCTTCCCGCTCCCACTCCTCTCTCCTGCCCCCACCTCCGCTTTCTGGATTTACTTGGAGCAAAGTCAAGGTTTGCCTTTTTGTTCACTTCTGTGAAACTTCCTACGGACCTTGCTAATATCCTGTCTTGCTTTCTTTTTTTTCTTTTTTTTTCTCTTGTTTTTCTTGCCCTCTCCCCTTTTTACATGTTTGTTTCTCTCTTTTGCCTACACGCCTGTCAGGATTTGGTGGGCTTGAGACTGCCAACTCCACCGCCAGTGGGTTTAATTTTGGGGGTTTCGGATTAGCTGCTAACCCCGCGGTGAACTTTAATATTGGGAGTTTCGGTGTTCCTACTACTGCGGCGGCGCCGTTCAATTTCGGTAACAGTCTGGCGAGCGCAGGTAGATACTGCGGGTCTGTGTGCGGCGGCCGGAGGCTGGGGGCTGGAGTCCAAGAACGGTGGGTGTGTGGTTCCCGGCGTTTGGGAAGGAACAGCGGCTTGTCTGAGCAAAGAAAAATCTATCTCCCAATGTCGAATCAGTAACACTTGTAATCAAGTATTTGACTGTATCAAGATGTAGTCTTGGGAAGTCTTGCAAGTTATCATGTCCCTTTGTTAAAAGTTTGTATTGTTTATATTCAGAATATAATTTCCAATTCGTTTGGAATTATTATTTTGTGAGTAGGATATACCTTCCAAATTATTACACATTCCTTCCAAAGTCTAAGCTCAGCCAGTCAGGCCCATTTTTTCCCTGGGATTCTTGGACTCCTGCAGCCACGTTTTTCCATGTTTTCCCTGCATCTTTCATTGGGATTTCATCCTATCGTCCTTGTGTTTCCCAAAAGAACATTGTCTTATACGAACAGCGGTGACCTGTTGTGTTTTATAACCTGTATAATAATAATGCTTTTTTGTTGTTGTTGTTGTTCAACCAGCATATTAGTAAACGTTTCTCTAAGATGTGTAATTATAGAAGGAACCCCTAGTTTTTTTTCCTGGAAAATTGTAAGAAATTATCAAAGAGGGAATTTAATTTATTGTCAGCATTGAGTTCTAAAAGTTAAGCCAGACATGTTTGCATTCAAAATGATAATTATGAAGATTTTTAAGTTCATTGAAAATTTTACAAAGCACAAACTATATTGTATGTATATATGTATAAATTTAAAATAGGTCTATATAGTTACATACAATGACCCTATAGAAAAGTCTTGTTTCTCAGCTGCTCGTATATGAATCTGTTGTCCATATTTTCTTACATTATGCCACTTATGCCCATGCCAATTATATGCATTTGGTAAACTTTATTTCCTGAAACTTTTCAGTTCTCTAAAACTTATTTGGGAAGTTCTGGTATTTTGTGCAGTCATTTGTCAATGTATCACTTTGATATTTGATTTGAAAACGTTTTGAAGAATACTTGAAAATTCCAAAGATAAAATAATCCATTATCATAAAGCTATATTTAAAGATCACATTTACTGTCATTTGGTATGTTTATTTTTTCCCTGTTTGCTTAAAATTGGCACTGGGTAAAACAGAAACATTATTTTCAAATTTGTGTTTCTGGACAAAACCACCCAGTTGTAATTCACCAACAATAAATACATCTTTTGTTATTTGCTTGATTTTGTGTTCCTTTGGAGTTATCATTGTTAAATTTTTAGTTGTGATAATATAATTGTGTTTTAACTACTTTTATATACATATGTTCATTAACTTTGCCTTCACCAAAGGGCTGATAAAAATTTTAGTCTACCTTTTAATTTTGTATCCTTGCAGATGGATGTTAATAATAAACATTTTTGGTATGATGAGATCCTGACTGGTATTTTTTATCATGTAGCCAATTCAGAATATATCTTAGTTTTTCAATGTTAGGGAGAAGTAAGAAAAAAGATTGTTTCCAGTTTACTTGTATACACTAGATATACAAGTAAATAGAGTGATTGTGCCTGCATGCAACATGCAGTCTATTATTACTAATTGATTTTTGTTTAGAGAGAGAGAGGAAGGGAGAAGAAGAATCATCTATGTGAGAACAAAACATAAATTGGCTGCCTCCTGCACACCCCCTCCTGGGGATCCAGCCCACAACCCAGGCATGTGCCCTGACCGGGAACAGCAACCTTTTGGTGCATGGTACAACACTCAATCAACTGAGCCAAACGGGCCAGGGTGACGTGCAGTCTATTCTTGAGTAATTTTCCCTATCAAAATTATATGGTGACTATCAAAGGGTTGGGATTTTTTTCTTAATATTTTTTGTGTTACAATATTGATGAATATTTGTCTTAAAAGTCTTTTTTGCACCACATTAGTATCAGGTAAAAACCAACAATAAAGAAAATACGTAAAACAATTTTAAATTGGCTAGTATTCCATTTTATTCATATGACAAGTTAGCTATAATTAAGAGTGATTTGTCTCTAGACTTATCAAAAAATGTAATTTGTGTATCTGTCAGATTTGCCAAACTCAGCTATCAGAGGCCTGTGATAGCTCTGTTCACTTTCCCTGCCAGTGCCTTCCACTTGTGTATTTTTCTCTCACTTATTCCTCAGAGAAACACATTTTTGCTGTATAGAGGTCAGTGTATTGGAATGAATCCTTTGAAAAGTTGTTTAGTCTCAGTGGAAACTAAGTAGAAATATAAGCTAAAGTTGACTATAAATTAATTGATCAAGCCAAGGATGAAAGCTGTCAACACACTCTGCCATTATGATCTATTTGCACAGTTTTTTTAAAAAATTGAATTAGTTGCAAAAATTAGGGTTTAAAATTCTATAAATGTCACATAGAAAAATCTAGATCTCCTATTTATTTGGGGGGGGGGGGGGGAGAATGGGAATATATAACACTGCTACACTACCATTGCTGGAATTTAGGAACTGCTGCTGTTTTTTTAAAAATTGTTTACATTGGCCAAAACCGGCTTGGTTCAGTGGATAGAGTGTTGGCCTGCAGACTGAGGGGTCCCAGGTTCAATTCCAGTCAAGGGCATGTGACTTGGTTGTGGGCACATCCCCGATGGGGGGTGTGCAGGAGGCAACTGATGGATGTTTCTGACTCTCTGTCCCTCTCTCTTCCTCTCTGTAAAAAATCAATAAAATATAAAATTAAAAATTAAAAAAATTGTTTACATTGAATAGTTCCACTATTCATTAATGTTATCAGCCTAAATCTTCTAGGTGTTTGAATTTGCATTTCCTATTCTAAAAGTACATACATAGTCGTTTTAGTGTTTGTTAAACATAATGACTGTAGGCTTAATATGTTTTATCAGCTATAACTTAATCATTCCTTTAGTTGAAAGGTATAGATTGCATTGAGGTATTCTAGTTTAAATACTTCTATGGCTTATTTCTTATAACATACTGATTTCTTGATTAGAATTGTGTTTGTTGGTTTTTTTTAATGAAATTAAAAGTAGTGAAAGAAAAACTAGATCAATATATTTTGTCTTTATACATAGCAATTACTTATAAAATAACTTGAATAAAAAATTACCGCTTATATACAAAAGAGTCTCTTCTTTCCATTTTATTTATCCCCTTATAATTAGGTGGGTTTGGAGGATTTGGGACATCTACAACCGCAGGTTCTGCATTCAGCTTTTCTGCTCCAACTAACACAGGCACTACTGGTAAGAGGACAATCTTAAGTCATTTGTAGAAGTGAACTAGAGCTCAGATTTTTTTAACTTACGCAATTTCAATTTTCCATTAAAAGGACTCTTCGGTGGTACTCAGAACAAAGGTTTTGGATTTGGTACTGGTTTTGGCACAACTGGAACTAGTACTGGTTTAGGTACTGGTTTGGGAACTGGATTGGGATTTGGAGGATTTAATACACAGCAGCAGCAGCAACAACAAACTAGTAAGTATGACGTTTTCATCTTACTTCCAATATAAAATTATAACGTAGCTAACATTATTGAATGCACTGTTTAAAATACATTAGTGGATAACTTTTTTTAAAATTATAAATATTCCACAGGATTTCAAAAGCTACTTTTTATGTTTATATATAGCGAGAGGCCCGGTGCACAGATTTGTGTATATGTGGAGACCCTGGGCCTGGCCTGTGGGGGTGAGGCTGAAACCTGCTCTCTAACATCCCTCAGGGGTCCTGACTGCGAGAGGGCAGTTCTCAGGTGAGGCACCCCAGAATCGGGCTCCCTCCTCTCTGGTTCCGGGTGCGTCACCTGAGAACTGCAGCTGCCAAGTCACTGCAGCTCAGAGTGGTCATTGTGTGTCATAGCTACTGGTCGGACGATCACTTAGGCTTTTATGTAGAATAAATAATAACTTGGGAGAAGTCTAATTGACATGATTAGGATTATAAGTTTTTTTGTATCATTCTTTTTAATTTTTTTGTTGTTGCTAAAAAAAAAATAACAAAAATATAGAAAACTGCACACAAGTACTGTTTAATGAATTATATATAAAGTGAACACCCTGCTGACCACTGCCCATGTCCGAAGATGGACCTGGCCAGTCTCTTCAGAAGCCCTCCACATTGTCGCCCTAATCATTTCCCCATGAAAGGAACTTCATGTCGTTTATTACATTCAATTCCTTTTATAGTTTTGTCACTCAAGTGTGTAAACAATATTGCTTTATTTGTCTTAAACCTCTAAGTTCCTCTTTTAGCTCTCTTTTTTCAAGTTATTAAAAAAATTAGCTAATTTGTCCTATGGAGTTTTTCAGGCAGGTCTTTGCTGATTGCATTCCTGTAGTATAATTTAACATGTTCCTTTGCCCATCCTCTGTATTTTTTTCCTGTAAAAGGAAAACCAGTGTAATTTGCTATAAAGAAAAGATAATCAAAATTTAAGCACAAAGAAAATATAATAGTATTAATAAATTCTAGCTAGACATCTTTGTGCCTTAAGCTCTGAGTCTTAGACATCTTCAACCCTTAGTTAAAAAATGAGATAAGCCTAAACCGGTTTGGCTCAGTGGTAGAGCGTCGGTCTGCGGACTAAAGGGTCCCGGGTTCGATTCCGGTCAAGGGCATGTACCTGAGTTGCAGGCACATCCTCAGTAGGGGGTGTGCAAGAGGCAGCTGGTCGATGTTTTTCTCTCATTGACATTTCTAGCTCTCTATATCTTTCCCTTCCTCTCTGTAAAAAATCAATAAAATATATTTAAATTAAAAAAAAATGAGATAAGCCCGGTCGTGTGGCTCAGTTGGTTGAACATCATCCCATGCACCAACAGATCACGGATCCCTGGTCAGGGCACATTCCTGTGTTTCAGGCTCAATCCCTAGTAGGGGGCGTGAGGGAGGCAACTGATAGATGTTTCTGTTTCTCCCTTCCTCTTCCTCTAAAATCAATGAAAACATTTTTTTTAAGTGAGATAAAGTCATGAAACATTAAAGGCATACTGGCACCAAACAAACTTTTCTAGAAGATATCTCCTCCTCTTCCTTGTTATCCTTCTTCTCCTACTCCCTCTTTCCCCTCCTCCTTCTCTTCCTCCCGTCCTCTTCTTCCTCCCCCTCTTAAAAGCAAGCAAGAATTTATTGACAACAGCAAAAACACACAGGACAGTGAGACAAGGAAGGGCATAGAAGAAGCAACAGGAGAACGTAGGCTGGGCTTATAGGGAGTCAGAGAAAAGGGGGCCTTGGAGGCAGGTTCATGGGGTTAGTTTGGGACGAGTTGCTGCTGCCCATTGCTCCCCTGGTTACAGGTCTTCTGGGGTCCCTTGGAGTTTAGGAAATAAGTGCCTTTGGAGGGAAGGGAATGGCCTAGGAGTGCCCAAAGAGATTTTTTTTTAACCCTCACCCATGTATATTTTTCCATTGGTTTTTTTGTGAGAGTGGAAGAGAGAGAAAAGACAGAAATATCAATGTGAGAGAAACACATTGATTAGTTGCCTCCTGCATGTGCCCTGACCTGGGCCAAGGAGGAGCCTGCAACCAAGGCACGTGCCCTTGACCAGAACTGAGCCCTTCGGTCCACAGGTTGGCACTCAGCCTCTGAGCCGAATGGGCTGGGGTGAGACGCTTTCTTAAAGGAATTAGTCCGTTTAGTAACCCAGCTGTTGCTTGACAGCTATATCATACCGGGGTACTTTATCTTGCACTTTGGAAATATTGATCTGATCTAACATCTTTGCCCTTCTTACTATTGCAAAGTTGTAGCACATAGAGATTAAGTAACTTTCCCAAAGCTACACAGCCAGCTAAAGCTTTATCCTAGAATATTGATGGTTAGTTCATTTGTTCTTTTCACTATATTTTTCTTGTTAATAAGAGAAGGAAAAGTGTTTATTAATCCTATCAGGCCTGAAGCCCTGAAGCTAACTGTCCCCTATACCTGGGCTCCTGAGCATTAAAGAGAAAAAATCAATCATAGAAAAATGTTAGTTACATGCAAACAAGTGGTTAGAATAAGATGGAACTTAGAGACATTGTAGAAAATAGGTCTAAGCAAAGTACCAAAAATTAGGTATAGCAGCAGATTCAGAAATTACCGAAAAATTGGTACAGCAGTCTGGTAGGGTTAAGCTGTTATTGATAAACATTGATATAATGATCCCTATTGCTTATTTTTTTATCTTTCAATTTGTATTTATTATACAAATATAACAACAAAAAAGGTTGTTTAAGAGATAACTTTGCAACTTCACAGAATTAACTTTTTCATATCTTTGTCCTTTTTTTATTTTTGTGTGTGGGTCTAATATGGATCTAAATTTGTGTTCTAGTAATATTAATTGTATTAAGATTATATCATTAGAGAAATAAGTTTAACATTATAAGGATTGTCCTAGTATATTAGTTTCTTTTCTTTTTTAAAGAATATTTTTTGCCCTGACTGGTTTGGCTCCTTGGATAGCATGTCAGCCTGCCCTCTCTCCCAGTCCGGGAGCCCTCAGGGGCAGGAGGCAACCCTGCCATCAGGGGAAAGTGACACTCCCATCACACCTGTGCTGCTGCCACTGCTGGCAGCACAAGCCTTGGCCAGCCCTGGTTACCTGAGCTTCAGGTCGGCCTTGAGGGGCTGAGGGCAGGTCCAGTCGCACCCAGCACCTGCCTCCCTCCTCTCCACCTCCTCCTTCCTCCCCTTGGGTCTGAAAGGACTGGAGGACTCTGGCAGGGCTGAGGGGACTGAGCACTGCCATCTTGTGGCTATGGGTGCCACAATCTTTGTGAGGGTGTGATGGTTAATTTGCATACTCTCTTTTATTAGATAGGATTTTACTTTGATGTTGACTTCCCTCTTCCCTCTATGATATATGTTGAGTTCCTCCTGACAATACAGGATAATCCCAGTTTAATCTCATAATCACATCTTCAAAGTCCATTTGCCGTGTAAGGTAACATATTTACAAATTATGGAGATTATGATATAGGCACCTTTGTATGTAGGGGTCATTATTCTGCCTACCATACTTAGGCTCTGAATTGTGTGTGTGTGTTTTTTTTAAAAAAAAATACTAATTTTGGGATATGTTTTTAGCATTAGGTGGTCTCTTTGGTCAGCCTACACAGGCTCCTGCTCAGTCCAACCAACTGATAAATACTGCAAGTGCTCTTTCTGCTCCGACGCTGTTAGGAGATGAGAGAGATGCTATTTTGGCAAAATGGAATCAACTGCAGGCTTTTTGGGGAACCGGAAAAGGATATTTCAACAATAACATACCACCGGTGGAATTCACACAAGAAAATCCCTTTTGCCGATTTAAGGTATTAATGCTTTTGATCTTCACTTGAAGGGTGTGCATAAAACAGAATATAGTGTTTGGGTTAAGATAACACCAATAAAACAGTTGCTTGGTTGTTGTTTTTTTTCGGTACTCCTTAAACATGGTACAATTATATTTTTATTTTAAAAGTACAAAAATTATAAAATTGAGATGATTTCATACATGTGTGTTTGAAGGTGCACAGAATATGACTGAAAGATGTGACTAATTTATAACTGAGGGGGGAAAATGTTAAAAGGGGAATGGTCTGCTTGGCATCCATTAAAGGGAGATGTAAAAGTAGAATTTAGTGGTATTTATCTAACATTGTCCAGGAATGTATACCCTACCCACTCAGAGTATCTTATTGTCACTATTATTGCTGAATGCTAAGGTCATTAAAACAGTGTAGTCTATTTTCAGTGTTGATTCCATGATTATCAGGCAACCTGGTCGTATGAATTTGACTTCTCAGATTCTGTTCATCAGCCAGTTAGAGTATATGGGTCAATTTGAGGTGTATTTTTTATAACAAATTAATAAATTATAATCCAGTTTACTTCAGCCTCTTTTGAGTTTTATTGGTGTATATCAGTCTCTTAAAACTAATCAATGTGTACGTAAGCCTAGTATTTAAGCTACGAAGCTAAGAATCAGATCCTTGAACAACAAAAAGGAAGTAGTTTTTTTAGTATGTTGAAATTTTAATACCTTTATTTAATGACTAAGATTTATGCAGTAAATATACATAGACTAAATATAACAATTTGACTTTTTCCTTTTTTAAGTTGATAAATAACATGCATATGGTAAAATGCATAACAAACTATAGTGAATTTAAATTTTTCAAAAACATGCATTATAAGTAGTGACAAAAAAAGGCTTCTATCTAAAACAGTAATTCTCTAAAGATATAGTTTATCATGTCTAAAACCTAAGATTCTCTGAGTCTAGTATATAGTAAAATGACTTACATTTTGGTCCATGACTTTTGCAGACATTTTTATGACATTCAGAGTTGTTTCAATTGTAGAAGCACCCAACAAATGCGGATATCAATGTTTTTCAGAGGCAAAAGTTACTTAGTTACTCTTTTGAAAAGGAATTTTTAATTTCATTCTATGAGTGTTATTCTGGGATAAAATAATTTATTTAAAATGCGTAACCTCCTAGGGCACAAGGAGGTGAGAATCATTACTTCCTTTGCTACCAGACATTAAACGGTTTCCCCATGTTAGCAGATATGAAGCTATTAATATCAAATACTGGATTTAAGATCTGTACATATTTCTGATAATGTTTATTTTGCCATTCCACAGGCAGTAGGTTATAGTTGTATGCCCAATAATAAAGATGAAGATGGGCTTGTGGTTTTAGTTTTCAACAAAAAAGAAACAGATATTCGAAGCCAACAACAGCAGTTGGTAGAATCATTGCATAAAGTTTTGGGAGGAAACCAGACCCTTACAGTAAATGTAGAAGGTATTAAAACATTGCCAGATGATCAGTAAGTATTCAATAAGTATACTAATTATATCTGTATGCCTTGGTCCAGAGAATGATCAAGTGTTTTTGTTGCTAAAATCCCAGTTAAATCTCAGAGCAGAATGTTACTTCTCAGAAAGTGATTTTTCAGTATTTATGCAGAAACATTTGAAAACTTTTTTCTTAATCTTGGATTTTTTTAACTTACTAGATGCTAGTAATTTTTCAGATTTTTCTCTTAGAAACAGGAATAAATATTAATTGTGACTGTGTGCATATCAAGGACCACAAAGATGTTAATGAAAGTTTTGACTATTATTCATGTTCATTTATGAATAAATATGATTGATTAACTTACCTTGTCTGATAGTTTTCATACTTAGTAGCTAAACATTTACTTCAGAATATAACTAAAGTCAGAATTTACTTCTTGGTCTTACTTACAGTAAAACAACGTATAAGTTTCAACAGAATCTCCAAAGTACTTCTCAAATCTAAAAAAAAAATAGAACTTTGCAGCTAAGCAAACCTTTGACAAATATTATCTTATTTGCCTGTCTCATTTTAACTTTATCATTTAAGTTAATTTATAAGTGAACAGAACATTAAGATTATCTTATTTTTCAAGACTTAATTCTAAAGTAGTCATTTCTTAATTCAACTAGTGCCCTTTAAAATCACATGCTGCACTGATATTTGTGACTATGAGTTATATGTTTCATATTTTATAACTTGGTTGTTTTTTTCCCAGGACAGAAGTTGTCATTTATGTTATTGAGCGTTCTCCAAATGGTACTTCAAGAAGAGTTCCGGCTACAACACTATATACCCATTTTGAACAAACCAACATAAAAACACAGCTGCAGCAACTTGGTGTAACCCTCTCTATGACTAGAACAGAACTTTCTCCTGCACAGGTCAAACAGCTGTTACAGAATCCCCCTGCTGGTATGTTTCTATACTCATAGAGTTAAGGAAATGAAAGACTTCGAGATATATGCTTTCTCTATTTTAAAAGGTGTTGGTTGATTATTAATGTTAATAAAACCATTGTCAGCTTATCACATGCCTACCTATTCACATAGATTGGATTTTTAAATTTCATTTATTTGTCTAGGTTTTTTTAAAATTATTATGTGGCAAATATGTTTGTTAGAAATAGCGAACTAAAGAAAAGTCATTTATAATTCATCTACCCAAAGGAAATTTACTGTTTTATTTTTTTCAAGTTTAACTGTTGTTTGAACTGAGTCTTCTAGTAAAACCTGAATGTGTTCTTATCATAAAAGATGTCCTTTTATCCATTTTCTATTAGATTTTTTTTTCTGTCTTTCTTTGTGATTTGTAGAAGCTATATAGTATCTTAATAAGTTGTAGGTGTTTCCTATCCATCTACGCCTTTTATTTAGCTTTAACTTACAAAATTTTTATTTTTGTAGTGGTCATATTTGACAGTTATTTCTCATTACAGCTTATGAGTTTTTTAAAAATATATATTTTATTGATTTTTTACAGAGAGAAAGGGAGAGAGATAGAGAGCTAGAAACGTCGATGAGAGAGAAACATCGACCAGCTGCCTCTCGCACATCCCCTACTGGGGATGTGCCTGCAGCCAATGTACATGCCCTTGACCGGAATTGAACCCGGGACCTTTCAGTCCGCAGACCGACGCTCTACCACTGAGCCAAACCGGCTTCGGCACAGCTTATGAGTTTTATGTTTTACTTTGGGAATGCTTTTCATACAAATACCATAAAAATGGAAAATAGTTCTTTTAGAAAAAATATTTTTCTTTGTGGTAGGTGTTGACCCTATTATCTGGGAACAAGCCAAAGTGGATAACCCTGATTCTGAAAAGTAAGTACATCTTCATCTTTTTTTCATATAAGAACTAATATTTGCTACTATGGAAGCAAACTATTATAATTACTGGGGGCTGTGAGGCTTCAGTAGGCATCGGGACAGGTTTTGGCCCATCCTCCGCTCCTCTGCTTAGCGCCTCCTGCTGCGGCACCTGTTCTGTCTGCTGGCAGCCCCTACTTAGTGGCTCCCACATGCTGACAATGCTGGCCCCGGCTTGCACCAGCTGATGGCACAGAGTTATTGGGGCCAGCGCCTGCATCTGCTACCCCAATCACCCCTTAGGAACGGGGAGGTGGAGAAGCTCTCGGGCGATCGGGGCAGCAGCCGGTGCAAGCAGCAGCTCTGGCACCAGCTGCAAGCAGGACTGGCACTGGCAGTGGATGCGAGCAGTGGTTCTGGCACCGGCAGCAGGTGTGACAGGTGGCTGCTGGCCCAATTGCCCCTCAGGAGCAGGGGGGAGTGGAGAAGCCCTGAGGGGTGCTGGCAACAGATGCAAGTGCCTGGCAGTACCGTGGCACGTAGGAGCGAAGAATTTTCAGTAACCACCAAAGGCTCACCCACATGACAGTGACCATCATCTTGCCTTGGTCTGGTGTCCCTGCTCACCTGCTTCATCATTCCGCAATGGCGATGCCCGCCATGTTCCACTCTCTGACACCTGCTGCTGACACCTGCCATGTTCCATGCATGCCCCCCTGCCATGTTCCATGCACACTTGCCATGTTCCATGTTATATGCATGTTCCATGCATATCATAGTGACCAGTTCGGTCATTTGTTTGTTCCGCCGTTTGGTCTTGTTTGCATATTAGGTTTTTATATATATATATAGATAGATAGATAGATAGTCATACTTTAGGTGAGCTTATTTTCATTTCTATTGCTTTTCTAAAAAATTTTTATTGATTGATTTTAGAGAAAGAGGGAGAGAGAGATAGAAATACCGTGTTTCCCCAAAAATAAGACATCCTCTGAAAATAAGACCTAGCGCATGGAAAGATAAGACATCCCCTGAAAATAAGACCTAGCGCAATTTTGGGAGAAAAAATTAATATAAGACACTGTCTTATTTTTGGGGAAATAGGGTATCAATTTGTTCTACTTATGCATTCATTGGTTGATTCTTATATGTGTGCTGACTGGGGATTGAACCCGCAACCTTGCCGTATCAATAGCTCGAATCAACTGAGCTACCCAGCCAGGAGGATTTCTATTGCTTTTTAAAGAATGTTGACTATGGTAAGGCAGCCTTTTGTGGCGAAGACATTGAAATCTGAACACCAGTAACCTTATAATGTTTGTATTTAATAATGTAACTTTCCTAAACTAAATTTCCTCATTTGTAAAATAGAGAGATTGAATTAAGTTTCTATGGTGTGACGTTATTAATTTCATAGTTGTAGATCTGCCTTTAAACTCTAGAAATTTAATGTGAAATTATATGAATGTTATAAAAACCGTTTTTGAATTTTGTAATAGTACACTTCAGGTTTGAAAACTGACCACTTGAATTTCTTCAGGTTAATTCCTGTACCAATGGTGGGTTTCAAAGAACTTCTTCGAAGACTGAAGGTTCAAGATCAGATGACGAAGCAGCATCAGACCAGATTAGATGTAAGCATTTGCCTTCATTCTCTGGCCTTGGGGTCATAGAAATTTCATTTCACCATATGTGTTATTTATTAACTAGTAGTTTTATTTTATAGGGAACAATATAGTGTATATTGCAAATTAGCAATTATAATTTTATACAACTTTCTTTATCATAATCTCCAAAATCATGTAAATCTGATTTGTTATACTAGTATTTCAGTGGTGAATTTAAAATTGTTGGCTTAGCAGATTAGACTTTCATTTTCAATTCCAGCCAGAGAATGCATATAATTTGCTCTATTATAAACACTTTTATTTATGGGGCCTTATAAAAATGAAGGTTACAATTATGATGATGTTATCATAGTATTTTATAATTGTTGGTTAATAAAGCAAATTTAAGTTATTGAATGCTTAAATCTACATAATATTTTGTTTTATAAAGTAGACTTTTGTAATCAAATACCCAAATTCTCTAAATGGAATTTTTAATGTGCTGTTCATTCAGATTCTGTTTGAGTAATGAAAACCTGCTGTTTTATGAAGCAACCCATTTCTCTGTCAGCTAGCTCTAATGGATACAAATTCTCTTTTTACATTGACCCAGTATCTGCCTTGTTATAATTTACACCCATTTTCTCTGGCATTGCTTTGTAAGTACTGACTGTGCTTCCTATGACAGCTCTACAAATATTTAAACATCATAATCATTCATCCTTTTTAGTATTAGTTTCTCTGGATAAAAATTTTAGCATAGTTTTGCATGTGAATGATTTCTTGACACTTCATTACCTTGGTTTTATTGTTTTTTCATTGACTTTTCTCTGGTTTTGTTTATAACTTCATTAATTTCTGCTGTTAACTATCTCCTTTATTCTGCTTGCTTTGGATTTTTCTCTTTTTCTAGTTTCTTAAGGTAGCATCTTAGGTTATTTGAGACCTTTTGTCTTTTCCAATATAAGCATTTAATGCTATTAATTTTCTTGTTTTTCACCTAAATCCCACAAATTTTGATAATGTCCTATTTCCATATTTGACTGTTGGATTTTTTTCACTAATGGTTTATTTTTTAATTAAACTTTCTATTACATTTATTGGGGTGACATTGGCTAATAGGACCATATGACTTGCAGGTGAACATTCCTATGATGCATGATCTGTGTACTGCATCGTGTCTGCTGCCAAAGTCAGATCATCTTCCATCGCCTGATATTTGGCTCTCTTTACTCCCCTCCTTACTCCATTCCCTTCCTTCTGGTAACCACCATACTGTTGTCTGTGTCTATAGGTTTCACTCTTATATCCCACATATGAGTGAAATCATGTGGTTCTTAGCTTTTTCTGATTGACTTATTTCACTTAGCACAATATTCTCAAAATCTATCCATAGCATCTCAAATGGCAGTATTTCATGTTTTCCTGTGGCTAAGTAATATTTCATTGTGTGTGTGTGTGTGTGTGTGTGTGTGTGTGTGTGTGACATTCTTTATCTAAGCCTGAATTATTTAAAAGTATTTTCATTTCCAAGTGTTTGGAGATTTTCCTGATATTTTGTTGTTGATTTCTAGTCTGATTCTTATTATGGTCAGATATCTTTGTATGACTTCAATTCTTTTAAATTAGTTATGGTTTTTAACTATATGCCTTTGAAAAAGATACGTATTCTGATGTCCTTGGGTGTAGTTTTGTGTTATCGTGAGTGAAATCCAGTTAGTAGATAGTTAATTCTTATAAAATCTTTTTGATTTTTCTGTTTAAGTAGTTCTGCTATGAGAGGAGAATTGAAGTTTCCAGCTACAGTTGTTTTATCTTTTTTCTTTTTTTTTGTTCTACCATTGGAAATGAAGAAACCTGATATGATTTTTAATCTTTTTAAATTTACTGAGACTTTTTTTGACATCTAACATGTGGTCTGTCCTGGAATAGCATATTGTTTTACAGCAAACTTTGTTAAGTAGAAAGAGAATACTCTAAATAATGATAAAAAGTATAATGTGGTGAATACATAAACCAGTAACATAGTTGTTTATTATCAAGTATGCACTGTACATGAATGATACTTTTATGGCAGCCCAATAGGTGGTTTATACCAGCGTCACCACAAGCACAAGTGATGCATGAGCTATGACCTAGGCTGTGGATTCAGTTCTCCATTGGGAGGCAACCAGTCAGTGTTTCTTTCTCTCTTCTCTCTCCCTCTCCATCTCCCTCTCTCTCTCTAAAATCAATAAACATATTTTTGAATGAAGGTAAAAAACAAATTTTAGATGTACTTTATATTTAGAAATATAAAGACAGATTTAAAAGGAGTTTATATTTTGAGAGATGAATCTCAAGCTTAGCTTAGAAATTACACTTTGTATATAGGTGAACCTGATAAATAGTTGTGATATATATTCATGATTTACCGTGAACTCTTATAAAAATACAGATCATATCTGAAGATATTGGTGAATTACAGAAGAATCAAACTACAACTATGGCCAAAATTGCACAATATAAGAGGAAACTCATGGACCTTTCCCATAGAACCTTACAGGTGAGCATTCTGGATATTTTTTTCAACATTTATAAGGTTACATAAGTAATAGAAGTGCCAAATATGGATTTTTTGTAGTAGATAAAAGGTAATAGTCTGAAACTAAAAGTAGCAAACTTTCTCAGTAAAACGTGTAAGTTGGAGGAGTGGCATCTCAAGATTGGGTGAAGAAAATTAAAAATAGTCTAAAATGCACATCTCATTGACAGGGTCAGGGGGAACAGTAAAGAAAGAAATCATCTTGCCCTGGTCAGTGTGGCGTGGTTGGTTGGAGCATTGTCCCATATACACCAAGATCCCTGGCCTGGTTGCATGTGGGAGGCAAATAAATTATAGGATAAATTACAGAATGTGGAAAGATGAATATATATGTGATAAATACTATTAATGGAAGCAGGAAAATATCTTTTTCACTATGATGAAAAAACTATAAAATACTTAGGAATAAATTCATGAGAAAAATATAAAATCTGAATTAATGTTTACAAATAGAAAGTATAACAGTGGGATTTCAATTTAGTAGGTATATTTAACTTTAATGGAGTAACTGGCTATCCATCTGGAAAAAATTAAAATTAGACCACTGTATCAAACCATACACAAAAATAAGGTAGATTAAAGATTTAACTCTTAAGAAATTTATGAAGCTAGGGATTAGAGAGACTTTTGGCCAGAAAGCCAGAAACTGTAAAACAAAATTGGCTACATAAGAATTGGAAAATTTTGTATAGCAAAAGATACTAGAAAGAAGCTATTTGTCAATAATTTAGTGATAGATTTCAGAAAAAAAAAATTTTGAATTTGAAAATATAGATTTTAGCTATAGTATAAATATCCATATTATACAAAGAGATCATATAAAAGACAAGAAAAAAACAATTGAGATATAGACATATTATGTAGAAAAGCAGTTCATAAAGTGGAAATGATTAAAAAAGATGTGTTCCCTTTATACTTATCAGGTGGGAAAAATTCAAATCATCAGAACCAATAGCTAACAGGAATGTGGGGGAAAGTATACATAATCACACGTGCCTTGTGAATTTAAATTTGTAGGATCTTTTGAGAAAGCAGTGTAGCGGCTTCTGTTAGACTGAAAACATATACTTTTATTTTTAAATATATTTTTATTGATTTCAGAGAGGAAGGGGGAGAGAGAGAGAGGCATCAGTGATGAGGGAGAATCATTGATTAGCTGCCTCGTGCATACCCCCCTCTGGGGATCGAGCCTCCAACCCAGGCATGTGTCCTTGACTGGAATCGAACCTGGGACCCCCTGATCTGCAGGCTGATGCTCTATCCACTGTGCCAAACCAGCCAGTGCTGAAAACATACTTTTAAATCCTACACGTTCTTGGGGTCTAGATCAGTAAATCAAGATGTGTGTGTGTGTGTGTGTGTGTGTGTGTGTGTGTGTGTGTGTATACACATTCTTGGGGTCTAGATCAGTAAATCAAGATGTGTGTGTGTGTGTGTGTGTGTGTGTGTATACACATTCTTGGGGTCTAGATCAGTAAATCAAGATATATGTATGTGTGTACATACATGCATATGTATATGTACATATGTGTATGCATGTGTGTGTACCCACATATATACATATATACACACACATTCACACAAATGTGTGTGTAAGTGTGTGTGTGTGTATATATCTATATATATAGATATATAGATATATAGATAGATATATATACACACACACAAAATATATGCTCCTCAATAGGGAAATTGAATAAATTATTGGTTAATTCATGAAAAATTATGGCCGTTGAAAATAATGTACTAATGTAACTTAACTAATATAAACGGACAAACATTATTCAAATCTTGAACTAATATTTACACTATATTGTTAGTATATTATTTGGCTGATTTCTTCCAACAACTGATAGTAATAAAATTACTTGCATAACAGAAAAGAGATGATCCTTATTGGAATTGGTGGTTTTTCTTTGTATAGGTCCTAATCAAACAGGAAATTCAGAGGAAGAGTGGATATGCCATCCAAGCTGATGAAGAGCAGTTGCGAGTTCAGCTAGACACAATTCAGTGTGAACTGAATGCACCTACTCAGTTTAAGGCAAGCACTTATACAACTGCTAGAAGCCTGGTGCACGAAATTTCCTGCAAGTGGGGAGGTGGGCATTCCTCAGTCCAGCCTGCACCCTCTCCCAATCCAGGACCCCTCTGGGGATGTCTGACTGCCGGTTAACTGGCAGTTGAACATCCCTCTCACAAGCGGGGACTGCTGGCTCCCAACCACTTGCCTGCCTGATCACCCCTAACCACTCTGCCTGCCTGATCACCCTAACAACTTGCCTGCCTGCCTGCCTGCCCACCTCTAACCGCCTTTGCCTCAGCGTGCCTTCCCCCTCCCCCCCAACCAGTTTTGTCGGGAAGGATATTCTGAATGACATCCAGAAGGTCATTTGGCTGTCCGGTCCAATTAGCATATTATACTTTTATTATTATAAAGGTATAATTTGTTTCAGGAGGATCTACAGAAAAATACTACTGGTCTCAAAAATAGGACTTTTGTATACTTGGGTTTTTTTTAAAGTATTTGTTCTCTTTAATCAAAACTTCCTTTCTAAAGTAGACTCTTAATCATGGTGTTTTTGTCTTGTATCGGGTTTAGTAATAATTAATGTCGTTTTTAAACATTCGTTTAAAATCTTGCTTGACGTTGACTTGTATTGACATAACCTTCAAACACGTGGTATCTACAGAACGTGTGAAGTGCAATTAACAAGTTTTGCTTGAAAAAGCTTGTGTTTGGTTTGGTTTTTGTTGCAAAACTAGGGCTAAGAAGATGGCGGATGAAGAGCATATTCGGCACTGCATGCTTTACGAGTTCCAATTAGGAAGAAAAGCAAGTGAGGCTGCAAAAAACATCTGTAGTGCTCTTGGTCAAGATGCAGTTAGCGCCAGAAAATGCCAGCGTTGGTTTGAGAAATTTCGCGAGGGAAATTTTTCGTTAGATGACAAGAGTGGTCGAGGCCGTGTGTCCAATTTTGATCAAGAAGCTCTTCAAGCTCTTTTGGTGCAAAATCCTCAAATTACCCAACAAGAGCTTGCCACAACTTTAAATTGTTCACAAAAAAACAATTTCCAATCAATTGCGTGCACTTGGCAAAGACCAAAAGTTTGGAAAATGGGTTCCTCATGAGTTGACCAACAACAACCGTAATCAAAGAGTCACAATTTGCAGTTCGCTCCTCTCTCGTCAAAACCGTTTGCCGTTTTTAGAGCAAATTGTTACCGGAGATGAAAAATGGGTGCTGTATGTTAATTTGAAAAAGCGGCCTCAATGGTTGGACAAAAATGAGGCTCCGCAGCCCACGCCAAAACCTGACTTGCATGCGAAAAAAGTGATGTTGTGTGTTTGGTGGCATTTTAAAGGAATTCTTCATTATGAACTTTTACCATCTAACCAAACCATTACAAGTGCAGTGTCTAGTGCCCAATTGGAAAGGTTAGCCCAAGCTTTAAGAGAAAAAGAACCCGCGCTGATTAATCGGAAGGGCGTAATTCTTCACCACCATAACGCACGACCGCATACTGCAAGAATCACTGCTGAAAAATTGTGCCAGTTGGAATGGGAAGTTCTCCCTCAACCTGCATATTCTCCTGATATTGCCCCTTCCGATTACCATTTGTTTCATTCTTTGCAAAACTTTCTTCTTGGAAAAAAATTTAATAATGAAGGATGCCTCAAAAATGCATTGACCGAATTTTTTGCATCAAAATCACAAGAATTTTACAACAGAGGGATTAAAATGCTTCCTGAGCATTGGGCACAAGTAGTAGAAAACAACGGCAACTATATTGTTGATTAAATTTTGTTGTATTGTTTAAATAAATTCGATTTTAAAAAAGTATTAGAAAACGACATTAATTATTACTAGACCTAATATTAACATTTCAAATAGTCTACAGAGGGAAAATAAGACATCTTTAATATAGTATCCATCCTTTTAAAAGGAAACATTCTCTTTTAAAAGTGGCTGCTGTTGTTAGCAGTTATAATTTGACTTAAGTCTTATTTTTAGGGCCGACTAAATGAACTGATGTCCCAAATCAGGATGCAGAATCATTTTGGAGCAGTCAAATCTGAGGAAAGGTATTACATAGATGCAGATCTGTTACGAGAAATCAAGCAGGTAAGTGTTACACTAGTGTGCACTTTTCTTTTTTAATCCCCACCTAAAGATATACTTACTGGTTTTAGAGAGGGGGTAGGGGAGAACATTGATTGGTTGTGGTTGCCTTCCGTATGTGCCTGACAGGATTAAACCTGCAAGCTAGGTGTGTGCCCTGACTGCAAATCAAATCTGAGACCTTCCTGTGCAGTTCATAGGACAATGCTCCAGACAACAGAGCTACTCAGACCAGGGCTAGTGTGTACTTTTAAAAAGGTGATCGATCACTTCACATCCATTGGGGTGGCTATTATTAAAAAACAAAAACAACACAGAAAATAGTGTTGATGAGGATGTGAAGAAAATGGAAGACTTGTGTATTGCTGGTGGCAGTGTAAAATGATATAACCACTGTAAAAAATAGTTCCTTAAAAAAATCAAACGTAAAATTACCATATGATCCAGCAATTCTACTTCTGGGTATATACCTAAAAGAATTGAAACCAGAAACTCAAATATATGTATACTCATGTTCATAGTAGCATTAGTCATTGTACCCAAAATATGGAAGCAGCCCAAGTGTCCATAGATGGATGAATGAACAAAATGTGGTATATACATTCAGTGGAATATTCAGCCTTTAAAAAAGGACATTCTAACACACTACAACATGGATGAACTTGGAAGATATTATGCCAAGTGAAATAACTAGTTTAAAAGGACAAACATTTTATGATTCTACTTCAATGAAGTACCTAGAGTGCTCCATCCATCAGAGTAGAAGGGTGGTTGCCAGGGGCTCAGGGAGGGGAAATGGGGAGTTAGTGTTTAATAGGCACACAATTTCAGAAAAAGTTCTAGAGGTAGATGGTAGTGATTGTTTCATAAGGTGAATGCTACTGAATTGTGTACTTAAAAATGGTTAAAATGGGCATATTTTTGTTATGTATACTTTACCATAATAAAAAAATAAGTAAATCATTCATTTGCCCAACCCCCCAAAAAATGAACAAGAGGTAATAGAGGCACCAAAATTCCCTACTTTGTGTAGTTGGTTTTAGTTCTGCTATTCAATGTGTTGGCAGCAGCAGCACCTGGGAGGTTATTAAAAATACAATATCTGTCCTTACACTAGACCTACTTAATACATTAAATGTATTTGAATGTACATTCAAGTTTAGAAATAATTGCTCTATATCACATCTTCCCAATCTGTATGTGGAGTTATTGATCCCCTCAGCCCTCAGGGGTCCTCGGTGAAGGTTAGGGTGGCCAAGACCTCCATTTATCTAAGGCTCACGTATGAACAAGTTGAAAAGTACTGTTCTTATTTTCAGTATAAATACAGATTGGTTTTTCTGAAAAACTGTCCAACCACTGACTGTCTAAAGAAAATGTATTCATGTGGTAAACTTTGTGAAGCATTATATAAGACTGTTAACATGGCCCAGAGGATTTTAGATGTTCTTAAATATCAACAATTCTGATTTTATTATGTGCTTTAGAATGGATATTTCCATTTTATGCAGTTAAAAACTAGTTTGGGTTCTAAGTTCCTGGATAGTGTGCATACATTTCAGCTATATTCCATTGTAAATATTTGCAATAAAATTAACTGAAAGATTCCAGCATATCAGAATAAAGAACTATATTAAAGAGTTTATATATGCAATAAAATGGGAGTAATACAAACATCTACCTAAAATGATGAAAAATAGTATTGTTTTGGGATTGAATCATGGCTCATCATCTACTTTATGACCTTGAGCAGGTTACTTACCTGCACCTCATTTTCTTTATTTGTAGAGAAGAGAAAGAATTGTACTTGGAAAATTGCTCAAAAAGATTTTAAATGAGTTAATACTTATGAAACTCTTCAAATTGCCTTAACCCCGTTGGAAAGAATCTTAAAAATGTTAGCAATTGTAATTAGCTCCATTATCATCACTATATACTTTGTACTCAAAAAATGTGAAAATTCTCAATTTCCATAATGTTTGCTTTGATAGGCATCTATATTTGAGTACCTTCTTGCACTGTTTTAATATCCTATGCTTTATCAGAGGTTGAGTAAAGGAATCTAAAACAAATCTGGAATATTTCTGTTGAAGATATTGCTCATTACAAGTTTGACTTTATAGTAGGTCATATAAAAATATTAGCAAAAGATAAGTATGCATGCCCACTATATTTAGAGCATCTACAGAGTGCTGTATTGCTAGTAAAGTAGTCCTTTTTCCTGTGAACAATTTGCAGTTTAATAAAGTAGTGCATTAATATTTTCTTCAATTCCTTCTAGCATTTGAAACAGCAACAAGAAGGCCTTAGCCACTTGATTAGCATAATAAAAGATGATCTAGAAGATATAAAGTTAGTAGAACATGGATTGAATGAAACCATCCACATCAGAGGTGGTGTATTTAGTTGACAGATCACAAACTTGTGTTGAAGGTTCGTGAACTCTATCTTCTTGCTACATCAGGCCTTCCCTAAGAATGAAACTGACCACATGGAGGAAAAGGAAAGAAAATCCTCTGCTTGCTTGGTTTTTGAGAAGGCTACTGACAAATTATTGTTCTTCAGATTTGAAATTAGTCACTTCACAACTCCTTCAAAGACAGCCTTTGGAAGATATCTAAAAGCTATTATTTAAGAAGTACATAAGTACCAAAAACATACTATTGTACATTTTTACAACAGCATTTTTCTTAAAAATAATCAGTGTTTAATGACTATTCTCCATTGAGCCTGTACTCTTTCCAAAGCAAGTAAATATGCAGTATCTACTTTGCACATAAAATGTATGACTACTTGGCTGTTGGAGATTTGTACTTTAGAATATAAATGTACATCAGTTTTTATATTTGTGAATTCATCTGTGGGAGGAGTAAAGAAAATCCAAGAGTATTTGATGATTAATGTGATTTTCATTTCATTCTATAAAGATTTGAAAATATATTTTTATATTTTTTTGCTTATTTGAAATTTACAGAACACGTACACAATTAGGATATAACAAAATTGCATTTTATCATTTTTGCAACTTTTTGTTTTTTTAAACATTTTTATTTCTAAAAATGATGAAAATAAATCTTGATTGTAATTACTTTTCTATAATTCTGTTTGGTGCTTTATTTAGCTCTAGAAGAATGACCATTCATGTCTATCACAATTCAAAAATTTTAGTCTTGCTTGTTTTAAAGTCTGATTTTTCCCTCCTAAGAAAAATATATCACTCCTGCTTATTTGACATGGCAAAAAAACACACAACTTCAGATATCATTTAGAATACAGAATTACCTAGCATATTATTAGTATCTAAAAACCCTAGAAAGTCTGATCATCATAATGTGAAACTGAATCTTTCATAACCAGGTAACTTTAAACAATTTTTCTTACTACAAATTGCATACCTGGGCTGCATGCAGTTGGAAATTGCTTTAACTTTCATTTCTGTGTGATGCATTGGTATGAGTCTTGCCATTGTGTTTATTATGAGGATAATGAGGAATGTATACTAAGAGGCCATCCTCTGAAATCCCACTATAGGAATTTTGGTCCAGCTATAGGTTAGGTAACAATTGTGTAGGAGACTGAGAACTTTAAAACTGGTTGTTTTATTTCCAAGTTAGTAGTCGTCTGCAGCCACTTTTGCCAACATTATGAGATGCAAACTTGTTACATTCTATATACCACCCTCTTTTGTCATACTTTCCTGCTCATTGTTACAATCCAATGTAAGGAAATTTTTTTCTCCTTGGACCAGAAGATAGCCACTTCTGTCATCCACATAGCCAACTGTGGGAGGTATCTGTCCCTCTGCACACCCTTTTACCATAGGAAGAGTTGTTCATCTGATGAGAATTGTTCCTTACATGAACAAATTACTACTCACACACACCATACTGACTTCTCTAGTCTTTTATTTTTCGTGTTCTGATAGGTTCCTAATTTTGCAAGATCAATACCCCTAGATAGGGTTTAGACCCTACCTTTTAAAGACACACACACACACACACACACACACACACACACACACACACGGACAGGTGACTTAACTGGGGACTTACTCATGTGTAAGGCTGACCTATGGTCCTTGTTCATGTAGCTGGTTAGTTATGACTTGATCTGTACATAATCAAGTTCTAGATTTAGGTGAGTAGGAGAAGATAAAGCACACTTGGGCCTCTGCTTAAAGTTGTGTTTTCCAGCGTAGTTTACAGAAGTTCTGTGTTTAGTCTGCAACTGGGAATGCTTCTTGCAGATAGACTAAAAAGTCTGAACAGGAAGAGAGTTATATGATGGAATTAAAGCACATTGAACCCCTAACAGTTTAAATTTTTTTTTAATTTATTTTTTTTTATTATTTTTTTTTTTTTTACAGAGAGGAAGAGAGAGGGATAGAAAGTTAGAAACATTGATGAGAATCATCAATCAGCTGTCTCTTGCACACCCCCTTCTGGGAATGTGCCCGCAACCAATGTACATACCCTTGACTGGAATCGAACCCAGGACCTTTCAGTCCGCAGGCAGACGCTCTAACCACTGAGCCAAACCCGTTTCAGCAACAGTTTAAATTTTATGTAGGGTTTTTTGTTTGTATCTTTCAAATCCTTTTTGAAATATTGGCAACATGTGAACAACTGTCAGTTACCAAAGCCCCAGGCCTAAATCAGTCTCTAGTGAACCGCTACAATACCCTGAGGAAAAAGGGTAGTATGCTGTATCACCTCATTTTCCTTTGCTTATTTAGCATACATATACAGTACTGTCTATTTTCCTGGATTAATGAGATTCAAATTAGGCACTATGTATGTGAAATACTTGGAAACTTGTGTTTACAGAACTATAAAATTTATATTTTGAGGGGTGATACTATTTGAAGTCAAAAGTCTAATCTTTAAGGATAAGTAGATCATCTTTAAAATGTTTTGCAGCAGCATGATGACCTACATTTTTTGCTACATTTTTAAATACAGTGCATTATGCTAAGTGGAATAAGTCAGAGAAAGGCATACCATATGATTTCACTTGTATGTGGAATCTAAACAAAATGGAAACACTCATAAAGAATACATTGGTAGTTATCAGAGGGATTGGAGGGGTGGTAAAAAGGTGATGGGATTAAGATATACTAATTGGTAGGTGCAGGGATGTAAATTACAGCCAGATGGATACTTGAATATGGAGGGGACCACTTTTTAAAGTATACTATTGTTTAACCACTATGCTGTACACCTGAAATATACAGAATGCTAAATGTAAACTATAATTTTTATCCATCCCCCTTTCCCCCCCGGAAAAAATTCTTATTTATGGATTAAATTCATGTTAACCACTAACATTGGGTATTTTCATATTGGCAAGTCTGAAATTATATATAATAATCTTAAATCTTTTATTGAATTCAACCAGAAATAACGTTTTTACAATAAGATTAATATACAAATAAGTGAAAATGATTCTACAACATAACTGGACGAACTTTGTAAATTTGAAAAGTGAATAACATATGCAATTCTCATTTTATCAACTGACTTTGGCCAACAAGTGAAAAATATAACATTCATTTTGATCATTTCCTGTGGGATCCCTGTAGTGTACTTCAAATAATAAAGAATATAGCTGACTACAGACTAACAAAGAGATATATAGAAGAAGCGCTGATTAAAATGATGATTGCCCCAAATCGTGGAAGGAGCATTTTGCCAGAGGATGCAGAGGGATGGGTTTTGGGACGTGGAGCTGGAGCTGGCACTGGCGCTGGCGCTGGAGCTGGAGCTGTTAACAAGAACACATGGTCATTGACACGTCATCAAGTTCATCTACCTATTCCATGTGTCCTGAATATGTAAACAATTCAAGTTGAGTTAGAAACTAAATTGAAATATTTCCAACCAGGAACAATTTTCACATAAATATCACTCATTAGAGATTTCAGGCTATATTTTCATATATAGGGAGGGGCAAAAGTAGGTTTACAGTTGTACATATGGAATAATACCATAATAGGTATAAGACAAGATAATTTTTATTCAAATCCTCTAGAATTAGCTATTTTCCATTTTCATTTCTTGTATATATAGGCAAGGTTAGGTTAATTTTGTTTCTTTTCTATTTCAAGTAAAGTATATTTCATATGCATATACTCACAGCTACCAATATACAACTGAATATCACTGCATTTTTAAATACTAACCCTGCAAGCTCATTAAAAAAAATTTCCCCTCATACATACAGCTTTCTGCTTTGGAGAAAACTGCTTCCCGATCATTTAAACTAGAGGAGAGAAACAGTGGAGTCCACCCCTCCCAGGATCTGTTTGATAGTACCCTTAACTCACATCCCTGACTTCTGGCTGTGTTTTGGCTTAGACTGTACAAGGGAGGATTGACTAGAAGCATCCAAATGGAATCACCACTCAGGATTTATAAGTGAGCCCAAGAAACAGTAAATTTTATAAAAGCTTTCAACTCATTTTGTCAATTTACTTGCCATAATTACAGACATGCAGTTACATGTACACAGATGGGGAAGTGGGCTAGCAGATGAATTCTTGCATTACTTTGTTACCATAGAGCAGTGCTTCTCAAGGGGCAATACTGCCCTTTAAGAGACAGTTGGAAATTTGTCTAGGTATATATTTTTTTAATGTTTTAATTTATTTCAGAGAGGAAGAGAGAGAGGGATAAAAATGATGAGAGAATTATTGATTTGCCTCCTGCATGCCCCCTACTGGGGACCAAGCCTGAAACCCAGGCATATGCCCTGACTGGAATCGAACCATGACCTCCTGGTTTATGGGTAGACTCTCAACCATTGAGCCACACGGGCTAGGATGTCAGGGTATTTATTGTCACAAGGATGGGGTAGAAGTAAAGGGCTAGTTTTGCACCATGAAAAATGGACCCCTACACAAATTTCAAATGCACTGCTAGACATATACATTAGTTAAAAACCTATATATAATTAAAAACCTAATTGTTAAAAAAACAGAACTTAGAGTCAGTTTTATATATAAAATAATTTTAGTTTTCATAAACAGTTCTATCCCGGACCCACTGTATTCACTGTCATCTTTTATAGTCACATAGAGTAGTTTCAGTCTTCTCTTAAATCCAAATTTATTTGTATAAGGGAATATAATCATCTGCATTATGTCTTCTAATATAATCTAGGCATTTACATATAAAAATGCATATAATTTGTTATAAATTATAGTTAGGATATAATTTTTTTAATGGGAAAAGGTAGGTCTTATCTTTGAATCTTATTTCAGGATAGTATAAGGGCTTTATAAAATATTTTTCAGAAAATGGGAGAATTGGGTTGACAGGATTGAGAACAACTGCTCTAAACAGACTCCACAAAGCAAATGACTGCTCAAGAAACTTCAAGGTGGCCCACCATATACACAAACATTTGGACATGACATTATATTGTTTTGATGCCTTAAATTCTTGAAACTGACCCTTCCAGAAAAAAAATTTTTTCTCACTTTTTCTGTATTGCAGATTAAACATTTATCAGCTAAGGAAATGAGATATTTCTTACTAGGTTTATTGATGTCTTCTTGACTTTTATATTCTAAAATATTAACAGATTTGAGTTAATTGCATTGTAAACCTATTTATCCAGAGAGAAAAAGCTAATTAAATGATTAAGCAAACTTGCTTATTCCTGGGAATGGGCCTCAGGAGCAGGGTATTAGGTTTAGAGGTATGTGTGAGCCTGGGGGAAGGGTTTAATTGTTACTTACACTCTGGATTTTTTAATTATTTTTAATCAAGGAAGTGTTGCCATTAAAAGAATGTTTAAAATTTTAATTTAAAAAATATACTGAATTTAGATTCCCAAATTCAAAATTAATACTATATGTAATTCATTGTACAAATGCTTTAGTATATTGCCACATTTATTTCTCACAGTCTTAGAAGGTAGATATAGTTTTCCATGTTATACAGATGTTCCTCAAAACAAAATCAGAGGTAATCAGTGGTAGTAATTTCAAAGCCTCTGATTTCAAAGCCTCCGCTCCTCTTTACTGTGCTATACAACCTCTAAATGTGTGCCTAGCACTTAAATATTAACATTGCCATATTTTGAAAACTTTGAAGCCAAATGCCAATTCTAAAAGCCCAGGATAGAATATTTTTTTTATAACAAATCTGGGTGAAAGACAAGTGTTGTGTGACAGAAAGTGAACAAAACTTGAAAAGTTTGAGTCCTGGTTGTCTCTACCCTTTAACAGGTTCCTTAACCTTCCAATATTTCGTGTCCTCATCTCTGAAATGGCAAAAACAGTATTTATCTTAGATTAAATGAGATTCAGTGTAAATGTTTTCACAAAAAAAGCATGCACTACACACAGCTTTCCAGGAGAGGGCACAATACAAAACAGTCCCTGCAAACCTATTAGTTGTAGACTCATGTCAGAAGTTAGCTGTTCAGCAGCGGCTGCCAGGCTGGGAGCGGCCAGGCCCGGAGCAGCCGGGTCGGGTGCGGCCGGGCCCGGAGCAGCGGTTGCCAGGCTGGGTGCGGCCAGGCCCGGAGCAGCAGCAGCCAAGTCCAGAGCAACTAGGTCAGGAGCAGCAGTGACCAGACCCGGAGCAGCTGGTTGTGGAACGAACCAGAGCAACAGAGGCCAGGCCCTGAGCAGCCAGGCCCGGAACAGCTCGCTCCTCGCCTGCCCCTGCCCCACAGCTGCCTCTCAGACATGGCTGGAAACTTTCGTGGGAACTTGAGGGTCTGCTGAATCAAGTGATGAAGGCTTAGATCTGGATGTGTTGAGTTAGTATAGGGCTGGGGTGTTGATCTGTGAGTGCCTTGGGTGGGGCCTGGATGAGGCTGGTGAACCTATTGGGAAATGTCTTTTGTGTGAAGTGTATCATTGGGCATGTGGAGGTATTGATATGAGAAAATGCTAAGTAACTGATTTACTATCTGAAAAGGGATTTACTATTGGGGAAAGGGAGGGAAGAAGAGACTGAACATGGACTGCACCTATGGATGAGGACAATGGGGGATGGGGAGCGGGCGGAGGGTGGGGTGGGAACCTGGTGGAGGGGGGAAGAAATGAGGAACCTTTGTAATAATATGAACAATAAAGATTGATTTAAAAAAAAAAAAGAAGAAGAAGAAGAAGAAGCAGTCAGGTGTTCTCCCCAGACTCCTTGAGATTAACCTAACTCCGTGGTCCGCAAACTGCGGCTCTCAAACCACATGTGGCTCTTTGGCCCCTTGAGTGTGGCTCTTCCACAAAATACCAGGGCCTGGGCGAGTCTATTTTGAAGAAGTGGCCTTAGAAGAAGTTTAAAAAATTTGCCTCTCAAATCTCAATTGTTGTACTGTTGATATTTGGCTCTGTTGACTAATGACTTTGCCGACCACTGCCCTAACTAAATGCTTACAAGTAAAGGACTCAGAACCCCTTTGCTTCACTCCCAATAAAATATTTATAATTAGGTTTTTATCTGGTTTTACCACTTTTATTCCTAAATGAGAAAAGAGTTTCAGGTAATAATACAGACAGCTACCATTTACTACTATTTAAAACTATTCATTTGCCAGTACTTTGTCTCATTAGGACTTTAGTCAATCCTGCGAGACAGAAGATTTCTTCATTGTACGGATTGTGGCAGGAGAGGTGCAGAAAAGTGAACTTAATACAAAGTTACCTAGAAGAGACTTCCGGTCCAGATGGCAGCATAGGTAATAAACACAGTGTTTGAATCCTCCCACAACCACATCAAAAATTACAAGGAAACTACAGAACAACCATTATTCAGAACCACCTGCAATCTGGCTGAATGGAAGTCCTACAACTAGGAAATTAAAGAAGCCACTTGGAAACTGATGGGAGGAGTGGAGATGTGGAAAAGGCTGGTCCCACAACCACATGTGGCAGATAAAAATTGGGAGGGTTATCTCTGGGCCTGTTTGTACTTTAGGTAATTAAGTATGAATATGCTGGTTCTGTACACTGCATGAAGTTTCCACGGCAATATTAGGCAAGGCAGAGCATTGTGTAGATGGATACAATTCAGTGAATGCCAAAAATCTATTTTAAAAAAAATTCCTTAATGGATAGGGACTTATACCCTGAGATTGTGTGTTTTTACAGTCCTTTCAGATATCCCCATAAGATAAACATGACAAGTGTTAGCCAGGTTTGACAATTCTGAGACACAGAGAAGTGTTATTACTGTCCATAGCTCTCTGGTTAAATGTTATGCCCATTTATGTTATTTACTTCTTGTCTCAAGAAAAATTAAGTTTGAGAGCTTTTTTTATTTTTGCCTTCCCTGTAAGCCTACATTCTGAAGCCCTTCTCAGAAACCTGACAGGAGTCACTATTCATTTTCTCTGGCCACAGAAACTCAAGGCCTCTTAATGGTCTTGCCCTTAGTTACAGCCTCATACATTTTAGATACGCATGAAATGGTTATGTCTTAATGGTAGGTTAAATCTTCCAGGGTAAATATACTGGAAAAACATACTTAAAAAACGGCAAATCTGAGGGAATGTGTACTTGGTCATAAGAGACTTGGGGCCTTCACTCACTTATGTGATCCTGTGCAAAGTACTTTGGTTTCCCTGCATGCCTAATGTTGACAGTTATGTCATCCCCCCACAACCAAATTGGCACATTCCTCTCTGGCATTCCTACCATTGCTTACCAGGTAATGGAAAAGGCTCTAAAATTTTCACTGTAAAATGAAAAAGAAACTTGCAGTTTGCTCCAGTGAGTACAATTTCTACACTTTTGTTCAATGAGACACAAGTGTCAAAGATCTCACTGCACTGAGTTCTTGCTTTTTATTTTTTTAAAGTTCTGCCTACATAAACCCTCACTGTGCAAAGCCACACTAAGCTTAGAGGAGTCTTCTGCCTTGAACTTCACTGAGTCTCTCTCTATGAAAAAAGAGTGCTGTGTTACCTGGAGATCCTAGATGCTGAAATGTTAGCCGAAAGCTACCAATCAGCTTTTTGGTGACGTTGAAGTTTCTACTGAGTAACGTTAGCTGTAGAACCTAGAAGGTGCTAGGCTGCATGCATCAAGGTCCCTGCTGCCTTGCCCTTCAGCACTCCCCACCAAGGGAGCTAAGATTCCTGCTCCAGGAACAGGGATAAAGGTACTTTCTCTACTCTTTTCCCCAGCTAAGTCGTAGAATGACTGGCAGATAGCTGTAAAACATGAATAACAATAGTCTCATGACAATAGTCTCTATAATGCCAAGGGGAATTCTTTTCAGCTCATACTTGGGCCCATAGAGTGAAATCTGTCTTACCAGGCATTTGGATGGGTTCATGGCTCTTCATTCCTAAAAACAGAAATGAAATTGGTTACTGTTAATCAATTATCTTGCATTGTCCATGCTTCCTTTTTTCTATACATCCCCCATCTCCAGCCCTTTAAAAAAGGGAAAATAGTAACAACAAAAACACCTTTCAATGGCTCTTCATTCTCTAACTGGACAAAGCCCAAACTACAAGAACTTCATGATCTGACCCATAGGACTCCAACCTATCTTCATCAGGCAGTCCTAGTACATAAGCTTTAAAATGAAACAGTACTAGGTGTAAGACTCTTCTTGGTTTGTTTCTATTGTCATTATAGTAATTAGCTCTGATTGCTCAGCCTTCTTCATCCCTCTGACCTTTAACTCCTTATTTATGTAAAGAAAATCCTTACCTAGCAGGTTTGTAGTAAGTGATGATTAAAGGAGACATATTATGGAAGTGCTTAATACACTGCATGAAACATAATAAGCACTCAATAAATGGAGTCCCTCTGTTCTGGCTTAACTCATTTCTCAGACTCTCCAAGTCCCAGGAGTCCTTGTGTCTGCTCCTACTCTTGTACCTAGCCTCAAAAAGTAAGTAAAAAGTTTACCTACCAGGTAAGACAGTGGACTCCTCCTGGCTTTTCATTCCTAAAAATGAGCATAGAACTATTTAGTGGAAATGCACTTGCCTTGAAAGTTAATTAAACTTATATTTACATAGCTATTTGTATAGTGGAAAGCTCTAAAAGATTTGCGAGATGGCAGGGGACAGAGTAAAGGGAAGACGATTTAACCCACTGGAGTCTGACTGACTTCTAGTCAGAATAATGGCCAGTAAACCCAGGATCTCTCCCAGATTAAGCTCCTATTGTTGTTGTTTTAGATTCAGGCCAAAGACTTCCAATCTACATTTTTCATGATGTATTTTTTTTTTAAATATTTTATTGATTTTGTACAGAGAGGAAGGGAGAGAGATAGAGAGCTAGAAACATCGATGAGAGAGTCATCGATCAGCTGCCTCTTGCACACCCCCTACTGGGGATATGCCCGCAACCAAGGTACATGCCCCTTGACCAGAATTGAACCCGGGTCCCTTCAGTCCCCAAGCCGACGCTCTATCCATTGAGCCAAACCGGTCTCGGCTTCATGATGTATTTTTAAAAAATAAAATACATTTTATTTTATAATGTATAAGTCATACATTATAATTACAGATCATTTAGAAAATATTAAAAATTACTCTAATCCTAAATCTCAGAGTTACTCATTCTTAACATTTTTTGGCGTATTTCCTTTCAATCTCTTTGTTATACATACATCCCCCATTTCCAGCCCTTTAAAAACATAAGTTTTTAGCATATTTTCCAGTGTTATTGAGATGTAACTGACACACAGCACTGTATAAGTTTAAGGTAACATTATGATTTAACTTACATATATTGTGCAATCATTACCACAATAAGTTTAACATCTGTCTTACAGAAAAAGATCAGATACAAAAAGAAATTTTTTTTCCTTGTGGTAAGAACTTTTAGGATTCACTCCCTTAGGAACTGTCAAATACAGGAATTGTTTATTGCATCCCCAGTCCTTATTTATCCTATAACTGGAAATTTTTACTTTTTCACATTTATTAATAAAGCTGATATTAGATTCTACATGCCACTTTATATCCAACTAGAGGCCCGATGCACAAAAATTCTTGCAAGAGTAGGCCTTCCTTCCCCCTGCTGCCGGCACCCGAGACCTGGGCTGCTTCCCTCCAGTCACTGGCAGGCAGGCACCCAGGACCTGGGCTTCGCTCTGGCCCCAGCTTCATCTGGAAGGATGTTCGGAATGATGCCCAGAAGAACATCCATCTAATTAGCATATTACCCTTTTATTATTATAGATGTTTATTTGCCACTGTATATAAGCACTATTTCATATTCTTAAAATATTTTTAAGTTTAGTGTTTCATAAATGGGTGTAATTGTATTTAATATTACCCACCTATTGGACACTAAGGTTATTTATAAATTTTGACTACCATAACACTATGTAAATATTTTTGTACACATTTTATACACAAATCTTATGATGATTTCCTTGGGACAAATATCTAAAAGTGTTATAACTAGATTAAAAGGTATGAACATTTTTAAAGCTAATAATACATACTATCAAACTGTCTTCCAGAAAAGTTCTAATTTATAATCTCACCAGTAATTTATGAAAATATCCCTATCTCAGCATTCTTGAGGACATTTGAATACAATCACTTAAATAATGCCATTTTTAATGCCCCTGCCCAACATCCTAGGTCCTAAGAGTTTGTGGAATACTAGTCACAACTTCCTCGATCCATGTAACTGCTAGCACAAAGCAGAAAATAATGTTTTCAACTACTTCAACTTCTTTACTGGGATGATCTATTAGATAAAAGACATAAAAAGAGCTGCTGTGTCATCTTTATAAAGAAGTCTATCCGAAAAACTCAGGAAGTTCTCTGATACACCAAACTAATAAGCTAAACTAGTTCTCTTCCTACTGTCCCTTACCATACCATGCTCATTATCTCCCATGTAAAACCCCAGAGTTTATGAAAATATCTTACCAGGGTCTTCAAGCTTCTGTTTCTTATCACCTAAGTTACAAAAAGACTTTCCATTTTAATGACAGAATAAAATCATTGGAAGTTACTGTAGTTATAACAAAACTATTTTCAGGTATTATGGCCATAAAGAACCATTTGGTAAATCCAGTAAATTAATGCTATTAAATTTAAGTGTTAATCAGAATCTAAATGCACCTTGGCTAATTGGACTGGAACCTTCCTCTGACACCTCAAGAAAAACCATCACAACTGGACAGTGCGGCTCAGTGGTTGAGCACAGACCCATGAACCAGGAGGTCAGGGTTCAATTCCTGGTCAGGGCACATGCCCAGGTTGTGAGCTCACTCCCCACTAAGGAGCGTGCAGGAAGCAGCTGATTGATAATTCTCTCTCACTGATGTTTCTATTTCTCTCTCTCTGCCTCCCTCTCTTTAAAATCAATAAAAATATATTTTTTAAAAAAGGAAAATCCAGGGGGATCTCAATGAGCTAGACAAATGTCTGTCTGGAAGAGTTAGCTAAGGTCTCTGTGAAGTGATCATAAAATTTGGCTGCAATATGGGCTAATAGGAAGTGTTGCCAAGCAAGTCCTCAGAAATATGATATGTTTCACATCAGTACAGGAAATTATTTTCTAAAACATCAAGTAAATTGCATACCTAAGGGAAGGCCAGATACCTTTTTCTCTTCAATAAAAAAAATCTTATTGTAACCATATGGGCCAAACACGTAATAAGAAACTTAAATGCACAGAAGTGATTTGGGCTACTAAACTCAGGGCAGAAAAATATCTAATCACCTAGATATTTAGTCAAATTTATACCAAACATTAGCATATTTGAAAGGTGCAAATGACTGACTTTCCTACTTTCAGCTAAATGGTATCAGATTAATCTCAATGACTGAATACAGACATTCAGATCTCTCAAGACTGACTTCAGGTCTCACCAACTTTATTCCCTAGAATGTTTCCATATTGTTCAGCTCTCCAGATTGCCAACCCTCTCATTTATAGAGAGGCAAATTTCCCCAGAATAGAGTCTGTCTCCCCCTTCCCCCACTTACATCTGACAAGTTATTCCTTCATATCTGCAAAATACTCTTTTTCTTCATCTAAGAATTGAATTTGTTAAATAAGAAAGAGCTACTAAATTTCCATATAAAGATTATTTTTAAACATGAGAGCATACTTACCAGGGCTGGCAACAAAGATGGGTAGAGAATATTCTGAAATACAAACATGTTTTCATTATATAGTACTATGCTCAGACATTAATGTCAGGTTTATTAATGATAAAAATCTGAGTTGGCTTACATTTTAAGATACATACAAAATATGGGTGAGATGAGAAATATAAACATTTTAGTCTCAAAAACAAATGGATGCGGATTGTTTTAATTACATGAAAAAGAATTAATAGAAAAACTAGCTAGAAAGACAGCTAAAAATGTACCTTTATTTTCAAACTTTTTAATAAAGAAATTTTTTAAAAATTCTACTTAATGCATGCATCAACCCAGGATATTTTCTGGCAACTGATTCAAATCTGTTGGGCCTATCGGATAATGCTATTCTTTAACACTCTTAGAATTCCTGTTTATTTACCCAAAGCTTTCCCATGATCCTCTAAGGAGGATTATCTTTTGTTACATCCTCTATCTTTCCCTGAGGAAGCTGAGACAGACTGCATTACCATTCTGACCCTCCAGGCTCTCACCTTGAGCTATAGCCACTTTATTCCTTCATTAGTATCCCAAAAGTTATTTCCTAAAATATCAAAACATAGGGTTTATAAGTCTAGCTCTTTCAAGGGCATTGAGGAGTCCTTACACTCACACTACTGTAAGGATAAACTAGAATGAGAGTGGAATGGTACTACATGCCCGAGATAAATGCAGTGTTTGAAAGAACAGCCACAGGCAAGGCTATGTATGGGTGCGGATAGGGAAGGGATGCAACCAGCAGAGGCTCCTGGGCCCTCCACTGCTAAAAGGTAGTAGCAGTAGCACAATTTTGCCTTGAGAAATGAATGATGGCTGGCAACATGACAATGTGGTCAGATGGCTCTGATCTGTACCTGTGAGAAAGAACACTGATATAATTCCCATTATAGAGATAATACTTTAAAGCATATCTTACCTGTGTTCTCAACACAATTTGCCATTTTTAGTCCTGAAACATAAAGATAAAGTTTTATTAGTTAGACACAATTTACCCTGCAGAGCCACTGGTGTATGGCTATTAGTAATTATTCTTTCAGCTCCTAGACTATCAGACCCATAACTTAGTGGGATGCAAACTGTAGAACAATTACATATTGATATTCAAATTATAGCCATCAAATAGCAGTATGATCTTTGATAAAACATCTAACATTTCTGGAATTCATCTTCTTTATCTGGATCTTTTTGTGGAAGATTGTTCCAAATGACATCCAAAGGCCCATTCCAAAGCTAACACTTAATGATTCCATTCTATGATCAGTCTGTAAAAGTTAGGAGAAAATTTAAGTATTTTTTTAACTAATCCTCTCTTCAGATATTAAATGTCCTCAACAGCAGCTGAAACCGGTTTGGCTCAGTGGTAGAGCGTCAGTTTGAGGACTGAAAGGTCCCGGGTTCTATTCCGGTCAAGGGCATGTACCTTAGTTGCAGGCACATCCCCGGTAGGGAGTGTGCAGGAGGCAGCTGGTCGATGTTTCTCTCTCATGGATGTTTCTAACTCTCTATCTCTCTCCCTTCCTCTCTGTAAAAAAAAAAAAAAAAAAAAGAATATTTATAAATGTCCTCATCAGCAAACCTATCCTTTTACTGTGACAGTTCCTATCCATTGGAGAAAAAGAACTTGTCAGAGCTTCAAGATCCTTGAATATATGAACAAAGATCCTTCACATGCATATAGAGAAACCAATTTGGTCTGCTCCTGAACACTGATCTGTATGTAAGGAGATAGACAGTTTTTGGAGAGCAGGAACATGGCATCTAATAGTATACTTTTATACCTTCTTGCCAGTGATGCCTTGAAAAAATCATCAGTGCAGCAGTGATTCCTCTGAGACTTGACATAAAGGGAAATCTGCAGGCCTGCCCAACAGCAGTTAAGGCAAGAAGATCAGTGAGAGGGTGTTTAGCCAGCGTGAGCCATGGAGGGTTTCCCAGAATGTCACAATTAGGTCTGGATGTCCTATGGTCTCTTCCCCTTGGCTGGCTACTGGCTAAATCACTGATCTAATCAAATTCAGTTATCTGTGGAGAAACCTCTCAGTCTAAGATGGGGACATTTCCTTGAGTTCTGGTTTCACTATGAGATGTCAAATCCTGCTCCACTTGTGGAGGTTGAACCAAGACTCCAGGTGACTTGCTGACCCAGAAATTAGTCAGATTTGTTAGAATCTGATGGTGCCCTGAGGCTAAACTCGGGTGTCTGGCTAGACTAGAAAGTTAAAAAACAGTTGACAATTACAAAATGTTGCCTCAGCAGAAGATGAGTGGGTGCAAGCCTTATGAAGAAGCTTAGTTGAGGATTAGGTGAAGGTGAGGGAAATTGTGAATGACAAAGCTACAGATATGATAGATTCGGTCTAGGGACTCAAAAGCCTTTGTCTTTTGACTGTAGCACAAATTAGAACATGTTTCTCAAAGGGTAGTCTTCCAATCACATTCTTCAGAATCAGTTGAGTGCTTATTAAAATTGAAAACTGCAGGACTCTACCCAAGACTACTGATATAGAACTTCTGGTGGTGGCGCCTTATAATCTGCTTTTTTCTTTTTTAATATATTTTATTGATTTTTTTTTACAGAGAAGAGAGAGCCAGAAACGTTGATGAGAGAGAAACATCGACCAGCTGCCTCTTGCACACCCCCTACTAGGGATGTGCCTGCAACCAACATACATGCCCCTAACCGGAATCGAACCTGGGACCTTTCAGTCCGCAGACCAATGCTCTATCCACTGAGTCAAACCGGTTTCAGCATAATCTGCATTTTAAACAAGCACTCCAAGTGATTTTTATGCAGGCAAGGAGAACATCTACGTTTATGTACACTCATGTGCCAACACCACTGTCCTAGCTATATGATCAGGCCACTGAGACACTCAGGATTGAATTACTAAAGATAAAGCCAATGCAGGCCTCTCTAGGGAAATAAATGCACTAAATACAAGTCTTGAACTCAATCTTTATATTACTCACAAATATGCCCATATGAAGTGACTCCTTATAAAGAAAAGCCTCTGGAGACCAATAAAGCAAATCAAGCATGTGCCTCCATTGTCTATAACCTACCACACAATAAGAGAATCATTATAAAGGACTAGGACTTCAAATGAAAATTTCTACCAGCCTCCCCAATGAAGATCTCTACAGGACTGACAGGTCTGGCTATCTTCAGCTATTTATAATACAAGTTGCCTACAATCTTGCTAACCTCTGCCTTGACTGAGTTCCCAAACACCAACAAATTAGGAGCTGGAGAATGAAAGGAATTGGAGGAAGAATATATTCCTCTCCTTTTGTATGGGTGTGCTTGCTCTGACTGATGTGGGTAGATATTCATAAAATACCAACTTTTACTTCAGTACATGAATATATATTTCATATGACCTCAGTAAATAGATTGATCATATTACTTAAAAAAACACACCAGTATATGAAACTGGTAGCTGATTTTGCTTCCAGTGGTTCTATAACTACTCTCTTCTGTCTGCAGAAATCACCACGAGAACTCATCATTATGAAAAGGACAGCTGATTTGAATCATCCCCTGGGGGAGGTGACAGACTATAATGGGTTGGGATTGTGGCTCCCCAAATCCTGTCTCCTACTATTCACACCCTTATGTAATCTCTCCTCTTGAGATGTCACTTCCATGATTGCAAAACATTGACTTGCTGGCACTGTTTCCTGCTTTCTCTTGTTCACTCTGGGGAAGCAAGCTGCATCATGTTTAAAGATAAAGAATGTAGCCTGATTACACAGCTAACACTTCACCTTTATCAATTTTCTAGAACAGTATAGAACAGTGATTGCCAACTGGTGGTCCAAAGACCATTGGTGTTCCGTGTGGTCTGAAAGGTTGGCGATCGCTGGTATAGAAAGTTAACCTATAATGATTCTCATTCTCCTATGAGAAAGAATAAAGGTTTTTGTTACCAAAATTCACTCCTATAATTTTGAATGAATACCAAGTTTAGTATCTTTCACCACCAGGAACTGTATTATCTAGTGGGACTTTGGTATTCTCTCCACTTCCTAACCAACAGAACTATTATTATTTTTTATTTTTTTTAGCTAATTAGTTTCTGTAAGGCCTACAACACATTTTTATCTTGGAAATCATAAGCAAGTTCAGAACAGTAGCACAGGATTGTGTTAGCATAAATTTAGTACAATATAACTTTTTAATCCCTTTTAGAAATATTGTCTTTTTTTCATCCAAAATTACAGTTAGTCACAATGGAACAAGGTTCTGATTATATCTTCCTGGCTTATTTCTAAGAAAGCTCTGGTGTCCTAGCTGGTTTGGCTCTGTGGTTAGATGTTGGTCTGTGGACTGAAGGGTCTTGGGTGCAATTCCAGTCAAGGGCACAAACCTCTGTTGCACTCTCCATCCCCCGCCCTGGGTCGGGGTGTGTGCAGGAGGCAATCAGCCCAATGTACATGTCTCTCTTACATCGATGTTTCTCTTTCTCTCTCTCTCCTTCTCTCTCACTCGCTCCCTCCCTCCCTCCCTCTCCTTCGTTGGGAGCCATCAGAGTTGAGACTTACAACTCTGTCTTAAGGAAATAGAATTAAGTTCCTTCTAGCAGAAGTTATTCGGTGTCCTGAGGGTTTGGCCAGAAGATAAGATTAACCTGCTGCTTAGCATCTCTGCAACTTACCCTTCCTGATCCTCCCCCATAGACAGTCCAGCCTTAGAATGTTACACCTGGGAATGTTACGCCGCCCTGGCAGTTAGCCAATCCTCTGTTGCCAGATACTTTACCACCTTGCCACTCAGTGCCTAAACCAATTGTACACTGCCAAAGACCCCTCTGCATAGGCAACCCTGCCCCCCTTTGTTTCTGCTGTATATACACAGCCATTTCAAAGAATAAAGTCGAGGCTTGATCAGAGAACTTTGTCTTGCCTCCATTCTTCGCGTTCCTTGTTTGTTCCATTCTCGTAGGTGGTTCCTGCGTACCCCCGTTGTTGCCCCGCGGGCCGGGACACTCCTTCCCTTTCCCCTTCCCTCCTTCCTTTCCACTCTCTCTAAAAACCAATGGAAAAAACATCCTTGGGTGAGGATTATTAACAAACTAACAAAAGTTCTGGTTATTGTTCATGGTGTTTCAAAAATCCTAGCTTCAATGATCTAGATTTGAGCCTAGGTTCCCATTAGTTATCTCTAGATGGCAGCAGAAGACATTCGTTAGACTTCAGTTTGGAATTAAATCAACACAATCAAGTGCATGGTCTGACTTTGTCAGAGCTCTCCAAAAAGTACATGTGAGCCTCCACAAAGATCTCCCTTTGTGGCTGGTTTGAACATTAATCTGCTGTGTAGCTTCTGTTTGATCTTGTGGGCTGGCTCACAGAGGTGTGCTTTCCACTTTCCCCCTTCTCACGTGGTGCTCACAACCCACTAGCCCATGCAGGTCTAAGCTCCTCCTCATTCTGAATCCACCCAATGATTCCACCCTTCTTATTCATCATAATCCCATTCACAAACATGGATTCTGTGAACTGTTAATCAACCACATAACAGATTTATTTGGCCTGTAGCTACTGCAGCCAGGATTTCTGTAGAACCAATTCCTCTACAAATGGCATGTGGCTAAATGCATCAGGAGCACCAACATGGCATTGTTTTGACAGACCAGAAGCAACTGGATTTCCGGCTGTGATGTGCTAGTAAAGTTGAACAAGTTCTGCAGTGGGGATTAGAGAGTCCTGATTTGTAGTATTTGCTGATTTCTAGGGTATAACTCTCAACCATGGCCAATTTCAAGCTACTTGATATAGGAACTAGGAAGACATCTATGCCCACAATCAGTTCCATAAACTGGTATGAGCTGTCTTCAACCTACTTGGTTTTTGGTTAGGTCTAATGTAGGGTTAATAAGGAGAATGAGTATCTTTCCTCTCTATACAAATTTACTCACTCCAATCATCATCTGCCCCTCCAGGTGAACAATTAGTCTCATTTACTTGCAACTAAGGGCCAGGACTAGGGTGAGGCAAATGAGGTGCCAAGTGCAAACTCTAAGAGATGCTCACTTTTAGGGTCATGCAAATGCAGATGCTGCAAGTGTACAACTCTGAAACTGAGGATCTCCTTAAATTTTGTGTCCCAAGTACCTCAATGGCTACATAGCTTCTGCCATTCATTGTAAGTGAATCAGCCCTCTAACCAGGCATGATGTTTCATTGGCACTTCCCCACCCTGTTCTTTTTTATCTCATACACCTTGGTCACATGGAGTCAAATCTAAATGTCCATCCCACTTCTGAGGTCCTACTGCAATACTCATTCTGCATGACCAGCAGCCGTGGTTTGGGGTTCAGAAAATAATCACATTCATAAGACCCCAAAAGGCCATCACCTCACCAGATTTTCAGAAGAATGCAAGGCAGGGAACATGGCATACTATTTAGCAATGGACATCATGATATAGATCTCTTCAATGCAGGTCCTTACAGAAGTCCAGGGCTATTAGCCCCCAGAATGATGCTCAGTTACAAGGAAACAAGAGTACACAAATGGGTGCAGGAACTATCTAACTTAGTAGCCTCATGCCACATATCTGTCACAGAAGAGAGTATCTCTTATATCAGCCTATGAGTGTACTTCCATGACACAGCAAGAACACCTAGGTATATCACAATACATTCAGGAATGCTCAATATTATAACTTTCCCCAAAGTATTTACAGTTCATTCATAATCCAAGCAGATAAGATTATGTTTACAATTAGGCAGTTTACCATTAGTCATTTCCACCGTTAGTAGATTTCAGAGAAAAGGTGCTAGAAGATCAACTGGAGGCCATTTTCGTAGAAAAAAGTAGAAAGAATTTTGTTAACCCTTTACTCACATACACCAAGGCACAAAATCATAAAATTTCAGAATGTTATGGATATAGAAAACACCATAAAACTTTTCAGAGAAAAAAAGTAGGTCTCATTCAGATTTAGTACTCAGAATGGCTTCATACTTTTTTATCGCAGCACCAGAAACTAAAAGCCAGTGGAGGAAGATCTTTAAAATTCCTAGGAAAACAATTTCTGAAACAGAAATACCAATCTATACATACTATTATTCAAGCCTAAAGATATATTTTTCCGACATGCAGTCTTAAAACATTTGCCTCAATGTCCTTTTTCTCAGAAAAATTTCAGAGAACCATTACCCCATCAAACAAAGAAGGATTCAAGGAAGAGGAAGAAATCCAAGATACAGTGGATTCTTCATAGGGGAAAATCAAAAGAAAATCTCAGAATAGTAGTAAAGAGAGATGTCAGGATATTCAACAAGCCTAGAGAGCACAGCATCCAGCAGGATGATGGGGGAATACAGAAGTATAACCAGAAAAGAAAGAGAAAGAGATAGTATCTGAATGTATTAAGAGGAGACTTATATTTCTAAGAATTTGGAGGTAAACTATTGGTAGTATATAAAAAACTAAGGAAACAAACAAAAAAATCATACTACTAATAATCCTAGGGTAAAAGAGGTAATTAAAAAGATACCAGTCTTTACTACACATGGAGAATGGAAAAAAGGAAATGCACAAATACTGAGGGTGGTGATTACCAGAAACTTTTAGTTTATTGACCTACCAGCTATTTCTAATTCCTTTTCCCTTACCTCCCTGGAGTATAGAGACTGGAAATGCTAATTACTCCCTTTCCAAGCTTTTCTTATTGTTATGAATGACCAAGTGGCTGTTACAGTCAATGATAATTAGAAATCTAAGCGTTTCTAGGGAAATGTTTACATTCCTGATTAAATAGGCAGATTTGGCTGCCATTCTTTTTCTCGATCATTTTGTCTTGAACATGAATTGATGTCTACAGTTACAACATACTGCAAATATGAATCAACAAACCAACATGCTCAGATTGGTAGGACAGAAAGAATCTATATTACTGATGAAATAGTTGAGACACTGTACCAACTCTGGACAGCCTACTCTAGGCTTATTAAAAGAGAGCTATCAGATAGGTTCTCTGTTAAAGATGAATGCAATAAAGAATTCCTAACTAATTATGGAATATGAGAGCTAAATATTCATTCTCTATACTGTGAATTAAACAGATAAAAATCAAGAGTTAACATGCTGAAGCATTTTGTTTACTTAGAACCATAACAATAAGTACCTGAAAGAGTAGCTAAAAAACAAACAACAACAAAAAAAATGGAGGCCACAAGGAGTGCAAATGGGAATGGGAATGGGAATGGGTGGGAAGGGGGCTGCTACTTTTCATTGTAAGCCTTATAGTAGTATTTGGCCCAGGTACTTCTCTGTTGTGGGAGGGTTGTTCAATGCAGTTTAATAGTGTCCTTGGACTCTACTCAGTAGATACTAGTAGCAACTAGGGATAGTGTAACAACTAAAAATGTTTCCAGCCTTTGCCAAATGATCCTGAAGGGCAAACTGCTCCTGTTTGAAAACGATGGCCTCATAGCACTATTTTTTAAAAACTTTCAATAATATTGCAAATGTATTACTTTGATAAAACTAATTTTGGGGGAAGGTGGGAGGTTGAAACTAACAGTATGAAAAGAGCTAGACTAGAGACCACCAATGTCATTTCTTCTTTCAAACACCTCTCAATTTCCTTCCTAATCTCTCCCTGGTCTATTGTGCTATACACCACAGAATGCTTCTCCTCCCCTCCCAGACAAGCAAAGACAGAACAGAGATACATACCTCCTAGAAATGCACACTCATAATGGCTGCAGGTCTTATTTGTGCTTCGAAGGATAAGATTATTGCTAGTCCCATCCTGTGACACATGAAAAATCTCATTCAGAGGTATTATAATGATTCTTCCACTTTCGTTTTCTTTATCAAAAAATTTTCCAATGGCAACCCCAAAGCATGTGTGAATGGTTAACAGAATGTGTTCGTCACTTGCTGCTTGAGGTTTGGCTGAATGTGCCAAGGTGAAATGGCCAAATCTGGCTTGGTTTAGCCCTTCAAAGGTAAATGAAGTACCCTGGATTGTGCTATACACCACATCTTTGTAGCTATCCTCACAATGTCTTCTCAGCAATTGCAGGGCTTTGGTCAGGTAAAAATGAAAAGCTTTGAATTGGAAGCCATAGATATAATCTTTTCGAGATTGGCCAGCCATCTTCACAGCTTTATTGAACAGATGGTAAAAGGAAGTTTGCTCTTGAGCTTCAGAAATATATGCCATCAGGGCTATTCCATGGTTATCCTTAAAAGTCATAGGGAGAGAGAGCTGAGTCTTCTGAGCTTCCCATTTAGTTTTTGCATTTTCCCACACATCTTCAAAGAGCTGATGGCTTGCTTTTTCTTCCTTGAGCAGTTGGGGAACAAATTTGACTTCCATCCTCTCAGTACATTTCTGGTATTCATCATCAAATGCATTATCTGCCATGTCTAACATATTAGCCTTTACCTTCAAAAGAAAAGGAAATTAATATTTTTGAAACAAGATATTTGGTGTGTCTTTTTCTCTCACACTACTACCTCCACACTCTCATACCCTGCCAAGAATCTCTCCCTTGCTTACAACCAAATTTGGATTTTTTTTTTCTTAAAAAAAATTTTTTTTTATTGATTTCAGAAAGAAAGGGAGAGGGGGAGAGATAGAGAAATTGGCTGCCTCCTGCACACCCCCTAATGTGAATCAAGCTTACAACCTGGACATGTGCCCTGACTGGGAATTGAGCTTTGATCTCCTGGTTCATAAGTCAACACTTAACCACTGAGCCATATTGGCTGGGCTGGATATGTTTTTTATGTAGAAAGTATATCCTATTGTTATTGATAATTTTTCTCAGCTATGACCTATTTGTGTGAAAGAGTAAATGTTAGTGGGTAAGATATGGGTATGATTATACCTGTAACTCATTTATTTGAACCTTCTGGTATATAGGAAAAACCATTGAGTTTAAAGTTGAAGAAATTGGTGGCAATCCTGGCTTTGAAAATATACTTGGCCAGATTTCCTCAATTCCTCAAAACTGTTGAGTGAATATAAAATTATAATGCATTATAAATACATAATAGTAATATCACCCTCTTCTTTTTTAGGACATTCCCTTGTCCGTATGATTTGGATAGGACTGATTCTGTACCTTCAGCCCCAGTAATAAGCAATAAATCAGGCTTAAAAACCAGAGCACTCTTTCTTTTTCTACAATCACAAGCTCTAATGATAATATTGACTTGGGAAAGCCCATAGTTATCCTTTTAGTTCCATGGAAAATCCTATCTCTAAATAAAACCAATAACGAAGCCCTAATAACATTATTTAGGCCCTGGGTCTAGCTATCTGAAGGCTGTATTTTATCTTAGTCATAAGAAACAACAAATGCCTATTTGCTTTGAGCATGTTTGCATTGTTTTTGCTATGTATAAATGAAAAAGGCCCAATCCACCTTTAAATGATACATATGAGAAACAGGGTGGTGTAATGTAATTAACACTAGCTTAGGGTCAGAAAGGTATGGGTTCAAATTCCATTTCTGTTACTAACGAGGTACTAATTAAGTATGGGAAAGTTATTTGACATTTCTGAGCTTCAATCTTTTCATATAAACATGAGGCTAATGTAAGGAAACATGCGTTAATTGGAATTCTGTTGTAAGGATTAAATGATATAATGAATAAATGCAAAGTCTTAGTTCCATGCCTGGCACATGTCAAGCCTTCAACAAACTGTAATTATTTTTATTTCATTATAGAAATATATTTATTATACTGTAAATTATTCAAGGATAGGATCTGTACTATATTTCTCTTTTGAAGTCCAAGCATCTATACATTGAAGTGAATTATATAAAACCCTGCACTCTGACCTACTGATCATAAAATAGGATGAACAAATCTGCCGAGGGATACCATTTAAGGGTTTCTACAAATGAAAAGATAATGCCCTCCACATCATTCTCTCTTTCCACTATTCTATACTACTTCTATGGCACACTGGTTGCATAAGCTATCCTCTCAGTTGGAGACCTTAGAGACTTTATAGACACAGATTGAGTAACTTGTCTAGAACTGAAATTTGAACCTGAGCAATCTAGTTCCAGAGTTTGTCCCCTTAATTAAAATGTTATTTCCAGTGATGAAGACCATTGGAATTTATGTAGCACTTCTAAAAGGGTTTAATTTGTTCTCATAAAAAAACATATGAAAGGTTGGGAGGACAATTCATAATACCATTTTACAAATGAAGCAATTATACTGGCATCAGAAACTAATTTTTCTTGATTACCTGCCACAGAATATTCTTCTGTGAAAAACCCCTGTACTCCTGGGTCTGTAGGTCAGTTTCTTGAAGTGGGAATTTGAGCTTCAGGAGACTAATTCCCTGCTGTCTCCTAGCCAAGAAATTCACTTTCCTCTGCAGCACAGAATGTACCAGAGGATATCCTGGGCACCAATGACTGTTTTATCTTTAAGACTTCAACATATTACAAGACATCATACCCTGAAACTACCACCTCCTACACTCCTCCATATCACATCCAAGTTGATCCAATTTGTTCCTGTCTGCTCTATGCCTCTAACCAGTCTCCACCAGTCTAATTTTAGGCATCAAGTCTTTCTGGACCAAGGCCACAGTTGATCCAATTTGTTCCTGTCTGCTCTATGCCTCTAACCAGTCTCCACCAGTATCCACAGTCTAATTTTAGGCATCAAGTCTTTCTGGACCAAGGCCACAGTTGATTGTGTGTTCTGTACAGCGAGTGCCTGGAACAGTGAAAAAGTTCACAAATGCCGCCACTGTTCAGGGACCAGGGGATGGACATTAAAGGTACAGATACAAAAGGCTAGGTGAACACACTGGTTATATATTATCTTCCTCTGATTTATCCATTGAAACAAAGGCCAATGCTGGTGAAATTAAATTACCAAAAATGTATTACAAAAATGTAGAAATGATCTAAATGTTCAGAAAAGAAATTATAGAAATGCGTAGAAAAACACTTTAAACTTTTGTTGCAAAAGAATATTAAAAATGTAAACAAAAATCAGTGAAATACTATTTCATATAATTTAGGGTGGCTATTTTAATAAGAAAAAAAGAATTTAAGTGTTGGCAAGGATGTAAAAAAATTAAAGCCTCATATACTGCTGATGGGAATGTAAGCAGCAGCCACTATGGAAAACAGTTAAACAGTTCCTCAAAATGTTACACATACAGTTACCATCTGACCCAGCAATGCTATTCCTAGGTATATACCCAAGATAATTAAAAATATATGTTCACACAAAAACATATACATGAAAGTTCATAGCAGCAGTACTCATGCATAAGAACAAAAAGTGGGAACAACCCAAATATCCATAAATTGATTCATGGATAAACAGAATGTGAATAATCATACAATGGAATATTATTCAGCTATGAAATGAAGTACTAATATATGCTACAACATAGATGAACCTTAAAAACTTTATGCTCAATGAAAGAGGCCATACAAAAGGACAGACATTGCTTGATTCCATTCAGATGAAATGTACACAATGTCCAGAATAGGCACATCCATAGTCACAGAGAGCAGACAGGTGGGATAGCCAGGGGATGCAGGGAAGCAGGAATTGGAGCTGAATGCTAATAGCTATAGGGCTTCTTTTTAGGTTGATGAAATGATCTATATTGAGACAGTAGTGAAACTATGCACAACATGGTGAATCTACAAAAACCACTGAATTGTGAATTGTTATATGTAAAGTATATCTCAGTTAAAAATCACACTACAGTACAGGCAACAGAATATATAATCATTCTATAGACAATGTATCAGAATATTAAATTAAAAATAGAGAGATTTTAAGAATTCAAGATTTTTTTAAGGAGGTACCTCAAGTCAATGGACAAATAATCAGTGGTGACATGACAGCTAACAATGTGAGGGGAGGGGTTATGTGAGATACCTGAGTCATATTTTACATAAAAATATGTTACAGAATGTGTAAGGATTCAACTTCAAAAAATAAAATAAAAGTTCTATCAGAAAAAAGTAGTATATGGTCAAAATAGTGAAAATGGTAATTATATAGTAGTTTAATAGAAAACATGTAACCAAATACTGCAGTGTCATCTTATTTGAAAAAAAAATACATATTTCCAGAATATTTAGTGACCCACAGATACATTTATAGCACAGCATTTACTTAAAAAGGCAAAAAACATATGTACTGTGAACCCATTTTGTAAGTTAAACACAAAGAAAGAGAAACCAAGAAGACTATATGTCAACAAATTAAATTTCCCCATTGAGTAGAGAGATTGTGGATGATTTTTACTCTCTCCTTTTTGCTTAATTTTAATTTTTTCAAACTTCTATAATTAACATATATAAAATGTATAAAATGAAAAGATGAAAACTTCTTGAAAAACTGATTTATCTATTCTCTCTGTTCTCATTTACAGTATGAACCACACAGATGCCTTAGGTAATGTTACATCAAGAGTTTCTAGCTCAATGACCATGTACTTCCCATTTCCAACATTACCTGGAAGATATTCATTAGAATCATAGCTGACAGCAGCATGGTGACCATTTCAAAATTTCCTGTCTTCATTTTTCTCTTCTAAATTAAAATGAAGAAATTTTAAATTAATAGACTTAAAGAGACTTACTGAAGTAGAGCACTATACACTATATATATTTTCATTCTGGGTGGAAGTAGCTATCATGAAGGTCAGGAAGTGATTACCAATAAATTCCAATGGCTGGAAAGGCCTGGATTTTGTCTGCTTGTCTAACATTTCCATTCTACAGATGAGAAAACAAAAACTCAGAGAACTTCAGCAATTTGCTCAAGATTAAATCTATCCATTTCCATTCTCGTCTAGATTTGTTGTCTCTCCCACCATAGTCACTGGTGCTCATGTTTTCTTGCCACATCTCTCCTCAGCATACTCAGAAAATTAACAAAAACAAAAACATTTCAAAATTGGTCTCCCATCTTCCAGTTTCTAAGAATTCTCCAGGAGTTAGAGACCATGTACATCATCCACTCTTCTTTCCTTGTTGCAAATCAAGTCATGCCCATTTGGGTATAATGGAGATGATGAAGCCAGTAATGGTACAAAGCAGGTTATCCAAGGATACCTCCTTCCCGCTCAATATTCACATTCAAGAGAAGCCCACGGATAAAGTGTCTTGCATAACTTTTTAAAGTCAGGAATGAGAATAATAAGGAAATGGGTAGGCAGCAATTCTAATAAGATTATACAACTCTGCTGGCTGAATGCCCAATATTCATCACAGTGTTTATGAGACTGAAAGGGGTAAGTAGGAGGGTAAGAGGCCCTAAGGGCTGAAGCTGTCCCGGAGTCAATAAATGATTCATTAAAGGTGGTCTACAGTTCCTTCCACATACTTAAAATACAGTTAACATTACTGAAACTGAACTAAAATCTCTGTTTTATCATACCAATCACCATATTCTGGCATCTGAACATGGAATGAAAACACAGAGAAAAGAAGACAGTCTTCCCTTTGGGCCTAGGTCCCTGCCTTTATTTAGGAGCTATTTGTTTTACTAAAGGTATTAAAATATACTATCAAACATGCCACTTTTGTGTCAAACTTCCCTTTCCAAAAAAGATTCGGTCTGCAAGACTTGGCAAGTTACTGTCACAAAGCACTGTGTGCCAAGAAAACTAGGAAACCAGGTTTTGTTTTGTTTTAATTTTTTTAAATATATTTTATTGAGTTTTGTACAGAGAGGAAGGGAGAGAGATAGTTAGAAACATCGATGAGAGAGAGAGTCATCGATCAGCTGCCTCTTGCACACCCCCTACTGGGGATATGCCCGCAACCAAGGTACATGCCCTTGACCGGAATCAAACCCGGGACCCCTCAGTCCCCAAGCCGACGCTCTATCCATTGAGCCAAACCAGTCCTGGCTTGTTTTAATTCTTCACTGCTGTAGTCTGAGTGTAAATAAGTAAAAATGTTTACCTGGCTTTTCTGCTTGTGGAGATTTAAATGATGCTAGGTCTCAAACTGTTTCCCCACTTTCTCAGTTGTGAGCGTGTCTTCAGAATGGGAGGTTGTTGACAGTGAGAGCTGAGAAGGGAATGCTTTTCTTTTTATAAACACCCCCAGCAGTAGCTTGGCAGTGGCACATTACCCCATTTGTGTCCTGCTATTTATATCTGGCCCCCACACTATCCCTTGGAATCACTGCTGTTAACACATGAAATATCCAAGAGGCTTGTAAAGCCACAGCAATTCCTTCTAACCACACAGCGTGTTCAGTTCTGAGCCTTTAGTGTTAGGCTTTTCAGAGAGTGATCACTTCCCATTCCTAACCTTTTGACTCTGAGACGTCAAACTAAAGCAAGACTTTACCCTAGCTAGATGGTTCACATAACAAAAGGGACTTGCTGTGTTAATTGCTGGCAATGACTATGGTTATCACCATTCATTCAACCAGCTCACTGCATTTCAGGTACTGTGCCAGATGCTGGGATACACAAGCAAGCAAAACAAAGTTCTGAGAAGCATTCACAATTCATATCTTTTATATGAATATATATACTTAATCAGAATACATGTTAAGAATCTTAAGTATAAAAGGTTTATAAAAAAATAAATTAATTTAAAAAATAAAATAAAAACTGTGGTACATCTACACAATGGAATACTATGCTGCTATTAAAAAAAGGAACTCTTACCATTTGCAACGGCATGGATGGACCTGGAGAGCATTATGCTAAGTGAAATAAGCCAGTCAGAGAAAGATAAATATCATATGATCTCACTCATTTGTGGAATATAATGAACAACATAAACTGATGAACAAAAATAGATCCAGAGACATAGAAGCACTGAAAAGACCATCTAACCTCAGAGGGAAGGCAGGCGAGGGGGAGGGGGCGGTATAAAAGACCAACCAAAGGACATGTATGCATGCATATAAGCATAACCCATGGACACAAACAGTAGGGCATGAGGGCATGTGCTGAGAGGTCGAAACAGGTGGGGAGAGGTCAATGGGGGACAAAGGAGACATATGTAATACTTTAAACAATAAAGAATTTTAAAAAGGAACAACAACAACAAAAAGAATCTTAAGTATAGCCAAAACTGGTTTGGCTCAGTGGATAGAGCGTCAGCCTGTGACTGAAGGGTCCCAGGTTCGATTCCGCTCAAGGGCATGTACCTTGGTTGTGGGCAAATCCCTAGTGAGGGGTGTGCAAGAGGCAGTTGATCTATGTTTCTAACTCTCTATCCCTCTCTCTTCCTCTCTGTAAAGACTCAAAATATATTTTAAAAAAGAAAAAAAAAGAATCAAGTATAGACAAAGTTTAGTGATAGCACTAAGAAGGGAAGGATTTGGTAACAATATCTGCAACTGTAACTCTCATCTGAGTGAAGTACACATAGTGAATATATTGACTACATGCTGAAGAACACTTAGAGTTCACTGACTGGATAAAAAAAAAATTGAGTGTCTTAGGAAATTCATGCATATGTACATCAAAACACATTAATTAAATGTATTAGATAGTAGCTTTATTCATAACAGCCCCAAACTATAAATCATTAAAATGCCTATCAAAAGTAGAATGGATAAATTGCAGTATATTATACAATGGATTTTTTGGAATATTAAAAGTAATAACCACATAACAAATGAGGATAAATCTCACAAACAAAATTATGACTAAAAGACACAAGGTGCATATACTACATGATTTAATTTACATGGAGTACAAAATCAGACAAAACACATCTATGGCCTGAGATGTCAGAGCAGTGGTTATTCTAAGTGGGACATAGTAACTGGAAGAGAATAGGCACTGGGGAGCCCCTGTGATGCTACTCAGGTTCCGTTTTTGGTTCTGGGTGTTGATTACATTTGGTTCTGGGTGTTGACTTGTGAAAATTCACTAACCTATATATGTGTATTTTTCTGTGTTGTGTGTGTATACACATATATATTACTCAAAGAAACATTTTAAATTATCATAAAGTACATGCACTTTACAAAAACCCATCTCATCTCTACTCTTCAGACTCTTCAAAACCTCTAACCTCTTCTCACCTCACTGTCTAAGCAATTTAACTAAAATCCTAGAAATAGTATTATTTTTTAAAAATGGAGTTTGGTTAGGAAGGAAAAAGAATGTATGCACAGGTTTTCAAGCCTATGCTCATGCTGACTTGCTTTTAAGTCCCAGGAAATGTGGTGGTGGTATTTCCCCATCTGTGGCCTTCTCAAAATCTACTAGATTCATCTATCACCCAAAAGACTGAATCCAGGATGTGAGGGCGATCTGGCTGTGACATCTGTCACCCCATTGATCGCCAGGGTTGATTCGGCTGATCTGGCTGGCTAGGCGGATGTCCCCTTCCTCCCTCACCGATCCATGTGCGTCCCTCACGAAGCTGCGTGCTCGGTCAAAGAGGACGACTTTCCCCCAAGAGGAGAGGACTGGTCTTCAGTCAAGGGTATACGAATAGCTGCGCTCCCCTGCTAGAACCTCCAAACAAGCTCCCAAAAGACTGAGTCCACCAGAAAGAACATAACAAACACTGTGTGAAGTTCAAACAAGTTTTGCCTAGTTTATTACCAATATGCCATTGTTTCATTCCTATTTTCTTCCATTTTAAAAACTCTTGATATCATTTATTCAACAAATATTTGAGTCATTGCAATGTTCCCAGCACTGTTTTCCCCAGGTATTGGGGTTATAACAGTGAACAAAATAAATATCTTGCCCTTGTCAAATTTATTTTCTTGTGGGAGGAGGCAGTCAAATAACAACTAAAATAAGTAAATTATATAAGTATGTTAAAATATAATAACTACTTAAAAAAAAAGTAGTACAAGGGAGATTAGGAGTGCAGAGAGAGTTTGCAATTTAAATGGATGGTTAGGGATAACTCATTGAAAGTTTACATTTAAACAAAGTCTTAAAAGAAATGAGGGAGATCAGCCATGAAGATTGTGGTGGAAAAGTGGTCAGGCAGAGGGAATTCAAGCAGGCCAATATGGATGGAACAAATAAGTAAGAGAAGAATAGTAGGAGATATAGTCAGAGAGGTAAGAGGGGTATTAGTAAGATCATGTCTTTGCAGGCCACTGGAAAATGTTGAATTTTACTCAAAGAGAAAGAGGACATCCTGACTGTTATGCTGAGAATAATCTGTAGGGTAAAAGTAGAAAGACAAATTTACAGGTTATTATAATAATGCTAGCAGAGATTATGGTAGCTCAAACAATGATGGTAGCAATAAAGGTGAGGAAGGTATATGTATGTGTATGGTTGTCTTTGAGTTTGTTAAAAATACTCTTTGTGAATATTAAATTAAACATGTTTTCAAATATGGTAAGGAAAAGTATTTGTGCGTTCTAAAAAGCTAATATATTTTCAAAAAGATGATAATTTATTAAAAAGTAAATGGAAATGATCCATAGTGATACAATTTCTATTTATTTATTTATTTATTTATTTATTTATTTATTTTTACATATTTTATTGATTTTTTTGTTTTTACCCTTCTCTCTCCCTCCCACACATCCCCTCCCTCCCCAGAGTTTTATGTCCATTGGTTGTACTTATATGCATG